ACACCTACAGTGCATGGGTAGTACAGCTGTATACTATCTAGTATAGCAGATTATAAAGACCTAGTTCTCAATTAGATTAATAAATTATTTATTAGATGGTGATGATACAAATCAGCTGGTTTACAGCAGTAGTGGTGTCAGTAAAAGACTCTGCAGTGTAGACATTACCGTACACGGTGGTAGTGGCAGCAATTATTTCATAAGATGTAAGTGTTGCTGAAGTAGCATTACAGGAATTCATAGCATTATTGCACTGCAGCAGTACCGTAGCAGTAGCTACAGCAATGCATTATTTTTTTGTGCATTCTCAGTCGTTACCGGCACTGCACTGCAGTGGTGGGCAGTGCAGAGAACCATGATGTTTAGAGTTGATTGATACACTCATTGATAAATGGCATTGCATAAGTATTTTTAAGGGCACACTGTTTGTTTTGTCAACAAAAAGCATCATCATCACCAAATTTTCAGGTTAATGACAACTCAGAAAGAACCAAAATTTTAAGGTACTAATACTGACGTTTCACAATCACACAGCAATATGGTTGACGGGCTGCAGTTTATTATACCGTACAAGTGCCAGCTCAAATGATTGCCTTCAAAAACTACATCCAGAGGAAGAAAGTTCCTGCTGATACGGCAGGGATGTTCCTCTGCCAGAAACATATTTGGCAATAAAGTTCCTATCGATACGGAACCACTGGCTTCTGCTGTATTGGCCTTACACTTATGCCTCCATAACACATGCTACATCGCAGCACTCATTGGTAGCACCGTTACTGCCAGGCATGTTCTGCAACCTAGCTGCCGAGCACCAGTAACTCTTGTTACTTGACTCGTTCTCCTGCTAGTGCCTTTCCGCTGGTTGGTTGTGCCGGGCGCCTCTAGCACTGCTTGCATGACTTGCGGCAGGACTCGTGCATGTAGGCGGCGTTCTTCTCGCACTCTCCACTCGCCGCCCAACTGGGACAGCTGCACCCACCACCACCAGCACACATACAGTCGGAATGAGACGCACAGAGGGGAGCGATGAGCGGATGAGCAGAGAGCAGTGCAGTTTGGCATAAGTGCAAGACACGGGTGAGGCAGATGCAATGGCCGTGCATGCCTGCACGCGCATGACAGTGCACAGACACGGCGGCATGCACAGAGGCTCATGATGAGGTGTGAATGCACAAAGCACACATCCCATGCACATGCTCCCAGCCCACACCCACACACGCTCCTGCACCCACATGTGCACGCTTCCTAACCCACTCAAAAGGCACGCTCCCCCACCCACTCACTATGCCCACTCCCCCACCCACTCACAATACCCACTCCCCTGGCCACTCACAAGGCGTTGGCATCAATGCACCCCGACAGCACCCCCTGCCCGCCGCCCGCCATGTCAGCCAAGCCGACGCCGCCCGACGGGCCCGTGTACGCCTTGCTGAAGTCTGCGACGTGGATCCACTTGGGCGCGGACCACTTGACCCCCTCCACCACCGGACACGCGTAGTGCAGCGATGAGGGGTCGGGCGAGCCGTCCGGATGCATGCTGTAGAAGAGGAGAGCATCGCCTTTAGAGGGCTTCACTGGTGGGGTGGAGGGGCCGAAAGGGGGGGGAAGGGGACTGTGGATGGAGACACGCGTAGTGCAGCGACGAGGGGTCGGGCGAACCGTCCGGATGCATGCTGTAGAAAAAGAGCGCGTCGCCTTTAGAGGGCTTCACTGGTGGGGTGAAGGTGGAGGGGCAAGTGGCAGGGCGTGAGAGCTAAGTGGAGGGGCGTGAAACGCATGACAGGGTGGGAGGGAGTTTGAAAGGGGGAGGGGGTCAGGATGTATGCCGTGCGTGCATTCAACAGCCACTTCTGTACACACCCCGTATCCATTATCCTCTTTTCAGCTCTACCCCACCCCAATTCCCTTTTGCCCTGCTGACGACCCCCCCCCCCCCACTCACCAGCGAGTTTCCCCTTGGCGCATTCAGTCCACGAGTCATCTTTGGGCGAGGGGTCATCCGCGGTGGGGAAGACGGTCTCCCCCCCCTTGGTGACGTTGTTGAGGTACATGAGCACCGTCGCGTACCGGTGCCCCCCGCGCTTGCGGTTGTTGGGGTCGTGGAAATAGTCCACGTGTGGCTCGTACTTCTGCCCCTTCTCGTACCGCAGCACCTGGTGGGGTGGCGGGTGGGGGGTGGGGGGAAAGGGACGGGGGTGTGAGCGTGGGCTCTTGAGGCGCCTCACAGGGAATAGTCCACGTGCGGCTCGTACTTCTGCCCCTTCTCGTATCGCAGCACCTGGTCGGAGGGGAAGCGGAGGATGAAGGACGGCAAGGGAAGCGGGGAGGATGAGTGAAGAAGGGGAGAGCACAAGGCGAGATAGAGGAGGGTCGTGGGGGGAATGCAGGGGGAAAGGGGAGGGGGAAGGGTGGGGGGAGGGTGGTGTGCGTGGGGGGGTGGGGAGGATGGGAGGACTTGTGCGGCGCCTCAGAGAAAATTGTCCAGAGAAGTGCAACTTGTTCTCTGCCACTTCTCGTACCGCACCACCTGGTAGAGGGAGGTGGGGGGGAAGGGGAAGGGGGTGTGGGGAATACAGAGGGATTTCGAAGCGCCTCGAAGCAAATAGTCCTTCTAGCCCCGCTCGTATCGTGCACCTGTTATTGGGGCGGGGACGAGGCGCCCTCTCCTAAGGGCATAACTTGCCGCATTCCCCGCATGCCTCACATTCCTAGCAGTACTCGCGCATGCCGCGTTGCTCGCGTCCTCGCATACCTCCCCAGCATCCTCCCCCACCTTTTCTCCGCTCCGCCGCGTCGCACCTGCATGGCCTCCTGGTTGGGCAGCGGCAGGAAGGTCCACTCTGCGATGCGCGCCTCGATGCGCGCGATGACGGCGTCCTCCGCGACGGCGATGAACATGCCGCTGCTCGTGCGGATCGAGCTCAGCTCGCTGTGCCCGTCCGTGTTGTCCGCCACCGACGACCTGCGCGGTGCACGCGGGGAGTGGGGGAGAAGGGCGCGGACGGCAGAGAGTAAGGGAATGCGCTCAGCTCGCTGTGCCCGTCCGTGTTGTCCGCCACACACGATCTACGCGACATACACGGGAGGGGGAACGCGGGGGCGGACTCGTCCGTGGGTTTTGAGTTGACTCACTTGTAATCTCTCTCCAACGTCACAAGAAGCGTCATCTCGTTACATGGTCACACGGAGCGTCGTACCGCTGGAGGCGCGGCGTGGCGATTTTGATGATGTGGTCGCACTCGTCGTCCGTGAGGAAGTTCCGGTAGAGGTACGCGCGCGGCTTCCACGCCGATAGCTGCACTATCCGGCTGAAGTCGATCCCCCTCGCGCGCGCGCCGTCATCCTGCGCGCACGCAGCAGCACGGAGCACGTGATTGCTGATCAGCGGGGAGCACGTGACTGCTGATCGACGGGAGCGCGAGAGGTGACTAATCGGCTAACACTGCGTCGAGGGATTCACGCAAGGTTACTGACGAGCACATATACATCGCCGGGCAACAAACACGTTCACAGGTAAAAAAAAACTGCTCACCGTGGTTCGACGAATGGTGCGCTTCTGAGCGAAGGATGCACCGAGGAGATTTTTTAGTTGCGGGAGCGCGTCGACCATAGCAGAGAACGCTAAAAGGTAGAGCACCGTTAGATACGGAAGGTGTACACATGATATCCGCGCCATTGTAGTTAGTCCTACGAGACGCGTGGAATTATTCCTGGAAGTACTACGATTGAAACTAATCTGCTGTAGCTCGCGTGTTGAACTAGTTACTTGTGTAAGGAATTTTGACTACTTGTAACGCCACTGATAACTACGATGATTGTGTAGACGCTGCCAAGAGGAAGCCACCTCTCGTTAGCCACAATGGAGTAAACGGAAAAACAGTGACTTTAATCGCCGATGATTCTCGACGTACTGAAATTCTAGAAAGCTGAGAAAGAAAGTATAGCAGGCAATGTGACGAGACGAGTAAGAGATGGAGGCTCTAGTAATGCGAGGAGCGAGGTATTTTCCTGCTTGGTCCATCACTTATCTCAGCTCCTCCTAATCCACACCACACCAGCAGCACACCGCACCCCACCATGGCACTCCAGTACCAGTATCTCGCTTAGTGAGACTGCAGCAAACTGAGGTGACCTGACGAGGTTCGGCATGCCTGCGCAAGGCGGTTTCGTCAGGTCAGGTCTGTTGCGCTGACCAGTCAAAGCGCGGCGTCAGGCACTGTTTCTGGTTCTGTACGCAGATAGGTTTGGTTCGGGTGAAGGCCGTCAGCTGAGGATTTGGCATGGCAAATATGTGTTGTGTGTTGGTTGGAATGGGACTTCGCGCAGCGAAAATGAAACCGCGAATACAGCGCATGATCTGATGCGCAGATTGACGGCTTCGATCAATTTCATTTCCTCCTCAAACGTGAGTAACGTGGCTGTGACGTGTTTTGTGCCCAAAGTACCAACTTCGTTGTCCAGCGCATTCAAATCAACAGCGAATGAAGCTATCGCGCGTCGGTGATCGCTCAAGGGCCACGAGGTTGGGGCGCTTTCTTCCAGGGCGCGTCGCACATTTGCACCGCTGGCAAGTGTGCTCCAGCGCAGCAAAGAAATATCGCCTCAAGACGAGAATGGCTTGCCTCGAGATAAGTTTCTAACAACCACCTCCGAACCGAACCAGATCTTCGAGCTCAGTTCAGTCAAAACAAACGAGGCGCCAAACCTTAGAAACAGTTCCGCTTTCTCCTAGTCTTTCGGACTTCTCAGTCAAGGCGAGCAGCATTGCAATTTCAGTCGATCGTTACAATGCCATTAGTTTTTACTCCACAGGTCTACTCGCGTACCTTATAGAGACACAGAAGGTGCTACTAATTTCCCAGTCCTCTACGCCTCAAAAGGCGCCACTGACATTTGGCACCGCAGGTCTTGGATTCTCAACTCACGCAACATAGTATTCCACCTTTCTTACGAACCGCGTCAGCACTCCTTCCGTTGGCATGCGACGTTTAGACAGGAGAATGCAGCCAGCGTGGGTCGGCTGCCTAGCCCTCCACGTCATCGTCTTATCTCTCCTACCCACTCTCCTGGTGCGTGCGGGCGACGTTCCTGGCGAGGCGGAGTCGCTACCGGGATGGAAGGGCGCCACCTACGTCCTACCGCCAGGACTTCGGGTAACTAATCCCGCCACAGTCAACAACCGACCTAGTTAGTGCTTTATTCTTCCCCCAGCTGTCCCACTGATAGCGACAATAATCTCCGTGGCGGGTGCGCATGCAGGGACGGGAGAGGGACGCGGCGAATGAGAGCCCTGAGCTGCCGGAAGCCGGGCTTGCGCAGGGAGATCAGCAGAGGAGGCAGCGGACGGAAACTGAAACGCAACCACAGGCAACTGAGTCGTTGGGACAAGGTGACTCTAACGGGGGAGGAGACTCTAGCGGGCGCGCGATTATTCAGCTGTCGGCGGACGAGCCGCGCGCGCATCTGTTCAAGCGGTTCCTGACGGATGAAGAGTGCGACCACATCATCTCTCTCGCCGAGCCCTCGCTCGAAAGGTGAGTCTTGTTTCGACTCAACGCTCGTCTTGGTTTCTGACGGGCGAAGAGTGATACCATTACATCTCTCTCGCCGAACCCTCGCTTGGAAGGTGCCGCCATGTCGATTAGATCCTTTATTTCCAGCCCGCTATAGTCCAATTGGCGTGCATGCGCTCAGTAACCAATGGCGGCACCGCGATAGCCACACCGCCACAGCCGCACTGCGGTAGCAGCACCATACGGGCTGGGAGTTCTCAGCTTCTCCCTCTTGCCTCCACCGTGCGCTCTCCCTCTTTCAACCCCCCCCTCAGATCGACGGTGATTGCGGCGGCGAGCAGCGGCAGCGAGGTGAGCGACATTCGCACGAGCTTCGGGACGTTCATCGACAAGGCCGTAGACGACGTGATAGCGCGCGTCGAGCGCCGCATCGAGGCGTGGACGCACCTGCCCGTGTCGCACCAGGAGGCGCTGCAGGTGAGCGAAGGAGGAGAAAGCAGGACTATTGGATTCCTGAAAGCACCACAGGCTTCTTAACAGGAGGCGAAGCACCACCCCCTAATAGCCTAACAGCCTAACAGCGTAACAGCCTAACAGCCTAACAGCCTAACAGCGTAATAGCGTAGCAGCGTAACAGCGTAACAGCCTAACAGCCTAACAGCCTAACAGCGTAACAGAGTAACAGCGTAACAGCGTAGCAGCCTAACAGCGTAACAGCCTAACAGCGTAACAGCGTAGCAGCGTAACAGCGTAGCAGCCTAACAGCGTAGCAGCCTAACAGCGTAGCAGCCTAACAGCCTAGCATCCTAACAGCCTAGCAGCCTAGCAGCCTAGCAGCCTAGCAGCCTAGCAGCCTAACAGCCTAACAGCCTAACAGCCTAACAGCCTAACAGCCTAACAGCCTAACAGCCTAACAGCCTAACAGCCTAACAGCCTAACAGCCTAACAGCCTAACAGCCTAACAGCCTAACAGCCTAACAGCCTAACAGCCCATGCTCCGCCTCTTCTCCGCTTGCACGGATAATGGAACCGTCAACAGCCACTCCATGAACCGGCCCCGTGCTCCGCCTCTTCTCCGCTTGCACTACTTGTCACCCCCGCTGCCCCACCCCCTCCATGCTATTTGAGTAATCCGTTACATCAAAGAACCGAGTGCGTGCCACTCCACAAAACGCATCGCTTCTCTCTATCCTCCCTCTATCGTGCCTGTCCTCTCGCCATTCACTGTTTCCCCTCGCAACCCCGCCATCAGGTGCTTAGGTACACTCTCAGGAAAAGGCATGGGCAGATGCACGTTCCGTACCATGACCTGCTTTCCCTTACCCAATCCATCCCACCCTCCCTCCCCTCACCGTCCTTCTCCTCTTCCCCCCCTCCCCTTCATCATCAGGTGCTGAGGTACAATGTCGTGCAGAAGTACATGCCGCACCACAACCACTCCGTTCATCCCCCTCTCTCATCCCTGTCCCCCCTTCCTCCCCCGCGCCACCATCAGGTGCTGAGGTACAATGTGGGGCAGAAGTACGTGCCCCACCACGACTACTTCTCCGAACCGCCCATCCATCCCACCCCTTCATCCGCTCATCCTTCCCCCTCCCCTCTCCCCCCCCCCTTCATCAGGTGCTGAGGTACAACGTGGGGCAGAAGTACGTCCCCCACCACGACTACTTCTCCGATCCACCGGAGACGCTGCAGGGAGGGCAGAGGCTGGCAACCGTGCTCATGTACCTCAGCAACGTGACCCTTGGGGGGGAAACAGTCTTCTCCAATGTCCCTGACCCAACTCCCAAGGACCATTCTTGGTCCGATTGTGCCAAGGGTTACTTGGCAGTCAAGCCCGTAAAAGGGGACGCGTTGTTGTTCTTTAGTATGCACCCGGATGGGACTCCGGATGAGGCGAGTATGCATTATGCGTGCCCGGTGGTGGAGGGGGTGAAGTGGTCGGCACCCAAGTGGATTCACGTGAGGGAGTTTGATGTGCCTGGGGAGGAGGGCGATCCGAATGTGTGTGCGGATTCGAATGGCATGTGTGCAGAGTGGGCGGCGGCGGGGGAGTGCGAGAAGAACAGCAAGTATATGGTTGGGGGGAAGAGGTTCGTGGGGGCGTGCAGGAAGGCGTGTGGCGTGTGCACAACCGACAGCACCAATGGGACTGCTGCTGGCGGCGAGGCTGTGCAAAGAGCTGTCTCGTAGGGTGTGGCTGCGTGGTATGTATGACACAATACTCTTGGCTGGCACCTCTAAGAAATGGATGGAGTATGTGGTTGGCTGTGGGCCCGGATCAACCTTAGTAACGAAGGTGCTATATAAATTCATTGTACAGTATTGGCATAGGCAAATTACAGATTGCCTCGCTGCATTTGACGCTAACTGATAAACTTGCAACCAACACCCACATCTGTCATAGGGTATCATTGCACCTACAGGGGAATTGAAGCTGACCTCTTGATCCTGAAGATTGGGTTGGGGCCTTTTGTTCAGAGCATGCCTTGAAGAATCTGTTGCAATTTGAGGCCCTTGGCTTGCAAACACAGCCTTAGCACGAGCAGAGTGGAGCGTTGATGCAAAAAGCCCCTAGTAGGTGAGCACGGACTTGCGGGCGGCCAGGAACTTGTCCAGCCTGTCCCAGAAGGTGAGCGCTGCTGTGCGGTCCTGATGCCGCTTGTACTTGCTGATCTGGGAGGTACAGAGGGGTGGGGAGGAGTGGAGGAGAGAGGGGAGATTGGGGTGGGGTGGGGTGGGGGGAAAGGAGGAGGGTAAGGAGCAGAGTGTGCGCAGAGGAGGAGAGGTGTGCTGTGGGGTGTGACATGGAAGGAGCAGATGTGCGCAGAGGAGAGTATGTACCATGAGATTGCATGGGGTATGGCATGGGAGGTCCCTAGTAGGGGATGTAGGGTGTGTGTGTGGAGTGCTTACAGCGAGGATGCTGCAGTTCCACTGGTTCACTGTTGCTGCTGACTCCACACTGTCATCCTCAAAGCTGTGTGTGGGGGGTGAGGTCCCTAGTAGGAGATGTAGGGTGTGAGTGTGGAATGCTTACAGCGAGGATGCTGCAGTTCCACTGATTCACTGTTGCTGCTGACTCCACACTGTCATCCTCAAAGCGCACAAACACCCCCATCACTGCATGCCCCACGTCACACATGCACACACACACACACATGCGTTCCCACACACATGCGTTCAGACGCACATGCAATCCTATGCGCATGCACACAAACAGGCATAAACACAAGCACACACAGACATAGATACATGCACGAACGGAACATGAGCAGCAAGAGTCAAGTCAGTAAGCACGCCACAAGCACGCCACAACCACCAGTGAAAGCTTCAGAGGACGAAGCCAACCATGTGGGCGTGCAGTGGGTCAGCCCCAGCTCAAGGCAGCAGTCCACACGAGGAGGGGATTTGGAGAGAATAATCGCACGTGGGGTGCATATGCACGCACCTTTGGAGAGGATGTCAACATGGTCCTTGAAGGGCCACCCCTTGAACTGCCACTCCTTGCCCAACACAAACACCGCCGCCACTCGGTCCCAGTCCTGCTCGGGGGGGCATGGGGGACATGCAGGACCATGGTGAACATGAGGGCAGGAAGATGAATGGCAGTCGCACGCCCACCAGCACTGTATGGCACGCTGTAGGAACGTAGAGGCAAGGGGGTTGACGAACACCCAAGCACTGGAAAGAACAAAAGCCATGCACAAGTAGGTCACGCTCTAACCAATATTAGCCTTCACAAGTACACATTGCAGCGAGTCACGCACCCGTTTAGACAGCCCCTCGGGCCGGTCCCGCACGTGGTATACCACCGCCTTGTCCCTTCCCATCCGCGGCTGCACCGCCACCATCTTTTGAGACGTCTCAAAAGTAGAGCACTGGAGTCAATTACTCACCCGTTTCGACAGCCCCTCGGGCCGGTCCCTCACGTGGTATACCACCGCCTTGTCCCGCCCCATGCGCCGCTGCACCGCCACCATCTCGGGCCGCTTCCCCCCCGCCGCTTTCGCCTTCTCCTCTGCAGGCACATACGCTCCATCCTCTAGGAAATCCTTCACGTTGAAAATGTTAATCAGCGTCTGTGCTGCGCTGGGGACGAGGATTATCGGCACCAGGCTCGCTCCTGCCGCTGCTGTGCTGCCGCTGCCGCTGCCGCTGCCACCAGCGCTGCCGTGCTGTTTGTGCTGCGATTGGTGCTCTGGTTTGCCATGAGGGTGCGCGTGGCGAGAGGATGGAGGCGGGTTGGACGGCTGAGATCGGCCGTGCTGCCCTTCTGCCTTCCCCTGAGAGGCGACAACTAGCGCACCCGACCCACTGCCACCAGCAGCAGCAGCACTGCTACCAGCAGCACCGCTGCCCCCCCCTCTGCCGGGCTGTACGTAAGACGACTGGGTGGGGTTGATCCCCAGCTCCTCCAGTGCATCAGTCCCCATGTAGTCCCGCCATACCTGCCTCTCGTCCTGCCGCCCCCCTCCCCCTCCCCCCGCCACCCCCTGCACCACCATTCGCGCCCGCGCCGCCTCCCCGCGCGTCCCTGGATGGGCGCGCGGAGGAGGAGGGGGCGGGCGGGTGGCCGCGTTTGGAGGCCTCCCGGTGCGCCACGTCCAGCTTCTTGCGCTCGTGCTCGCGCCGGTTCAGCATGGCTAGCACCGACGCAAACGCGTCCTTCTTGCGCGGGCACAGCAGCACCGTCTCCCGGTCCCTCACAGGCCTCTCTCGCTTGATCAACTCTCTGATCGCCTCCCTCTCCTCCTCCTCGCTCATCCCCCCGCCTCCCAGACCCACCCCTCCTACGGTCAATCCTGCAGCGGCCATCCCAGGGACAGCTTCTGAGTGATACGCCATGCCTCTTCCCGTTCCTAGGCCCGCCTGCGTTCCTTCTCCCCTCTGCCTCTTCCCGTACACGTCATAGCCTCCCGCTCCCCCCCCGTCTGCTCCTGCTGCTCCCGCCTCTCCTCCAGCCCCACTGGCCCTTTTGTCCGTATCCCATCTGCTCCTCTTCCGAGCCTGATCCCCAGCCTCGGCTGCTCCCAAACCTCCTGGCCTCGTGGCACCGTCTACCGCTGCTGACGTGGAGCCATGCGCGCCTTGCCCTAAACCGCCAGGAGCTGCTGACGTGGCAGCGCCGGAAGAGGGGATGGACGCGGGGGGCGCGGCGGAAGGCGGAGCGGAGGGGGGAAGGCCGATAGGCGCGATGAGATCGATGGCGTCCGTCGTCTGCAGATGGCCTTCCAGATACTCCTGGCACGGCGGAGAAGAGGGGGAAAGGGGAAAAGGGGAGCGCAGAGAGGGGGAGTGAAGGGAGGCGGAGGGCAGGGGTGAGGGAAAATGTGGAGCTCAACCGGGGACAGGCGGTCGAGCTGTCCCTTTTCCGACGAATCCCAGCGGTAGTAGACATGAAATGTGAAGATTCGAGGTGTGTGGAAACCGCGAGGGAGAGAAGGGAAGGACGAGGCGGGCACACCAGGAGCGGCTTGCGATCCGTGAAGGTGACGATCTGCAGGGTTTGCGCGCGCGCGCGCTGCATGTATTCCGTGTGCTTGACCGCCTTGCACTGTACGAACAGCAGCAGCGACTCCAGGTTGTAACGGTCACCGCCGCGGCGCCGGTACGCCGTTTCGACGGCGCGCGGGAAGCGGTACTCATTGCCGAAACAACAGTCGTCGCCGACAATGGTAACCCTATCCAGCTCGTTTCGCATGGTGTATTCACGCAAAACCGACAAAGGATCCATGTTCTTTTATTTTGGATGGATCAATGGAATAACCTATTCGGCCTATGAGTTCCAAGAAGACAGGACAGAGCACAGAGTGGACTAAGAAAAGGCGGCGACGAAACCGGCGTTCCCGTAGCACCCAGTATCAGGATTAGGAGTCAATCATCTATGACCTTTTTGCTACCTATGCTAGAAAGACTGGGAAAGAGTGATGAGTCAGGGGTGGAATTAGAAAAAATGACGGGAGCAGTGGAGAGGGGGGTGAATGAGTGGTGGTAGGGGGTTAGAGAGGGTGAGGATGGGTGGGACAAATCGGCGAGCCTCGCACGTCCTCGCACACAAATCGTACAGGGTCCGCCATACCCTCCGCCATTTTCAGCAGTGAATCGAGGCTTTTGCTCGACGCCACGCTCTCAGAACTTTCTCATTCCACAGCCCAGATCGGCGTGCCCTTCGCATCGCACGTTATTGAACATATCATTTCTTGTTCCGCAGCATTTTTTCTGATAGTGCGAAGCTCGATCGCGTGAAAGGTGACTGACCGGTAGCTTCTGTAGGCGAAGCATCCGTTTTCGAAAGGAAATCCGCACGGGCTCGTTTGAGTAGCGGTATGGCTACAGAGGCGACTCGCGAGGTGAGCACTCGAAACGCGTCTTGAAAACCACTAGACGACGTGTCAATCTTTGAGTAAACTCTAGGATGCTGTATCATTGGCAGTCACTGATAGGCAGATTCGGCATCTCGCGTTATCCTGGCATCTCTGATCTACTCGGCGTCGTATGGATGTGCTATTGTGTGCCGTTCCATCCGCTCCCAGTTCTTCATTGCTCTCTCACCCGCTCCTCGCAACCACTCCTCACCCCGCCAAGCTCAGCGTAACCGTCCCACTTCCGTGGTATCCGTCTTTCCTCTCCATCCATCCCTGCGCATCCGCTCCCCGTCGAACGTCTCCCATCAGCAACCCTCTTCACATCGCCATCGCTTATGTATCCCTACCTCTTACAACTACCACCTCTCATTCGTCAACATTCCTTGAATTCAGGCGTTCGTGGAGCTGCAAGGGCGACTCGTGGAGACGGACAGCAAGCTGAAGCAGGTGAGCGAGGGATGGGTGGGACAGGTACCGCCACTCATCCGTCGTGTCTCACTTGAATCAGTCATTCGTGGAGCTGCAAAGGCGACTCGTGGAGACGGACAGTAAGCTAAAGCAGGTGAGGGTGTGCAGAGCAGGCGGCAGAAGCAGGTGGGACGGAATGAGCAGGAGCGCAGGTGGGGAAATGGGATAGGGTGTAGCAAGAGAAGGGAAGAGGGGGGAGATGTTGCTGCAGGTTGGGGATGTGGGTAAGTATTCTTTTATGGGTACGATGAAGCATCTAAGCGGCTCACACAGACCCCATGGCGTTCCTCCCAATGCTGCTCGCTTTCATCACTCTTCATCACTCTTCATCTCTATCCTCGCTCAGGTGCTAGGGCAGGAGAAGGCATGATAGGGCGTCAGGAACGCCACCATACAAGGCTAATAGCTTTTCCCACGAGTGCTCTCTGTCATCTCTCTCTCTCTCCTCGCTCAGGTGCTAGGGCAGGAGAAGGCGTGCGAGGTGGACGTTTTCACGGCCAGAACGACCCTGGACGAGCTTCAAGAGCTGGCCACGGAAACAAATGTGTATCAGAGCATTGGTGAGTGTGAGCAGAGACAGTGCAGCGGTGTGGAGAAACCAAGACAAAACCAAGACGGTTTAGATTATCCGTGAGACAAAATAGCTTCAGTTTGGAGGATTTCTCCTTCTTTCCGATCCTCTCATTTCTCCTCTTTCCCTGCCCTGTTTGGTTGCTCCCTCGTGCATGGTACCCACTCGGTGCATGTGGACTTTCTCGTCCGGTGTTGCATCAACCCGTGAAATTCCTCCTTCTCCATTGATAATCTCAGGAAGAGCGTAAGTCAGCATAGAGATTCACGGCTTTTTGCACGTGACTCCAGCTCTTTCCTCCACCCCTCCATCCCGCCCTGCTCCTCTTCTTGCTCCTCTCACCGCGAGCTCAGTCCCGTGCCTCTACCCTCGCCGCAATGTTGGCATCGCCTCTGCGCACTGCATGCAGGCCCCGGCCTTGCACCCGCATTTAGCATGCCATTTGGACAGACACTTGGACATTGCATCGCTTTCGTCCAGTCAGCAGCATATCCGCATGCTCCCACTGGCTCAACCCACAACCAGGTTTGTTCTGCAACCACTGGAAGAGGCGAGGGCAACAGAGGAGGGGAAGATCAAGGAGGCCGAGGCCACCATTGCATCGCTGCAGGTCCGCATCTCCCACACTGTTTACCCTCCCACACCCTTCACTCCCACAGCCTCCACTCCTCTCTGTCATCTCCACATGTGCCCTCACATTCCTCCCATTTGGGGTCCTGGTTTTCCTGCTTCCTGTGTGTGCGTGCAGGGGTCAAAGAAGTATCTGGAGAAGCAGATGAGGGAGGTGCAGAGCAACTTCAAGGAGCTCATGGAGCAATTGCCAGCCTCCATTCCTGGCCTATCACAAGCCATCAATGGCTGACCGGGGTAACAGCACTTGTGTAGATACATGTGGCATTATTGTGTCGTCTTGAAGATGAGTAGGGTGCATTGGCTTAACAATCTGTACTTGAGGACAAATGTGAAAAACTGGTGCAAATCTCTGGCAACAATGTGCAGCGCCTCCAGCTCTTTGTTAGGCGAGGCTGTTCGTGCAGCAACAGCTACCGTACATATTCCAACAGGAATGCACAAGGATATATATAATACCAGCAATCTAAATCCTCCTCTTGCGCAGCACTACGCCTCACATGTGGCTGTGAGGCGGCCAATCACATGCGACAGCACTTCCTTCTTTGACAACCTGTAAGCCAGAGCCGCCTCCCAATCCGGCAACTCGTGTACAAACTCGGGCGGGCACATGAGCGGCTTGACCCCGGGATACGTCCCATACAGCACCTGCACCTTGCACGCCTGCACCACCAACATGCGCTGCAGGTCCCCCTCCCGTGTCGTCCCCATGGCCTTCAGCATCTGCTTCGCGCGCTCGAGAATGCCCGTGCCGGCTGCGGGGATGGCGTCCCCGAGGTTGTCGGGGAGCGAGGCGGCGTAGTCGTCGCATGTGGTCTTGGGGTCCTTGAGCCAGCTGTAGTCCACTGCTGGCCGCGCTAGCGCTGCGTAGTCGGGGGCTGTGGGGGAGAGGAGAAGGCAGGGGAAGGGAGGAGAAAACAGGGGAAGAGAGATGGGTGAGAGACGTAGGGAGCGGCAGTGTATTCGTCACACGTGGCCTTGGGGTGCTGCAGCCAGCTGTACTCCACCTCTAGCCCCGCCAGAGCCGCATAGTTGGGGGCTGCAAGGAGAGAAGGCAGGGAAAGGGAGGTGAATGCAGGGGAAGAGAGAAGGGTGAGAGATGTAGGGAGAGGCGGCATAGTCGTCAGTGGGTGGTCTTGGGGTCCTGACGAAGACGAGAGAGGGGGTGAGGAAGAGATAGGGGGAGAGGAAGAGATAGGGGGAGAGGAAGAGAGAGGAGGAGAGTAAGAGAGAGGGGGAGATGAAGAGACTGTGGGAGAGAAAGAGGGAAAGAAGGGTCACTGATGTAAGGAGAGAGGAGTTAGGTGACGGGAAGCAGGAATGCAGTAGAGGAGGCTGTGAGCTGTGCACTTCCACTCTGCGAGCCATGTAATCGCAGTCCGAGGTTGGAAAGGAGGCAGATGAGGGGGGTAGAAGAGGAGGGAAGGGACATGAAGAGGCGGGAAGAGAGGCGGGATGAGGAAAGGGAGGCATGGGACGGATCTCACCTTCCTTGTTCATCACGTGCGCATGCAGGGCTGCCAGACCTCCCAGCAGCCTCGGATCGAGCCTCCCGCCGAACCAAACTCTCAGGCTCGCCTGTGTGTCGATCCTGAACTCTGGCTCGTCCGGCACGCCCTTGTACCGATCCTTGGTCACCTCCGCCTTGAGCGCCTTTTCCATGTCAGCAAACACCTGCTCCACGTCAGTCTGCATGCATGCCACGTGGAGGGAGAGGGAGGATAGCATGAGATATGCATTCAGGCAGAAAGGGACAATGGGCATCGATCTACAACCGAGGACAGGTGAAGAGAACATCTGAGGAAGCTTCGGGGCCAAGGGACAAGAGAGAAAGGCACACAGGTGGAAACAGTGCCATATCCACCTAGTGAACGCCAAACTCCATTCCTCCATGCCTTCCCACTGCCAAACCCCTCTGCCAACCTCCATGGCCTCCCACTGCCGTACCTCCAACCAACCCCCTCAGCACCGTACCTCCATGAATGACTCCCAGTGCGTTCTGAAGTAGTGCCTTCCAAAGAAGTCAATCGCCACCTCGGGGAAATCGAAAATGTCCGCCGAGTCACGGTAGTTGGTCTGCAGCGCCATGCCGCGGGTCAGCAGCGCCTCATCGTTTGCCAGCAGCCCCGACTCCACGCTCACGTGCTGGCCTGCAGAGATGCTGCCCGTGGCTGTGAACGTGATGTGCGTGCCGTTGTCCTGGTGGAGGGGAGGAGGGGATAGGGGGGAGGGGGAGGGAGCAAGGGTTCGTGCTGAGGGACAGCAGCGCCTCGTCGTTCGCCGTTCGCCTGGTGGTGGGGAGGATGGGAGGAGGGGAGGAGGGGAGGAGGGGAGGAGGGATGAGGGGATTCTTGAGTCGACTTAAAAAGTCACCTCTGGGAGATGTTGACCGTGGTCGTGGATGTGATGTGCGTGTCGTTTTACTGGCGGAGGAGGGAGGAGGGGGTAGTGGGGATGAGGGGATGAGGGAGAGAGGAGAGGAACAGAGGGCCAAGGGATTGGCAACGGAGGGTTGGGGAACCTACAACTGCAGAGGTTTGGTTGAGAAGTGCCAGGTCTGTGGTGGTGAGTGCAGGATGTGACGAGAAGCGTAGGGAGCGGATGCGCACTGAATGGGAAACACTGACTCGCTGAGAGGCAGCTCCGGACGGTTCGCACACGGCACGCACCTGCCACATGGCGACGGGCGCGTTGTCCGTGTCAAAGAGGTCCGCGTAGGGAAAGAGCACTGTCTCTGTAGCGTTGCTAGCGCCACTGCTGCTGCTGCCACCATTGCCATCACCGCTGGCACTGTCATCGCTGCTGGCAGTGCTGTTGCTGGTACGGAGTGTGAACATACGCGAGGTGACCATGCCCACCGCCCACAGAAACTCCTCCTCTGTTGCACTCGCAATGGCCTCTGGCCGGCACTTTTTGTACTCTTCTGACAGCATCCGCCTGTGCTCTGCGGTCTGTGGCACACGTTGCAGAGACGAAAGTGAGATAGGCTTGGGTGAGGCACAACTGAGGAGACATGGCTTGGGTGAGGCACAACTGAGGAGACATGGCTTGGGTGAGGCACAACTGAGGAGACATGGCTTGGGTGAGGCACAACTGAGGAGACATGGCTTGGGTGAGGCACAACTGAGGAGACATGGCTTGGGTGAGGCACAACTGAGGAGACATGGCTTGGGTGAGGCACAACTGAGGAGACATGGCTTGGGTGAGGCACAACTGAGGAGACATGGCTTGGGTGAGGCACAACTGAGGAGACATGGCTTGGGTGAGGCACAACTGAGGAGACATGGCTTGGGTGAGGCACAACTGAGGAGACATGGCTTGGGTGAGGCACAACTGAGGAGACATGGCTTGGGTGAGGCACAACTGAGGAGACATGGCTTGGGTGAGGCACAACTGAGGAGACATGGCTTGGGTGAGGCACAACTGAGGAGACATGGCTTGGGTGAGGCACAACTGAGGAGACATGGCTTGGGTGAGGCACAACTGAGGAGACATGGCTTGGGTGAGGCACAACTGAGGAGACATGGCTTGGGTGAGGCACAACTGAGGAGACATGGCTTGGGTGAGGCACAACTGAGGAGACATGGCTTGGGTGAGGCACAACTGAGGAGACATGGCTTGGGTGAGGCACAACTGAGGAGACATGGCTTGGGTGAGGCACAACTGAGGAGACATGGCTTGGGTGAGGCACAACTGAGGAGACATGGCTTGGGTGAGGCACAACTGAGGAGACATGGCTTGGGTGAGGCACAACTGAGGAGACATGGCTTGGGTGAGGCACAACTGAGGAGACATGGCTTGGGTGAGGCACAACTGAGGAGACATGGCTTGGGTGAGGCACAACTGAGGAGACATGGCTTGGTTGAGATGGAATCGGGGAGAAGGGCTTGGGTGAGACAGACAGACTCACCACATGACACGCACAGCATCAGATAGATGATTTGGATGGATGGAACACAATAGGAGACAGGGCAGGGGTTGGGAGTTGATGCTCACAGCTAAGAGCAGCGACTGGGATTGGAGCTCTGTGCGGAGGCGGTCGGAGAAGAGGTGGGGGAAGGGCAGGTGGGCGGGCAGCAGGCGCACGAAGGGCGCCCACAGGGACGCGCGCCCCTTGCCCCGCTCCCTCAGCACCCACGCCGCCAGCGCCGTGAACGGGTGCACCTGGGGGGGTGGGGGGGGGGCAGAGATGTTGAGGGGAGGGGAATGGCCGCCAGCGCCGTGAACGCATGCACCTGGGGGGGTGGGGGGTGGGGAAAGGGTGGCACGGGTGAAGGGTGATGCACCTGGCGGTGTGTGCGGGGAGGAGGGGGTGATGGGCAGATTTGGGTGTGGGGGGATGAAAACAGTGACTGGAGGCACTTCAACGGAAGGGATACTGCGTGGGGGATGGCCGTTAAGAGATGATGAGTTGTCTAGTTCTCCATACCATTATTTGGTCGTTATTTGGGTTGGCGCTACTGCGTCTACTGATAGGCCGGTCACTCACCTCCCCCTCGTACGGCTTTGCCTCTTCCTGCGCGTGAGATTCGGAGAGAGCGAGCGAGCGAGGCAGCGACAGAAACACCTCGCCCTCCGCGATGGGGCGCCGCGCCACCATGCGGAGGTTCGCTCTGGCGGTGGGGTGAGGATGGCAGGGGAAGAAAGGCGGAGGAGGAGGGGGAGGGGGATGGGGGGTGGGGGATGGGGTGGTAGGCAAGGCGGGGGTAAGGAGTGCGTACTTTATATGCTTCAAGGGGAAGAAGGAAGGATGGGAAGAATAACTGCCAGTTAGTTTGGGAAAGGTAAAGTGGGAAAGATGTGCTGGAGAGAAGGGCAAGGTACAGAACATAGAAAGAGGGCAACATCCGTTCTCTGGAGAATTACAAACTGCAATGATCTGACTTGGCTCACCTGGACCTGCCGGAAGCCTTGAGAGTGGTGTTGGCGTCAATAAATACCTGCACGCGTGCAAATGGTTTGCACAGGTTGGGTCAGTGAGAGGATTGGTCGATTTCCTGACAAGGGAAACGTCCATCGTTTCGTCATTGCCATCGTTCAAGGCCATCATCACGTTCTGGTATAGCTTATTTTCCCCAATGCTTTCATTCAAAACACCGCCAACCATCCAGAGACGTATGCTCGTCATACTTGACCTCACCTTAATTGCCGCATCCTCGTCTCTAATCCCTTTCACGCCTTTATCCTCCAGCCACGTCACCAGCTCGTTCACCAGCCGCTCCTCCTCCTCAATTCCCGCTAATTTCGGATTGAAACCCTCCGGCCCCGCTGCGTCTGTCGCCGCGTCTGCCACTCCGTTCGCCGCAGGAAGATCATCCGTCGAAATGATCTGATCCGTCACTACCCCTGCGGCTGCTCCGAGTCCCAAACCCACGCCTGTGCCTACACTATCTCCTAAATCTGCGGCTACAGCGGCAGCGGCGGCAGCGGCTATGCTTGAGTGAGAAGGATTTGACGCATCATTGCCGACAGGGGGTTCGGCTGACGAAGCTGAGGAGGATCGGAGCATGAAGAGTACGAGTAGTAGAAGAAGATGCAAGACGGGGCTGTGGATGATGGTGGTTGCGATTGACGAGCGACGCCATGACGCGGCCATGCCGCGTGCAGTCAGCGTATAATTCGTTTGATTGTGATCCGTTGGTGATCAGAGCGGGATCCGTGTGCGGTCGGTGTGCTGTATTTTAGTGATCTCTTCGAGGCAGCGGAAAGTGCGACGAAATCAGGTGGAACCGGCGCAGCGAATAGCTGGCTTCACTTCACGTTCATGAAGAATGATAACGAGACACCTTCTGACCCACGCAAGGGGACCATCAGCACACGTGAAAGAGGGAGACGATAATCACAGTCGTTCGGCCTGGAGGGAAGTAAGCACACACGCGATCTTCGGGTGTGCCGATACGAGCTACGCGGCGCGACACACTAAAGCAATGGATGGTGCGAAGAGCGAGAGAAGAAATGAATGCTCGAAAGAGGGTGACGTAATATCCCGCGAGCCAGGCAATGGGAGAGCCAGAAGTCCAAGATTGGGTGAAATCCCAAGGTTTTCAAAATGAACGAAAACTCAAGGTTGTCAAATGAGAAGCTCAAGATTGCTGATGAACGAGAAAGCCCGAGGAGGAACACTCTGATCGAGCGCGCGTAGTTGGCTGATTGGATGACTTCGCAAGCCGCGTCCCAGTATGCAGGGAATGAAGACGCATCACTTGCTGCTGGGAATATTCCAAATCCACCGACACAAATTTCACCATATATCCACCTACAGTTGCACAGCTCCAATTTATCCAGTATACAACTTTACCAGTATCCAGTATACTGATCTACTTGATAACTAGATATTAATATTTGCAAGTTTACTACGGTAATGTTCTACCCATGCACTGTAGGTGTGCATGGGGGGTTCCTCTTGGCCGCCAGGAGCAGAGCTCCTGACGTTACACCCAAGCACCGCGGTGAGGTGGGAACCATCGCTTGGGACCCTGTCGGGGGGGGGAGAGAGAAAAAACACAATGCAGACTGCCCGGGGGCAGATGAAAATCATCCTCAAAGCAGGTGCTGCCCGTCCTTGCAGCCGAGCCTTGCTGCTCGACCAGCTGTGTAGTTTTGCTCACTGCAGCTAGGCTGCTGTGAGGAACAAGAGAAATGGGTTTTGAGGCGTATCCCAAAACCCAGAGTTTGCTCACTGCAGCGACTCTGCAGTGAGGAGAACACGAGTTTTGAGACGTCTCTCAAAACTCAGGGACCAACGGATAGACTGACGGAACGGAAACAGAACGACATGCTGCAGTGCACTGCAGTAAACAGAACAGAACCGCCACCGGCAGTTCACAGCTGTCTTGAGGCGCCTCAAGAACAGCACACAAGGACCCCACCCCTCACCCCTCACCAACCCGCCTCCCTCCCTCCCGTGTAGCTGCTGCTGCCGCGCTGCCCGTCCTTGCAGCCGCCCCCACCAGCTCTCAACTCCACCATGATGCGCCCTGCCATACAGGAATGCAAGAGTTGGATATAAGGAAGAAAGATTATTTGCTGGTGAAGATGTGAGCGAATGCAAAAAACGAAACAAAAAGTGAAAGATGCGACAAGGAAACGAAAAGCATGCGAAAACAGAGCGGAAAATATTCCCCTCCCTGAGCCCCATACTCCCTTGTGAAAGTAGGCGCTGCTGGTGACAGCTGCTGCTCCCTCCTCCTCCGCACTCCAACCCGCCTCCCTCCTCCCTCCTGTGTAGCTGCTGCTGCCACGCCTCCTGCTCTGCAGTACAGGAATGCAAGAGGGGGGAGCTAAGGGAAGAAAGGTAAGTGGCTGGTGAAGAGAATGCAAAAAACAAAACAGAAATTGAAACATGCGACAAGGAAACGAAACGAATGCGAAAACAGAGCGGAAATTGGTCCCCTCCCTGAGCCCCATACTCCCTTCTGAAAGAAGGCGCTGCTGGTGCTGCTGCTCCCTCCTCCTCCGCACTCCAACCCGCCTCCGTCCTCCCTCCCATGTAGCTGCTGCTGCCGCGCCTCCTGCTCTGCAGTACAGGAATGCAAGAGGGGGGAGCTAAGGAAAGAAAGGTAAGTGGATGGTGAAGAGAATGCAAAAAACGAAACAAAAATTGAAACATGCGACAAGGAAACGAAAAGCATGCGAAAGCAGAGCGGAAATTGGTCCCCTCCCTGAGCCCCATACTCCCTTCTGAAAGAAGGCGCTGCTGCTGCTCCCTCCTCCTCCGCACTCCAACCCGCCTCCCTCCTCCCTCCCATGTAGCTGCTGCTACCGCGCCTCCTGCTCTGCAGTACAGGAATGCAAGAGGGGGGAGCTAAGGAAAGAAAGGTGAGTGGCTGGTGAAGAGAATGCAAAATAAACGTAACAGAAATTGAAACATGCGACAAGGAAAAGAAACGCATGCGAAAACGGAGCGGAAAACGTTCCCCTCCCTGAGCCCCATACTCCCTTCTGAAAGAAGGCGCTGCTGCTGCTCCCTCCTCCTCCGCACTCCAACCCGCCTCCCTCCTCCCTCCCGTGTAGCTGCTGCTGCCGCGCCTCCCGCTCTGCAGCCGCCCCCAGCAGCTCTCCACTTCGCCATGATGTGCCCTGCCACAGAGGAATGCAAGAGGGGGATCTAAGGACAGAAAGATAAGTTGCTGGTGAAGATGCAAGCAAAAAGAGAATGAAAAAAACAAAGCAGAAATTGAAACATGCGACAAGGAAACGAAACGCATGAGGAAACAGAGCGGAAAAATGTCCCCCTACCTGAGCCCCATACTCCCTTGTGAAAGAAAGATAAGTTGGTGGTGAGGGTGCACGGGAAAACAGAATACAAAACAAAAACAAGACACGCGACAAGGAAAAAACAAGAATACAAGAAACAAAAAAAGGTTCACCTCGGACCCATCCATACTCCCTTCTCAAGGCAGGCGTTGCTGATGGCATCGCACTGCACTCCCTCGGACCCATACTCCCTTCTCAAGGCAGGCGCTGCTGATGGCACCGCACTGCACTCCCTCGGACCCATACTCCCTTCTCAAGGCAGGCGCTGCTGATGGCACCGCACTGCACTCCCTCGGACCCACCCATACTCCCTTCTCATGGCAGGCGTTGCTGATAGCACTGCACTGCACTCCCTCGGACCCACCCATACTCCCCTCTCATGGCAGGCGTTGCTGATGGCACCACACTGCACTCCCTCGAACCCATCCATACTCCCTTCTCAAGACAGGCGTTGCTGATACTCCCTTTGAAAGGGGTATCAGCAACGAGTGCTGATTAGGATTGCGTCAAAGGCCAAAAGAGGAGTTGACTGGGAAGTGTGAGGTGAAGTATGCTTAGGGTGAGTTGAGCGAGCAGTGGGACAAGCGGGAGGATGAGAAGCAAAGAGTGGGGTGGCAGCCACCAATCTCAGACCGCATCCAACACACACTTACCGCGGCTCAGATGGGCAAGAGGGAGAGTGAGAGGAGAGCAATGAGAGGGAGGTCCCACCCCCAATCAAAGTATCACCACTCAGACACACCTTTCTCCCAGCTTTTTACTCCCTTCCACATACGACAGCCTCTCCCTCCAAGTACCCCCTCCTTCAGCTTATCAGCCTCTCCTTCTCGCACCTCCACCTCACCCCAAGGGTGCAGGTGGGAGAACACGAATGGGAACAACGAGCTTCGCTCGCTCCATCCTTGCTCCATCCGCATCGCCTCGCGTGCCGCCAGCAAGCGGGTGGTCAGCAGGGCGGGTAGGAGGCACCCACATGCCAGTGGCTGCCGGCCGTGCGTCATCCCACCTCTCTCGCTCTTCTCCTCGTTCCATCCGCCGCGCTTCGGGCCCGCATGAGAGTGCGTCCGCCCGCAGATTGCGCCCTCAAGTTTCAATCCACCCACGGATTGCGTCTCTCCTCGCCTCACCTCGCCTCTCCTAGCCTCGCCTCACTTCGCCTTGCCTCGCCTTGCACTCACATCCAGAGGTCGTAGTAGTTGCACGCAGATCCAGAGGAGGCGAACGTAGGAGTTGCACTCACATTCAGAGAAGGCGGTCGTAGGAGTTGCACTCACATTCAGAGAAGGCGGTCGTAGGAGTTGCACTCACGTTCAGAGGAGGCGAACGTAGGATTTGCACTCACATTCAGAGGAGGCGGCCGTAGGAGTTGCACTCACAACCATCGTCGACAGCAGGTCAGAGCAAAAATGTGAGAACAAGCGTCAGGTAGACAAGTCGGCAAACCTGCTGCTGATCCACTCACATCCAGAGAAGGTGTCGTTGCCGCCTCTGGCAAGAGCGTCGGTGATAGATCAAGAGAGAGTGAAGAGGCAAGAGTAAGGAAGCTCAAAGACAAACGAGAAGGGCAGCGAGATATATCGAGAGAGAGAGTGAGGAGGCAAGGGTAAGGAAGCTCAATTGGTTTTGTTGTCGCTTGCAGCTGATTGTTGTCTCGCGTCCACTGTAGGTCATCGTTGCACCGCCTTCACCACCCGCTCACTGCGTCAGCCATCCGCCCTCGTCATCCTCCTCACTCCAGGAGCCGCGCTCCAGGCGCCCTCCTCGCCGCGCTCCAAGCGCCTCCTCGCCTCGCTCCATCCGCTTGCATTGCAGCGTCACACTCGCCCTCGCAAGCGGGTGGTCAGCAGGGCGGGTAGGGCCGGCCGTGCGTCATCCCTCCACGCTCGCCCTCCCCTTGCATGCGCGCTGCCCTTCCAAAGAGAAAAGAGAGGCATAGAGGGAAGGAAGATTAGTAGCTGGACAGATGGGTGCACAAGGCACCAAGACAAGCGCGCCTGTGGTTTAAAAAGAAACAAAGCAGAAATTGAAACATACGACAAGGAAACAAAACGCATGCGAAAAGAGAGCAGAAAATATTCCCCTCCCTCAACCCCATACTCCCTTGTGAAAAGAAGGCGCTGCTGGTGACACCTGCTGCTTCCTCCTCCTCCGCACTCCAACCCTCCTCCCTCCTCCCTCCTCCCTCCCGTGTAGCTGCTGCTGCCGCGCCTCCTGCTCTGCAGTACAGGAATGCAAGAGGGGGGAGCTAAGGAAAGAAAGGTAAGTGGCTGGTGAAGAGAATGCAAAAAAAAAAACAAAATTTGAAACATGCGACAAGGAAAAGAAACGCGCATGCGAAAACAGAGCGGAAAATGGTCCCCTCCCTGAGCCCCGTACTCCCTTCTGAAAGAAGGCGCTGCTGGTGCTGTTGCTCCCTCCTCCCCCGCACTCCAACCCGCCTCCCTCCTCCCTCGCGTGTAGCTGGTGCTACCGCGCCTCCCGCTCTGCATGCCATCGTTGATCCGCCTCCACCGCCCGTTCACTGAGTCAGCCATTCGCCTCCACCGCCCGTTCACTGAGTCAGCCATCCGCCTCCACCGCCCGTTCACTGAGTCATCCTCCTCGTCCCCTCGATCCATCCGCTAGCGTCACGCCCTCGCCCTCGCCTCTCCCAATCGCCCACGCTGCTTCCACTGCTCCTCCATGCTTTCTGCTGCTGCCGGCCTGTAGGTGTGCTGGCAGAGGGGTGTACGCAGAGGGAATCAGGCAGAGGGATGCTGGCAGGAGGAGAGGAGAATAGGGAAACAAGTGGACGGAGAGGACAAGGGAGGTGAGAAGGAAGGCGATTAGCATGGCGTACGCAAGAGACAGAACGGAAAAACGGCACGCATGCAAGCAAGGAAAAAATGAAGGATGCAAGCAGTGAGTGTGCGTGAGTAGCGTGAGTGGCGGTGGCAGTGGGTGGTGGCAGCTGCAGGGCGAGCACCAAGGACAATACCGTACCTTAGCACACCTGACGCACTTACCTGCTGTCACACACCTGGGGAGGGTCCCTTGGTGCCGCCCGTGAGAACGGCGAGAGGAGGAGGAGGGCGAGAGCGCAAGCAAGCAGTGGAAGGCACGAGTGGGAGCGAGTGAGTGGTGCGTGCACAGTGCGAATTCAGTGAGATAGCTTAGCCGGATTGAAGAGGGTCGAAGGAGCATGCAGGCGTGCTCCCCTTGCATGCGTGCGGCACCCACACGGCCATGCACCTCTCCTTGCCGCCACACTCCCCCTGCTGCCGCAGCGCCACTCAGAGACGGCACGGTCGGTCGCGCTGGTTCTGCCGGGAGATTGGGCGAGGGCAGTGGTCAGCAGGGCCAGCCCAGGCCGTGCGTCATCCCACCACTCGCCTCTCCCGCTCGCCCACGCTGCTTCCACTGCTCCTCCATGCTTTCTGCTGCTGCCGGCCTGTAGGTGTGCTGGCAGAGGGAAGCAGGCAGAGGGAAGCAGGCAGAGGGATGCTGGCAGGAGGAGAGGAGAAGAGGGAAACAGGTGGACGGAGCAGAGAAGGGAGGTGAGAAGGAAGGCGATTAGCATGGCGTACGCAAGTGACCGAACGGAAAAACGGCACGCATGCAAGCAAGGAAAAATGGAAGGATGCAAGCAGTGAGAGTGCGCGAGTGGCGGTGGCAGTGGGTGGCGGGTGGTGGCAGCTGCAGGGCGGGCACCAAGGACAATACCGTACCTTAGCACACCTGAAGCACTTACCTGCTGTCACACACCTGGGGAGGGTCCCTTGGTGCCGCCTGTGAGAGCGGCGAGAGGAGGAGGAGGGCGAGAGTGCAAGCAAGCAGTGGAAGGCACGAGTGCGAGCGAGTGTGTGGTGCGTGGACAGTGCGAATTGAGTGAGATTGCTTAGCCGGATTGAAGAGGGTCGAAGGAGCATGCAGGCGTGCTCCCCTTGCATGCGCTCCCTGCGCTCCCTGCCCCGCGCTTGTGTGCCTCCTTGAGTCCGCTCTGCTCCCGGAGAGGCGAGCAGTGGTCAGCAGGGCGCGCAGCAGCAGTGTTGCCCGCCGTGCGTCATCCCACTGCCGCCCTCTGCTGGCTCTGCACGAGGAGCAACCAGGCACAGCGGCAGAGAGCACAAGACCGAGTGGCAGTGAGAGCAAGAGCAGGTGGCAGAGAGCAAGAGCAGGTGAAACCAACGTCCGGCAAGAAAGCACGTCGAAGAAAGCAATCGGGGCGAACGAACAAACGAACGAATGGTAAACACATTGGAGCGACAAGTGAGTGATAAGGGAGGGGTAGGGGAGGAAGGCGCATGACGACAGTGGGCCAAGGGCACCATACCAGCGAGCTGTGGCAGCGAGGGGGGACTGGGGAAGAGAGGGACGCGCGCATGGCATGAGTGCACTGCTATCCTAAGCCACACCCACTGGACTCTCTGGACTGGACTCTACATGAGCTCAGCTGTCATGATGCGCCCTGACTCACCGCCGCCATGCGCCTCACAGGAACACGTGTGCTTGGGACGAGAAACGCGGGATGCAGCAACACAACAGAGTGGTGTAAGGGTTGAGGGGGGAACTTAGCGGGGTTCAGAAGCTGCTCGTTGCTTGCCGATCGTTGTTTTCCGCACTCGCCGCATTTTCTCGACACGTTCCGTTTCGCTTCGTCAGCGCCACTCCCCGCAGTTGGCAGCGCCACTCCCAGCACCTCGTCGCAGCTCCCACTCAGCTACGATTGCAGGTCTGCCTGAGGGAAGAAGATGGATGGAGGGAGAAGGAACAGCGAGAGGGCAGGCAGAGAGAACTTGGAATATTATGTTGCAGAAAACATGACAAGGTGGGAAAGAGAGCAGAGGTCGTGGAGAGCAAGAATGAGAATGAATTGGAGTTTGCAACAGCAGAGAATCGAGTGATTGGGGAGGGGTGGGAGGGGGGAAGGCGCATGTCGACAGTGGCCCACGGCACTACAGCAGCGAGCTGAGCCAGCGAGGGGGGACTGGGGTAGAGAGGGAGGGACGCGCGCATGGCATGAATGCACTCCCTCTCCCTCTAATCTCTCCCACCACTCCCACTACACTACACTCTGCATGAGCTCCACTGCCACAGCACCACGGACCACCACCACCATGCGCCAAGCAAGGGATGCGAGGTGAGGAGGGGTGCAATCTGGCAGCAGTAAAAACGACGGACGGGGAGAGCGAGGGAGGAGTGAAGAGGGGAGAGCGAGGGAGGAGTGGAGAGGGGAGAGCGCGAGGAGACTTAGCTACAGGAGAGTGTTGAAGCTGATCATCCGCATCCGCACATTGTCACGCGAGGTACATCGCACGCCCTCGCACGCACTTTGTCGCCACCTTCCGCACACGGACGCGCGCGGACGCACACGGTACGTCGCATGGCGCTCGTCGGACATCGTCGCATGCGGCATGTCGTCAGCATCCGCACAACGTCGCACGCCGATCGTCGTACGCGGTAAGTCGTCATCTTCGCATGCGGGTCTTCCGAACACGATCGCACATAGGTCGTCGCAGCATCCATCCGCGCACCGTCGCATGCAGTATGTCGCCAGCATCCGCACAACGTCGCACGCGGATGGTCGCACGCGGAAGGTCCCCCGAAGTTGGTCGCCGACTTCCGCACACGATAGCTCGCGGTACGTCGCCATCATCCGCACGGCCTCGCACGTAATTATAGTCGCCATCTTCCGCACACGGACGCGCACGGTATGTCGCATGCCGTTCGTCGCACATCGTTGCATGCCGTTCGTCTCACAACGTAGCACGCCGATCGTCGCACGCGGTAAGTCGTCATCATCCGCACACCGTCGCACGCGGTAAGTCGCCATCATCCGCACACCGTCGCACGGGGAACATCGCCCGCGGTACATCGCATGCCGTTGTCGCACATCGTCGTATGCGCCATGTCGCCCACCATCCGCACGGCGCCGCATGCGGAACGTCGCACGCGTTAAGTCGCCATCTTCCGCACACCGTACGCGGTTGGCCGCCGTCTTCCACGCACGGTCAACCGCGTGAAGTCGTCATTGTCCACACACCGTCGCACAGGGAACGTCGCACGCGGTTCGTCGCCATCTTCCACACATCGTCGCATGCAGTATGTCGTCCGCACAACGTCGCACGCGGAAGGTCGCACGCAGTGTGTCGCCGTCTTCCGCCGCGGACTGTTCGTCGCTAGCTGCTCGCCGTTCGACATTCGCTAGTCGCCAATCGCCGCTATCATTGCTCGTCCGCTCGTCTCGTCGCTCGTTGCTCGGAGTAGTTACCCCTTAAGTTTCCGTCTCTGTGTCGTGTGTCACTGTGTCGCCGTGAGTCACCGTGACGCCGGGTGCCGGTTGCCTTGAGACTGCTGCCGTCTTCCCGAAGGTGCTTCTCTTGTTGCTGATCATTACGGCGCCATTCTGACGTGAAAACCGTCGACCCTGTTGGAAACTGCCGTAATAACACTCCGTGCTTCCAGTGCTGCCTGAAGATGCTAGCAGAAGTGTCTCGTGTCATTCCTGACACGGTGCTGCTTCACGTATCATAATGACTTGACTTAACTTTCGGCTTTCGGCGACCATAGCAGCTTTCGGCGAGTACTTGGATGTACGACTTTATCGGAACGACGCTTAAACGAAACGGTAGCGGCATACGCTTCAACTAGAGCGGTGGAAACCTTATCAGGAAAGACCCGTCATGTCGATGAGCTGAAAACTAATAAGTTTACCAGAATCTAGATGCTATTTCTCAACGTGGTAGTCTTCGCGGAAACTAAAACGGTGGAATTGCATTAGCGGTTACGAATAATAGCTACCGCAGTTACCGCGGTTATCAGCCTATCATAAGCTGTGCTGACACGGCTCTACCAGTTCTACCACTGGAACAGACTTATCGAGATAAGCTACTACTGTCATAAATCTTCTCAAGAATATGATCTAATCATAGTAAGCTACATCTCTGAGAGATTTCGACAGCAGCCATGGCGAGCTGAGAAAGCACGAGCTAAGGCTGACTAGAGAAAATCAGTGAAGTGAATGAAGGAACTGGAATTCGGCAGAGGTGACTGGAATGGCCTTGGGAATGTCGCCAGGTTGACTTGGTCTCAGGGAGGCTGCATGCACTTGCTGGAGGGAGGCGACGACAGGCGAGAGGAGTCGCCAAAACAGAGGCTTCCGCTGATCTCCTCCCGCCACACAGAACGGCGCAACAATTCGCGAGCAAATGACAAAGGAGTAACTCGAGGCAATTGGTGTCAGACGACTTTCGCCACCGGGATGGAGTCCAAGCAGCCGGACGAAGCGCAGTTTTTGAATGTTCCGCGCGGGAGACTTCTGCAGCAGGTGTCCATGAAAAGGTTGCGCCGTAATATTTTGGATCGCTACAAGTTTTCGTCTAACATCACACAGTCATTTTTAAGTGTTTACTTCTTTCTGGCTTATGTAGGCAAGGCATCACATTATTATCCAACATAACTTTCACTACCATACATTCTATAGTTGCACATATATAAGGATTGAAGGCCTTACTAAAAAAAATGTACTACCATTAGAAGCAAACGACGCGACAGCACACATCTGTTTGCTGATAGACAAGTTGAGATGTTAGGATGGCCAGCCCGCCAGCTCGCCCTGGTCTTCCCTAATCTTCCCTGCTCCCTCGTTTCAATTGATATTGGTACAACATGGTCATTACACAACTGCCGCCTCTCCCCACTCACCCTCCCTGCAACGGCTCTGGATGCCTGATCAGCTTAACAAAGCACCTGAAAGCCAGCGTGTGACAAACAACAAAAATCCCTACTCCCCCACCATGACAACATGGCACCTACGTCTCACAACAAATCCATGCGAGAACTGCAGCCCTGCCGTCTTCTCCATGCACCCACCACATCCCCCGTTACAGCACGAGAATATCCTACCCCATCCCATCCCGTCCCCCAACCCATCCTAACCCCATCCTACCATAGCTTGTCGTTAACTGGCAGCACGCCCCATGCTGCGGCACCACTCACCCATCTCCACATCCGCCTCACTCAGAATCGACTTCTTAACCATGCGGAACTGCAACACTGTCTCCCTCTCATGCACCCACCGCATCACACCAGGCGAGCACGCCAACTTGCCCGCCAAACCACCTGCCGAACCGCTCGCCGAGCCATGTGTCTGCTCTCCCGCTTCCACTTCTCCCTCCCTGCTCTCCCCCGCCTCACCGCGCCCTTTCCCGCTGCTCCCTGCCAAGATCTCACTCGCACTCCTGTAGCGCCCCCCTCGACATGCCACAAGCTCTCTCAACTGATCCTCATCCTCATAGTAATCCGTTGAGAATGACCATTTTCCTGACTCTGCTTCTGATGCCTCTCTCGCTGCCTGCCTCTTCTCCTCACCTGTCAGCCCCACGCCCATGAGGGCTCTCACGCGCTGCTGTATCGCGCACGCTGCTTCTGACAGGGCGGAGAGGATGTCTGCTGACGTGGACTGGGCCAGCTGCTGCCACGTGTCAGCAGCCTGTGCTGCCATGTCATGAGGTTCGTCTGCTGTGCTGGATCCACTTTCTTGATCCTCTGTACCATGTGAATCTGCCTCTGCTTCCTCTGCTGCTGCTCCGACATTATCGCCATTATTATCACCATCATCAGCACCATCATCATCAGCAGCAGCAGCACCATCATCAGCAGCATAATCATCATCAGTAAAAGGCTTTCCGTTGTCCAAGATGGGTGCACTCAGATGCATGGCTGCCCTGGCGAGCTGTTCCGCATCCAACTCTGGAGATGAGTGAGCATGGTTTAGGGTAGGGGAGAGGGCAGAGGAGGGGGCAAGGGCGAGGGATGAGAAAAAATAGTCATCAACTCTGGACTCGCACGCCCCCTCCCCCCATTCTCCTACCATTTTACCTCCGAGCACTCACCTCGCCCTGTGTTCATGAAGTGCCACACAGCAGCAGCCATGGCCAGCATCTCAGGGCTCACATGCCCGCCCGCCCACACCACCAGCTGCTTCTTCGCGCTCTCAAACTCCTCCTCCTCGCCCTCCATCCCCTCCCACCACTCCCCATCCGTGCTGCCATCCCCACTCACGCCATCCCCACTCGTGCCCTCCCCACCCATACCATCCTGCACTCCCTCCCCCTGCACCTCCCCTTCCTGCGCCTCCCCTTCCTGCGCCTCCCCCCCCTGTGCCTCCTGCCCCTCCCCCTCCTCCTCCGCCTGCCCCTGTCCCTGCACCCCTGTCTGCTTCTCCTCTCTCATCCTCACCACCACCTCCCTCACCAACGCCGCAACCTTCAGTGCCCCTCTCAGTGTTGCATTAGCAGGGTGTGAATGGGTGGGGTGCGTTTGAGATGGGTGCAGCTGAGTGGGATGCGTTTGTTGCACTGTATGCTCCACCAGACGAGCAGAGCTGGAGGCAAAAACCAGAGGGTTGGGGGGACGAAAAATGGGAGGTTTGGACAAGGGTTGGAGGAGTGGAGCAAAGAGAGCATTTAGATACTCAGTGAAGGGTGGCTGAGAGTGCTTAGCAATGCAGCACTCACCTGGGAAAGAGCAGCACGGTATCATGGGGGTTGTACGAAGGCACGAAGCCATACTCGGACACCATGTCGACGGTGGGCTTGATGGGCCTAGATTCACACCGGTGTCACATGCACTGCAATGCACCATCCTCACCTGGGGAAGAGCAGCACTCACCTGGGGAAGAGCAGCACTCACCTGGGGAAGAGCAGCACTCACCTGGGGAAGAGCAGCACTCACCTGGGGAAGAGCAGCACTCACCTGGGGAAGAGCAGCACTCACCTGGGGAAGAGGACGACGGTATCATGAGGGTTGTACGAAGGCACGAAGCCATACTCGGACACCATGTCAATGGTGGGCTTGGCTCCATATGATATGCTCAGGGGCTCGCCTTTCTCGATGGGCTGGTAGGTGGTGAAGAGGAAGTGGTCCCCTGAGAGCTGGAGGGGAGGGAAAGAGGGAGGAAAGGGGGCGGGAGACCATGCGATATGCTCAGGGGCTCTCCTTTCTCGATGGCTTGGTAGGTGGTGAAGAGGAAGTGGTCCCCTGACAGCTGGCGAGGAGGGAAGGGATGAGGTAAGCGGGCGGGGAGGGGGGGTGCAGAAGTTAGAGAAAGGAGGGAGGCCGGGGAAGGGCCGTACGATATGCTCAGCGGCTCTCCTTTCTCGATGGCTTGATAGGTCGCGAAGAGGAAGTGGTCCCCTGACAGCTGGCGAGGAGGGAAGGGATGAGGTAAGCGGGCGGGGAGGGGGGGTGCAGAAGTTAGAGAAAGGAGGGAGGCCGGGGAAGGGCCGTACGATATGCTCAGCGGCTCTCCTTTCTCGATGGCTTCATAGGTCGCGAAGAGGAAGTGGTCCCCTGAGAGCTGGCGATGAGGGATGGGGAGATGAGGGAGAGGACGGAGAGGGGGCGGGGAGGAGTTGGGATGATGCCTAGTGGGAAAGAAGGAAGAAGGGAGAGCAGGAAGATATTGGGATATATGGCACCTCCCACCCCTCACCTGCCATTCCCCTCACCTCCCACCCCTCACCTGCCATTCCCCTCACCTCCCACCCCTCACCTTCCATCCCATGTTGGGGTAGTAATCATGGTTGAACAGATCAGCGAATGGGAGCATGGCTGCTGACGTGGCATACCAATCCTCCTCTCTCCTGCCACTGCCACCACTGCTGCTGCTGCTGCCAGTATTCCCCTCCTCTGCCTCGCCTTCTGCCTCTTCTGTTGCTATTCCTTCCGCTACCTCTGCTGCTGCTTCTGCACCATCTGCCCCAACTGCACTCCCATCCCCATCCCCCTCCGCTCCCTCCGCCCCCTCTGCCTGCTGCTCCTCCCCACCCTCACGGGAACGCAGGGCAGGGGAGAAGGTGAAGCAGCGCGATGTGACTATAGTGAGAGCCCAGTAGAACTCGGAGCGCGTCGCATTGGCGATGGCAGCGGGGTTGCTGCTGTTGCATCTGTCGTACAGGTCAGCATATGCTGCTTTGAGCCGCGTTGCCTGTGGTGGGGGGAGAGAGGGGGATTGAAGGGGCGGAAATGGAGTAGAATGGGGAGGGAGGAGGCATGGACGATGGCAGCGGGGTTGCTGCTGCAGCGATCGTACAGGTCGGCATATGCTGCCTTGAGACGCGTGGCCTGTGGTGAGGGGAGAGGAGGGGGAGAAATGCATGGGCAATGGCAGCAGGAGGGGGGGGTGCTGCTGCTGCAGCGATCGTACAGGTCGGCATATGCTGCCTTGAGACGCGTGGCCTGTGGTGGGGAGGGGGGAGAAGAGGGGAAACGGGGGGAGCGGGGAGACGGCAGCGAAGAGCCAAGGCAGGGGTAGGCGGGCAGGGAGCGCAGGAATTCGTTCAACTTCCCCTCTCACTTCACCCCTGCTCACCACACTCCCTCTCACCACACTCCCTCTCACCACACTCCCTCTCACCACACTCCCTCTCACCACACTCCCTCTCACCACACTCCCTCTCACCACACTCCCTCCCACCACACTCCCTCCCACGCACTCCATGAAACACCCACCTGGTCAACGATCGTCCAGTACTCAAACTCATAAGGAGCGTCCGGGGGAAGAGGGCAGGCAGGGGTACATAGGCGGGCAGGGAGCGCAGGGAGCGCGCCCAGGGGGAAGCAGCGCCCTTGGCCCTCTCTCATCCCCTCTCACCCATGAATGCACTCCGTAAACCCCCACCCACCTGATCCACAATCGGCCAGTACTCAAACTGGTCGATCAGGCCTTGAGGGAAGAGGGCGGGCAGGGGCACGTAGGCGGGCAGGGCGTGTGCGTCCCTCAACACTAAGGGAATACTCCCCCTCACTACAGGACCCACCCACCTGATCCACAATCGGCCAGTACTCAAACTGGTCGATCAGGCTTTGAGGGAAGAGAGCAGGCAGGGGCACGTAGGCGGGCAGGGAGCGCAGGGAGCGCGCCCAGGGGGAAGCAGCGCCCTTGGCCCTCTCTCATCCCCTCTCACCCATGAATGCACTCCGTAAACCCCCACCCACCTGATCCACAATCGGCCAGTACTCAAACTGGTCGATCAGGCTTTGGGGGAAGAGCGCAGGCAGGGGCACGTAGGCGGGCAGGGAGCGCAGGAAGAGCGCCCAGGGGGAAGCAGCGCCCTTGGCCCTCTCTCGCAGCAGCCAGGCTGCCAGCACGGTGTATGTGTCCCACCCATACGGCACCGGCAGCTGCATGTCGTATGGCAGTAAATGGCGCTCTGACTCGTTCTGTTAAGGAGGTGTGGGGATGGATGAGAGGGGTGGAGAGGAGTGGAGAGGGGTGGAAGGGATAGTTGGAGAGAAGGGACGGAGTCAAGGCCTACTGGTTGGGTGGTTTGCCTGTCACACCGACAAAGTCACACCCACACAGTCACACCCACACAGTCACACCCACAGTCAAACCCACACTGTCACACCCACACAGTCACACCCACACAGTCACACCCACACAGTCACACCCACACAGTCACACCCTCACAGTCACACCCTCACAGTCACACCCACAAGGTTTCAGCTATACAAAGTGACATCCACATGTCTCGCCCACACGCAATCACACTCACACTCAGTCACACTCGCATACAGCCACACCACACTCACCAGGGCAATCCAGTTGGCCACTATGAAGAACCTTCGTGGAATTATCAGAATCACCTCGCCTGCCTCTATTCTGCGAGCTGCCTTAAAGCCAATGTCCGCCCTGCCAGTGCCGTTAGGGGGACGACAAAAGGGGGGCGGGAAGGGGGGGAAAGGGGAGAGAAAACAGTGCACGTCTGGTTCTAGATTTGAAGGGATTGTTGGTTCAGGAAAAAGGTAAGAGGCTAACATTTTAAGTAACCCCTATGTGCGGGCATCCCTAAGCACTTAGTTAAGTCTCCACCAGCGGAACCCTGGTGCAATCTGGTAGAATCTTAACTGGGAATGATTCTAAAGAGCCCCTACCGGGTGTCATTCGGTTTCCACACGCTTGCGCCACCCTCGGGATTCTCCGAAGCGCCTCGAGCTTCAGGCACGGCTTCGTGCACGCTGCGAGTGGAAAAGTCCACCTGGCGACATGCGGACACACGGGAAGGTGACACGTGTCAACTTGTGAAGCACCACGCGGCAGGTGGCGAATCGCGAGGCGTTGACGAAAACGCGCAGCATTTTGTGACAGGGAATGTAACTGCGCTTCGAGTCGTAGATCTTTCGCACCAACCTCGATAGTGCCGTCAACGACAATGCCATACTCAGATCCTTCCGAATCTCTCGTCCAATCCAGTCCCATCCACGTCAGCATGTCTTCCACCATGGCGCGCTCCGATCCTGCCACGTCATGCTCGACGCTCCCAAGCTTTCTAGATCCTCCGTCGTCCGCGGACTCGTCTGGATAAGATTCGGCTGCACTATCAGAGGTCTTAAAATCAGCTTCATCTTCAGACGTTTTTAAATCCGAAAAGGCCTCAGATCCTTCGGGCGACGCGTCGGCACTAGCAGCGCAAGTCTGTGAACCAGCGGCATTGCTTTCCGCGCAATGGCCGGCGTGATCGCCGGCGGGTTGACCGGCGGATTTCCCGACGGTGGTGTCTTGCGCAGAGGAGACGGTCGCGAGCAACAGTACGAGGAGAAATGATACAGCGAGCAGGAATGCTAGGGGGACGCGGTGACGAGTGCGAATCGCGGAGAAAGTTAGGCGACTAGATTCTTTGCGAACCGCTCCTTCGCGACCGAAACTACTTTCACCATGACAACCGCGAGTTTGGCGGGTACGCAATAGTACGGACATGGCTGCTTGGCATTGCATGTGTCGAACCGAACGCTGAAGCAGCAACGTCTGGTGTGGCGCAAAATAGCTCACAGAACAAGGAGCTGATCTGCGAGATGCATTTCTCGAGAACAGATTCCCGCCAAATTTCTAAGACAATGCAAGGGATATACTCGCTAAAGAAAATTCTTTTCGATCTACCGCCGGTTATTCATCACTTTGAATGTTTGCTCAGGCTTAGGCTGGAAATGCTTAGGAGGGAATCCTCCCATTATGAGCATTTTGCCCAGGCAAATGCAGCTCAGAGGATACAACCGTTTTTTAAGGATAGTCAACCCTTTTGCGGATGAAATTGCGTTAAAGCGCAACACAGTCAGTGCTAGTCTTCCTAATGCCCACTTCAGCATCATCATCCGCAACCCCAGATCCCAGCGGCATACAGTGAAGCAAGTCAGCAGGCAGGCAACCTGTTGAGCTGAGATATCTCAACACAACCAACAGCAGGCTACAAGAAAACTCATTTAGCCAAACCACAAATGCACTACACATAGACATATGCATCAGAACGTGTGGCTGAGAAAGGCACACTGTTTCCCTCCCTCTCCCATACCCAATACGGGCACGCTTGCCAAACCCACTCCAGTGCCCGAGATAAGCCGTTTTTCTATCCAAACGCCACTCCTGCCAGAAACCCCACTCTACTGCACCAACTACCGCAACCCTGCCCCACAGCCTTCCCAAACAGGTCATTCTTATTACCAAGCCTGCTCCTGTCTCATCATGAGAGAATGATGGTTTATAGGTCAGCTGAGAAGGCCATTCGCCAAGCAGACCCAGACAAGTAAATACCTGCTGACTTATAACGAACCCCCCACCCCACTACACCAGTGAATCCTGATCTCTGCTCTCTCCCCCTTCCCCAGCCACATCCTCTCTATCCATTCCTCTTCCTGCCTCTCTCTCCCCCTGCCCAGTCACGCTCCCAACCTGGACATTCCTTCCAGCTGCATCCCTCCCCTCTCCCTCTCCAACCCTGACCGCTTCAGGCTGGTTCTCCTCGTTTTCCCTCTGCCCGTTCCTCCCTTGAGTCACAATCGGTACAAGCACATCCAATAGAGCACCATCAGCACCCCTTGTCCCTGTTGTTTCTATCCGGCCACCCGCCCGCTCCTTCTTCCCACACCCGCAACACCTCCCCTCCTCCCTTCCCCCACTTCCCACCACCTCTCGTGCCTCTCTTCTTCCCCCTTTCCCGCCCTCCCCCACCTCGCCATGACCATGACTCCCCACTCGCCTCCCTACTTGCCCCTGCCTATGCCCGTGCCCACGCCTCTGTCTCCCCCCCTCCCCCCTATTTCCTCCTCGTTCCGCTTCTCTCGAACCTCCGCTGCCCCGTCCCCTCCCCTCTTCCCGTCGCGGGCCGCTACCCCTGCTTTCCGACGCGTCAATATTTCCGCCAGGGGAACGGGAGCTGGAGGACCGGGAACCAGAGGAAGACGAGGAGGAGGAAGCGGCTAACGACGTTAACGAGGAGGCTGAAGACGAGGATGACGGGGCGCGGGAGGAGCGCAGGGGGGCGGAGGGAGAGGAATCGGAGCGGGAATCTCCGCGCCCGCGCTCTTGCCTCGCGGTTGACGCGGCGATTTCCGCGGCGAGAGACGCGGCGGCGCTCGCGGCGGCGGCTGCGGCAGACGCGGTTCGGATGGCGGACTCAGGAGCGAAATAGAACGCGGCGCCGACGAACGCCAGGACGCACACAGACGCTAATACCGCGGCTACTGCTAACGCGAATAAAGTGACGCTGTCCGACGATCCGGAATCCGACGTGGCAGTTGCGTTCGCAGGGACGGGGTTAGAAGACGAATATGTGGTCGCCGTGACATTCGACGATGACGTGGCAGAAATTTCCGTGGTGTTACCGGAATCTGCGCGGGGAATCGCGGACGCGGGGCTCCCTGATGAAGGGGCGGCAGATCCGGTGCTACCGGGAGCGCAAGGCGCGGAGGAGGATAATAGCAGCGCCAGTGTAGCACCATCGAACGGCTCTGCTGCCTCGCAACTTATCGACCTTACTCCCATCTTCTGCAGCGCGACGAACGGCGCACCTATCGCTCCTCCCTGCAACCTGATCGTGCGCACCTCCCCCCGTAATTTGGACCCCGCAGTGCCCGCCGCGTGTTGCGGCGCCGAGTTTACGGCAGCGCTGATGCTACCAGGGGAGTCGAGGGCCAACTTGCTGGATGGTTTCGGGGCGGGTTCTCCGGCCGATCCGGAATTCGGGGAAGCACTTGAGGATGAGCCGTTGGATGAACAGTGTGGGGTTGATCGGACGGTGGAAATTAAATAATCCCACGTAGGCATGACGATGGCGAAAGACGGTTCTAACGGCGAGCAGTTGACGGACGACCAGAAGACTAACGACCGGCAGATGTAAATGCGCTCGCCAATTGATTTTCCAGCCTGAGTCGCTTCTATCTTGCTTGTAGCGGGTGAGCTTGTACCGGATATGTTTGTAGCAAGAGAGCTCGTACCACCAGCAGTACTCTTATCCGTCGCATTGCTGGCTGCGAGAGCAGCGGCGAGAGCAGCAGACGCATCCCCCAGCCAATCAATCCTGAAAGACCGACTCGCGCTAGGTCGTGGGATCCGGAGGCAACTCGCGGCAGGGCTCGGCGAAACAACGGTGACGGGCGCCGGGCAGGAAAACACTTCATCCGGGCAGCTGGTAATTGCAGTGAGCATTGAAATTTGCCCGCTGTGGCCCGGTTTTGACGGCACCGGCTGCGTCAGCTGCGCAGGATCCGACGGTCCAGTGACTTTGTGAAGAGTTACTTCTATCTCAACCAGCGGTGCGGCACTTGCGGCGGAAGTTACGGCGGCAGTTGCGGTGATCGGCGCGAGTGGAAGGGCGAGGAGGAGACCGAGGAGGAGGAAGCTAGACGAGGCGGGGAGCCGCCATCTGTGGCGACACGGTGTTACCCGGTGACGGCGTGGCGAAAATCGTTGATGGTTCTGCGACATCATGTATGACGATATCGGTATAAACGCTATCGGTGTACCGGAATCGACGCTCATGCTACGACACGGGAGCGAACAACCTCGCTCCACAGGGCGCTCCGAGCTCCGTTCTCTATGTAACGCTTACGCTAAGCTTTAGTCGGTCTTTAAAAGGCTGAGCTTTTTCGTGGATTATGTGCGACGGCACGCGACGGTGTGCGACTCCGACCACCTCGCGACGGTTCGCAAGTCTTCACTAAAAATGCTTCCCAATCTTCCCCACTATCTCTGTCCTTGCAGGGTCTTGTGTCGTCCAACCCCCTCGCTACTACTACCGTACATGGCTCGAGCGAGTTCTCAAACGAAGCTAAGACGTGCTATGCTGCTCGTTTGGGGTAGCCATGGCGGATTAGAGGTTGCAAGTGAAAAGGTGGTTGAGTCGCAGATACATGTGTAGAGGAATATTGAATGGAACAGTGCACCTAAAGGACTGAACAACGTGGGTTCCGGGCAGAAGGGAACTGTCAAGTTGATCTGTAGTCTGTGCCCTGGTGGTTGAGGTTCGCGGCTTGTGGATGAAAATTCGTCTCGGGCAGATGGAGTTGCTTGGACCTACGATTTTCCAGGCACACTCTGCGATCTATTATTGTAGCACTTCGTCGCGCAGATCTCAACTTTGCCTCAGCGACACTGTGTGGGATATGTGCTAGCTTGCTGTGGGATGGCTATGGCGATCGCTGTGGCGGCCAAGGGGGGCTGATGTGCAACGGGCGATGCAATTGGAGAATAGGTGCAGGCGACTCTTTCTGTAGCAAGCGAGAGACTCGCCTGGAGGCATGCGATGGTAGATTGAAGGCCAGGGATGCGTTTCCGTCATGACGAGGCAGAAGAAGGGGCAGCAAAAGAGGTCGCTTGCGACGGGTGACGAAGACGCATGGTATCGTTGTGTGGTGGGATAGCGTGGCTACGACGATTTGCGATGAGAACGGCGAGAGAACACACCAATTGCGGTGGCTGCGAAGGCTAGGTGGAAGTAGGTCTGTCCAAGCATCGTCGCGGTTCGTCATCGGGGCAGGACGACTCGGGTCCCTCAATGTGAGTGGTGGAGCGAGGGGCTGTGATCAGGACGACGCGCTCAGACACGGCAGCAGAAATAGGACGGCGTTTTGTGCGGCACGAGATTGGGGAGAGGAGATGGAGCAAGTGACGACGATGAACGAAGAAGTTACCAGCTGGAGTGCTACGTGGCAGCGATAATTTTATTGAGAAAGTAAACGTGTGTACATATGAGTGATTCTTATGCACAGAATGTGATAGAAATGAATGTTGAGAATAGCTGGGCTGCTTTTAATGCAAATCTCCACTGTTATATTTGCAAATGATGTTGATACAACACGTCATTTGCCTTAACCTAAACAGCATAGGTGGCCATCACACAACCCCTCTCTGCCTATTCTCCCTGCAAGGACTCTGGATGGATGCTTCATCCGCCTAACACAAAACCTGCAGGCCAGCGAGTGACAACAGGCGTCTCTTGCTCTCCCAAGACACACCGCCACAGCCAGGCTATCATGCTCCGTGTCAACTTCCCTACATATCTCTATGCTACCATGCACCCGTGTCAGCAGAGGTATGTGAGGAGGAGGCAGCACTGCCACTACCAGCAGCAGCCTGTCTGCACCACATGTCAGCCAGTAGCTGGTACCCCGAGCTCTTATACCCGTCCCTGTGCCACACCACCCGTGCCTTCCCTCCCGCTGCTCCCCTCCCCGCCCCACCTTTCCCACTCACCCCACCACCACCACCAGCAGCACCCCCAACACCACCACCGCCAGCACCACTACCACCAGTGCCGCCCCTCTCAAGCCTACAAGCCTTAGCTCCTCGTCGCTATCGTACCCGCAGTCGAGAGCGAGACCAGACGCCCCAGGGTGTGGTAGGTGCAGCAGACGCACGGAGCCTAGGAGGAGACGGACGGAGGGGGAGGGCAGTGGGGTGTAGGGCGTCGCGGGGAGAGGAGTTATGGCGGTGGAAGGATTGGGCTTGCCTCGCCGCGACTCGCTGTGAACCTGTTGGGGCGGAAGGATGGGTATGAAATTTGCTTTCAACCCTCACCCTGTCTGATGCATTCACATTTAAAGAAAGGATGAGGAGTGTATGGGATGAATGATGGCGTGAAATGACGAGGAATGAGTTGGGGCTAGGAGTAAAGGGCAGAGCATGCGTATGTCATGGTGACGCATCACTTTCTAACCTCAAACATGGTATATCTTCACTACCTATCACCCTCACCTCGCTGTTGCGCTGCTGTAGCAGGGTGGAGGAGACGGGGTCGGGGCATCGGGAGGGGCATGGTGGCGCAACCACATGTTATCCTCATCTCACGCCAGGCATGGCGTGAACTTTGAGATCAACCCCTCATCTCACTGTCAACTCGGACTAACCATTCTATCGCCTCCCTTCTTCCCCTTGCCGCGCGCTCCCCCCGTTGCCTTCCGCCCTGCTCCCTCCCCCCTGCCCCCTGCTCTCCGCCACGTCGACATTCCCGCCAGGGGAACGGGAGCGGGAGGAACGGGAACCCTACGAAGAGGGGGAAGAGGAGGAGGGGGAAGAGGCAGCGGCTAGTGACGATAACGAAGAATCCGAAGACAAGGATGAGGGGGCGCGGGAGGAGCGCAGCGGGACGGAGGGGGAGGAGTCAGAGCGGGAATCTCCGCGCCCGCGCTCGTGACCCGCGGTTGACGTGGCGATTTCCGCGGTGAGAGACGCGGCGCTCGCGGCGGCGGTTGCGGCGGACGCGGTTCGGATGGCGAACTCGGGAGCGAAGTAAAACGCGGCTCCGACGAACGCCAGCACGCACACAGACGCCGCGGCGACTGCTAACGCGAATAAAGTGACGCTGTACGATGATCCGGAATCCGACGTGGCAGTTGCGTTCGCAGGGACGGGGTAAGAAGACGAATACGTCGACGATGACGTGGCAGAAATATCCGTGGTGTTACCGGAATTTGCGCCGGGAATCGCAGACGCGGGACTCCCTGAAGGAGAAGCGGCAGATCCGGTGCTAGCGGGAGCGCAAGGCGCGGATAAGAGCAGCGCGAGTGTAGCAGCATCGAACGGCTCTGCTCCCTCGCAACTAATCGATCTGATTTCCATCTTCTGCGGCGCGGCGAACGGCGCGCCTGCCGCCTCTCCCGGCAGCGTAATCGGGTGCATTAACCGTTCCCCCCGTAACCTGGATCCCGCAGCGCCCGCCGCATGTTGCGGCGCTGAGTCCGCGGCAGCGCTGCTTCCAGGGGAGTCGAGAGCCACTTTGCTGGTAGATTTCGTGGCGGGTTCTCCGGTCGAACCCACTGCAAATCCCCCCGTCGTCCCCCTGCCGATTCCCCCTGATCCCCCTGCCGATTCCCCTGATCCGGGATTTGCGGAAGTACTTGAAGATGAGCCGTTGGATGAACAATGCGGGGAGGATCGGGCGGTATAGATTAGGTTCTCCCAGTTGGGCATCATGACGGCGAAAGATGGTTCGAACGTCGAGCAGTTGACAGACGACCAGAATACTAACGTCCGGCAAACGTAAATGCGCTCGCCGCTCAGTTCTCCACCCTGAATCGCTTCCATATTGCCTGTAGCGATGATAGTGGTAGCAGGAGTGCTTGTAGCGGATGTGCTTGTAGCAGGAATGCCCGTACCGCCAGAAGCGATCTTATCTGTCGCATTGCTCGCTGCCGCGAGAGCAGCAGCGAGAGCAGACGCATCCCCCAGCCAATCGAGCTTGAACGACCGACTCGCGCTAGGCCGTGGGATCCGGAGGCAACTCGCGGCAGGGCTCGGCAAAACAACGGTGACGGGCGCGGGGCAGGAAAACGTTTCGTCCGGGCAGCTGGTAATAGCGGTGAGCATTGAAATCTGCCCGCTTCGGCCCGGTTTCGACGGAACCGACGGCACCGACGGCGTCGGCTTTGGAAGGCCCGACGGGCCCGTGACTTTGTGGAGAGTTGTTTCTATCTCACCCGTCGACGCGACACTTGCGGCGGAAGTTACGGAGGCAGTTGCGGTGATCGACGCGAGTGAAAGGGCGAGGAGGAGACCGAGCAGGAGCAAGCTAGGCGAGGCGGGGAGCCGCCATCTGTGGCGACACGGTGTTACCCGATGACTGCGTGGCGAAACTCGTTGAGGGTTCTTCGACATTACGAGTGACGACATCTGTCTCGTCCGCAATCGCCTCTCCTGCTCAGCACGGGAGCGAACAACTTCGCAATACGGGGCGCTCCGAGCACCAATCTCTACGCGGCGCTTACTCTACTACGCGGCTTTCAACCTGCACTCCTTTCAGGGTCTTGTGTCGTCCAACCCCCTCACTACTAGTACAACACATGACACGAGCGAGTTCTCACGCAAAGCCAAGGCACGCTGTGCTGCTCATTCGCGGCAGCCATGGCGGACAAGGAGTAAGTGAAGAGGTTGTCGGTCGCTGATTACCGCTGAAACTCCAAAGAGAAAGGAACATTGTACTCATATGGGACTGAAAAAGATGGGTTTCGGGCAGAAAGGGAACTGTGGAGGTGTTATGTAGTCCGTGCCCTGGTGGTTGATGTTCGCGTTCGCGGTGGCTGAAAAATCGTATCGGGTTGATGGAGTTGCTTGGACCTACGATCTGTCAGACACCCTCTGCGATCAGTTGTAGCACTTCGTCGCGCGGATCCCAGCGACAATCTGTGTAGTGTGCCTGCTTGATTGCCAGTGAGGGCTATGGCGATTGCTAGCAAGAGACGGCTGAAATGGAAGAGGCAATACAGTTGGAAAACGGTACAGGCGACTGTTCCGTAGCAAACGAGAGACTCGCCTGGAGGCTTGCAATGATGGTTGATTGAAGACAAATTGCGTTTCCATCATTGACGAGGCAGAAGAAGGGGCAAGCGAAGTACTGTATGTGTTTGCGACGGCTGGCGAAGAGGCGTGGCATGGTTGTTCGGTTGTGATGGTAACGCTGAGATGATTCACGAATGGAACGGCGAGAAAACACACCAATTACGATGGTTGCGAAGGCACACAGGAAGTCGGTCTGTCAATGTATTGTCGCGGTTTATAATTGAGACAGGACGACTCGGGATCTCGCGATATGATTGGTGCAATCAGGGGCTGTGATCAAGACGATGCGCGAAGACAGTGCAGCAGGAAATTGGGGAGGAGGGCATGGACTATGTGACGACGATGAACGAAAAACGTTACCAGCAGAAGTGCTACCTTACATTGTTTCATAACGTATGTACAGTTATTGAGATATTCGTATGATAATCATGATTGTGATGGAAATGAATGTTGATAAAAAGGGTTGAATGTGGACAAGGGACGGGACGGAGGGACCACCCTGGAAGCAGTCGTGTGGATATGTGGTGGTACAGTACAACTGATATGGGGTGGATGTGATTGATTCAGGATCAGCAAATTGCAACTGCCCGACGGCGACTGCTGACGAACAAATGCCTAAACTGGCGTGTGATGTTCCGTGGCTGACGTCCCGGCCACTCTTCACGCGAGGGAGTGCGGCAATGCCGCGCAAGCTTCACGGGGATGATGACGGACGAAAAAGGAATATTTAGGATATGTCGACGTGGATCGAGCACTTTTGGAGCAGAATTTTTTCGTGTGCCACATCTACAGGCACAAAGGTGACTCTGGTCTGGAGATAATCAGGGGCTTCTTCAATAGCCAATTAGCTGCTTGAAGGATGATCACCCGCCCCGCAACGCAACCCTTAGGTAACTCTACCGCTGCCAATAACCGAACAAATTGTCAACATATGAAGCCTTTCTTGCTGCTTCCAGCCGCCAAGCGAACACATGCGGCGAACAAGTTTAATCGTAGCACTTCGCCACTACTTCGGTTTGTCTTCCCACCCCTTCGCTTCCCTGTAAAATCCAAGCATCCCATGCGCCTCAGCTCACATCCAAGCATCTTCTTATGGCGTGTAACTTTTTCCGTTTTAGGCAAATGTCCGGACGGAGCCCCAAAACCGTCCGAACGGAGCTCCGTCCGGACGGATGGGGATGTGGTTCGGACGATGAAGCGTCCGTACCACAATTGTGACACTTTTTTGCAGTTTCGAAATTTAAGATTTGAGCGAAACAGTAACACGCATAACCTCCCTCGCCAGCACATCGCCCAGTTCGCAAGCATGCATTTCGGGCTCGGTAATGTTTGAGGTTTCCAACTACCCACTTCGTCCTCTTGCTCGCGTTTACTGTGAGTACAACACACAAACTGAAAGCTGGAGTGGGAAATAGATTCGCCAAAATTGTGCCTCGCGCGCCAATGAGGTTGCAGGAGTTCCGGACGGTCCGAAATGCTGTCCGGACGGTCTCAGCAGCGTAGAACGGACAAAGCACTGAAAGAAAAGTGTCAGATTTTGTAAGGACGATCGCGACGTCGCGAGGGGCCTTGCGAAGTCTTTCACGAATCCTGGCGACAATTGTAACCCTACAAATGTCCGGACGAGGCATCCGTCCGGACGATGAAAAGTGAAAAAGTTACACGCCCTTAGTTTGCCGACCATTCACTCTCCCGTACACTCTCCCCACACGTGCCAGTGACAGGCAACGCACAGGCAGACTGGCATCCAAGCACAAGTCAGTTCGCCGCTCAGCCCCTTGCACTTTTTTCCCAGCTTTAGCTAGCCTTATCAGCAGTCGTCATGCATGCTGTAATTTCCAGTTTTACGGGATTCCCGCCGAATGCTGCCTGCTTGTGCGCGCCGAATCAACTCTGGGTTCGCCACGCCATCATGGCAGCAGATGCTATCCTCCTAAGCGGCAACGGTCTTGCCGCCACTGCGTTCTCGAGATTTGCGTCGCCTTGTGTTTCACGCTTCGTCGCACAACCTTCGGACGAGTGGTTTCCCGCTTCGGCCTCTGTTCGTCAAACGGTCAATTGCTGCGATTCCGCGAGCTGCTGCGAAGATACAGACGCGTCGTCGTCGTCGTCGTCATGCGAACGTTGTCGAACTTCGCACGACCAATTCCACGACTCTCCTATGGACAGATTGAGGCTGGGCGTTACCTCACTTCGAGGCCAAATTGGTCATCTCGGTTACCTCCACGCTTTCGCAGACGTCGCGAGGGACGCTCGAACAATCGCTCAGCAAAGACAACGAGGATATTTGAGTCGCGATAGCGTGTTTTCGGATCCGCAAGCATTCAACGAGGATTACGCCGTGTCGTACGGGTCACAAATAACTCATGGCCGCGAGTTTTCGATTTTTTCTTCGCACGAGGGAAGTCGGCCCTTAGTACGGCATCGCGACGCGTTCATGAGCGGTTTTTGCGGCGTGACTGGCGGCGAGAGGCGCATGAGCTACGCGGCGCGGGGTTACCAGAGCGCAGCGGCGATGGCGGTGGTGGAGGAGGCTCGCGAGGAGGCGATGAACGAGGAACGGTGGAGAACGGTGGAGGAGAAAACGGTTCTATCGTGTACCACGTTCAACGTCCTTGCGCCAATTTACAAGAGAATGGGTGTCGAGGTAAGGCGCGTGGACAGAGAAGTCAGAGACGAATCGCTTGTGTTATTGTCATTAGGCCATGCACTTCTGTGTGTCATGCGTTTTGCTATTCACTTTTCTTTTCCTCAAGCGTTGCTTATGTAAATCTCTCCATATCTCTCACCGTTACCGTTTGTCTGTTGCGGCAGAGCGAGAGGGAGAGCGCGTGTCAGCATGTATGGCGGGAGCGCAATCAGGAGATCATTAGCACGTTGCTCGACACCAAGTCGTCCATCCTGTGCTTGCAGGTGCCCCGATTTTAGGTTTTTAATTCAATTTTATTGGTTGAATCTGTAATTGTGATAAGTATGTACACGGGACGCAAGTGGCTCTTCAGATACTAGACCCAGGTTACATCGTTTGCTGTAAAATGTTATTGGCAAGGTTAGTTTCTCGAGAGTGTCATCCTTCTGTGATTTCCTTCCTCATTGTCTCTTCTGCCAATCTGTTTTGCAGGAATGTTGGCTGGCCAATCCGGAGTGGGTCGACATGTACGACACAGCGTTACAGGGTGCTGGTTACCAGCTTCTCAAGCTGCCTCGCACAAACGCCAGGGGAGATGGTGAGCGACCATTATGCAACTTTGTATACATGCATGATGCATGGGTACACCACCACCCGCTGTGCTTCCTCTACTGTCTGCAAGTCATCATTCCTTTGCTCCGGTCAACCCTCCCTCTACTTTGTTCCCCATTACCATCGCCAGGCCTCATGATGGCAGTGAGAGCATCCGAATGGGCGGTGGTAGACCACCACCTGCTGTTATCCCTCCACTGACTCCCCTTCGTCTCCCCTACACATCCCCATCCCCAGGCCTCATGATGGCAGTGAGAGCGTCTGAGTGGGAGGTGGTAGACCACCATCCGCTGTGCTTCAACGACTGTGGCGACCGGGTGGCACAAATTGTTCGACTCCGGGCGAGGCGAGGAGGAAGCATGAAGGGAGGAGAGGAGGAGGAGGAGAGAAGGGGGGAAGGGGAGGAGGTGGTGGTGGCGAACACGCACTTGCTCTTCCCACACAACGCCAACTCCAGCATTGTGCGCCTGTGCCAGGTGTGTGCCAGGTGTGCAGGCTACAATTGACTTACTCGGAGACTTCTCAAGAGTGACTCAAGAAGTCAACTCAAACATTCTGTGTGTGTGTGCGTGTGTGTGGTGTACAAGTTCCTGGACTTTTGAGACGACTCAAAAAACGTGTGTGCGCGTGTGCATCTGCACCAGGTATACAAGCTCCTGGAGCGCATCGATGGGTACAGAGAGGAGAACCACGCCGGTGCGCTTCCCGTCATACTCTGCGGGTGAGTTCCGTCATATCTTCCTTTATCTCCCGAACTCTGCCTCTGCCTCTGCCTTCGGCTAGTGTGCGGGTGACTTTTTATATCTGTATGTCCTCTTCCCTTGTCGTGTTTTTACTGTAATCTGCTCTTTATCTCACTCCATGTTATGTTTTCAATGTATTCAGATATACAACTTAATATTTGCCATTCCTTCTGTAGCTGTTTGACTTCTCTGTGTGATGCCTGTGTGACTGTACGGGTGTGTGATTGCACACGTGTGTGACATTGCAGGGATCTGAACGGCACGAAGCAGGGCAACGTGTACAAGCTGCTCAGAGCGCATGGCTTTGTCTCCACGTTTGACTCCGTGCACCATCACAGCGACGACGACGAGCAGGTACTGCCTGCCTCCCTCTTTCTTGCATATAGTGCAGACCACTTGGATAGCACTTGCATTGCAGCAGCAAGCTTGGCTCTGTGCTCACCTCTCCGTGTTCCATCCCTTCATCATCTCCCTCCTCCGTTCCTCCCACTTTGGTTCCCCTCCTTCCCTTTCCCCCAGTGGGTGAGTCACCGCAACCACCACGGCAACCTATGCGGGGTGGACTATGTGTGGGTGCTTAATCCAGAGCAGCACCACTCGGCGATTGCTGCTAACTCGGTTCTGTGCTCACCTCTCCTCGATCTATCTCCCTTCTCCTTCCCCCTCCTCCCCCTCTTCCTTTCTTCGGCCCCAACCCCCAGTGGGTGAGTCACCGCAACCACCACGGCAACCTATGCGGGGTGGACTATGTGTGGGTGCTTAACCCAGAGCAGCACCACCGAACGATTGCAGTCAACTGGCGGACGGCGGTTTTTGGCCTTATTCGTTCCAAGCTAGCTTCGGCCGGCATCACCAACGTGGAAACTGCTTTTGAGTTTTTCCTGCGGGCGGGGGAAGGGCGGGCGGGAGGGGAACAAGCGGCTGCTGCTTTCAGCATGGGTGATTTCCAGAGGGGTCTGGACCGACTGGGGTTGACTGGCGTTGACTCCATCGGACTGACGCGCATTGAGGTGGAGGAGCTGATGAGGTCCGCTGACTGCCAGGGAAGGGGCTGCGTTGACTTTCAAGACTTCAAGGTAGACCAACTGACCCCTCCGTGATCTCTTCTTGATCACTCTCGTTGACTCGCGTTGACTTTGGTGTGCACTCCTGTCCACCATTGAGAAACCACCCGTGCAGGCAGGGTCAATCACTCCTCTTGCACTCGTTCATCAACCATTTCTCTCCTTATCCCTTCTCCTTATCCTCCTCTCTCTTCCCCCTTCTCGCTTCTCTCAATTCCACCAGGCTCTCTTCGACCAGCCCACGTGGGATGACACCGTGGCAGCTCTCAGACAGTCTCTTGCCACGTCATGCTCTGCTGACTCACTTCCACCACCTGCTGACTCAACCGCTGTGGGTGCTGCTGACGTTCACAGAACCACCTCTGACATCAGCAGTGCCTCGAGTGACATCAGCATTGCATCAGCTGACATCAGCAGCAGCCCTGCCTCTGGTTCTCTCCAGTTCCACCCCTCCCCACAACCATCACAGCCCTCTTCCCCATCGTCCCATTTCACCCCATTCCCATCATCATCACCCTTGTGTGCATCTCCCGTCTCGCTCCTCTCCCCTTCTCCCTTCCTTAACTCGCTCCCTCACTCTCGTACTCATTCTCTCCCGGTTATGACTTGCTCCTCCTCCTCCCCTCCTACCTTCTCCTCTCCTCCCACCTCCTCCTCCTTCTCCTCCTCTCCTCCGACCTCCTCTCCGCCACCCATTCACTCCCACCACTTATTCCGATCTGCCAAACCTTCCATGCAGTTTCCTCATCTGCACCTCTTCAGCCATCTCCCTCTCTTCAGGTCCGGCATTGCCGATCCTATCACAGCTTCGGCAGATCCTCTTGCCTTTTCACATGCAGTCGCTGCCTCGGCAAGAAGACAGTCGTTCCAGCAACAGCAGCAGCAGCCACAGCAACAGCAGTACCAGCAGCATCACCAGAGCCAGCAGCAGCAGCAGCAGCAGCAGCAGCAGCAGCAGCAGCAACAGGAGAGGCAAATAGAGGCAGAGTGTAAGCGGTTGCGGAAGAAAATGGGCCTATCCGGGTGTACAGCACTCCGAGGTGACTGTCAAGGATGTTCTTTTAGCAAGGCAGTTGCTCTTCAAACTCACACAAAGGGGGAAGGAGGGGCGACAGAGAGAAGAGTGAGAGGGACGACCGAGGGGATGGTGAAGGAACAGCTGGGTAGTGGAACTATGCCAGGGAGCAGTGGAAAGGAGGGAGGGAGCGTGCAGCTGCAAGGTGCATTGAATCTGGACGTGCTGCAAGCAACCCTGTTCCCAAGGGCCATGGAGGAGGGCGTGTGGCCGGAGGACTACACCATTTCTGACCATGCTGTTCTCACGGTGCGATTCGGGCGGAGTTGAGCCGTGACGTGACTATGTGACTGTACAAGGTCGTGGGAATTGGAGCTACAGGGTAGTGGATTTTTGCTTTTGATTGTCCTTCGTGCAGGATTAGGAGAGGAGGTGCCTATCGCTGTTGATGCTTGAGATGTTTTACGTTGCGATTGGCGATTTTGGAGCAAGAGCTCACCAATTTTGACTTGGATTGAATGATGTACATATGATACGAACACAGTCCATTCTTGCAACGACAGCTATGAGAATGCTCTGGAGTCAGAAACATAGTGGCATCTGCACCTTGGCTGTTACGGAGGGAGTGAAGGTAACTAGCGTCATGGTTCTTGTAAAGAAATGGAACAAACGAAGGGCTACAATCATATTTTTATATAGTTCGTACATTATGGTAATAATTTGTGACGGAGATGTTGTTGCCGGGCCACCAATAATTGTGCGTGCGGACCCAATGTCAACTGCTCAGCTACAAAAAAATGCGACGTAGCGACGTTCATCGAAACGCACTCCAAGCAGACATTTGCGACTCGGTAATTCGTCTCGAACAATCCCCAATAATTGCACTGCACGCCTCACAAGAACGAGCTCGTTGCCTCGCAAGCATCCTTCCCTCTCCCAGTTTCTCAAGTCGTCGCCACAACAACAGTGGGGCAAAATTGAACTAGCTTGCTCGACAGGGGTGGTTCAAACAGCATTGAATTGCTCCTCTGCTACACTCTCCAGGGAAAACGAATAGCATCACGTTAGCTTCGTTTCAGCCAAGTCCTGCACGTCCATTACAATGGAATCACATAGTTCCGGAAGAATGGCAAGGACTTGAATAATGCGAGAATTCAGTCCGTTACTCACTGACCCACGCACCGGTACGATATACCGTTGTTCTTTTCCTTTTTGGTGTGGTTTCCAGACGCGCTTCGTCTCCCTGGAAGCCCTGAATGTAGCCATAGCGGGCGGTCTCTCACTTCAAACTCGTGCTCTCGGTCTCCGAGTCGACTGAAGTTAACTCAATTCGTTCGACTCTCCATAGCTTGGTCTGTCAGTGGCATTAGTTTTACTAGTCAGCGTATTCATAGCGAAAGTTAAGAAAAGGCCGAACTTTCTACCAAAGGTTTACGTCGGCGGCCCGCGCAGAGTCAACAAGAAGGCGCGGGAATATGGAGATTGCCGGGAAAGAGATACCCTTATGGGCACTGATCGTAGCAGGCGTGGTCTCTGCTTTCATCCTTATTGCGCTGCTCTGCATTTGCTTCCGCTGTTTTAAGTCCGCTAAAGGCTGCCGCAAATGCTGCTACAACGTGTTCTGCTGCGGCGGCTGCTGCTGCCCCTGGAAGCGCCACCGACGGGTCGTCGCGACAGACGACGCGGATGGCGGCGCGAAGGCGAGTCCATCGAATAGCCTGGGCGTCAAGTACGGCAGCGGCTATAACTCCGCCGCCCCATACGCCGCCGCTGGCGTGACGGCGATTACCATTCCGCCTGACGTCGGCGCTCCGCAACTGGCGCTGAGATCCCCGCACGCTGGCGCAAAGTTTTGGCGCAAGGTGCTGCGGTCGCCGGGCTTTAAGGACATGGCGCGGAAGAAAGCGGCGCAGCAGCGGAGCATGTCGTTCCAAAAGTTCGACCTGCTACAGTTAACTCGCGCTACAAGGAACTTCAGTAAGCAAAACTTTATCGCAAAAGGAGGCACGTCCGAGGTTTACCGAGGCGTGGGGACGAACGGAGCGCAGTGGGCGGTGAAGAGATCCGTTTGGCGGCAAGGGGGCGGGGATACCGGCGCCATGCTGACGTTTCGCCCGGCAAACCCGGCGGCTTATGCGGAGCTAGAAGCGGATTTCATTTTCGGCGCGAAGTCTATGGCGGTACTGTGTCACCAGAATGTGATTCAACTGCTGGGTTACTGTTTCGAGTGCGGCGAAAGGGTGCTTATATACGAGTTCGTGGGCGGGCCGAGTTTGGAGTCGATGATTTTCGGGAATACCGACGTGTGGAAGGAGAAGATTACGATGTGGCGAAGAAGTTCGCGAAACGCTCGCGCGCTCAAGGACCTCGGGGTCGTCGCGGAGGGCGAGGAGGATGGAATACCGTTCGATTTCATGCACCGGCTGCTGATCGCCGTTGATATTGCCGAGGCGGTCGCGTACCTGCACACGGAGTTCCCTAGGCCGTATTTACTTGAGGGGTTGCATCCGAAAAACATTATTTTCGACACGAACGGCGTTCCCAAGGTGGGCAACATCGGGCGGATGAAAGTTTTGATGACCCGAGACATCACTGGCGGCTTGAGCATGCTGGGCGGGTTACCACACGCGCCGACGTTCGCAATCAGTGGTTACATCGACCCAAGTTTTAACCTCACGATGGAATCCTCGCCGCCCAATGACGTGTACGCTTTTGGCGTTATCCTCCTCCAGATATTCACCGGCCGCCCAGCCGTGATTGAGAACGAGCCTGGAGAAACTACCGCGAAGCTGGACCTAGGCACTTGGGTCTCGAAGCGCCTTAGGTCGGGAGGAGACGCCGGCATAGGGAGTATAGTGGATCCGCGGCTCGGCACTGCCTACCCTGCTGACGTCATTCGGAGATTGTTACAGGTTGGGTTGGACTGTCAACTGTTCCCCGCTAAGAAGCGCCCCGGTATAAGAAAGGTTGCAGAGCGTCTATTGGCTATTCATGAGGAGTTGGTTAAGGAGGGTGGGGTGGTCGTGGTGGATATTCCCGAACCTGAGCCCGAGGCTGGGGACTTCGTGGTTGGGGAGGAGGAGGGGGGCAAGGTGAGTGGAGGAGGAGAGAAGATGGGGGAGGGGGTGGCGGAGGCCAGTGGGGAGGTGATGGGGGAGGGGGTGGTGGAAGTTAGTAGGGAGGAGATGGGGAAGGGGGCGACGGAGGTTAGTGGGGACGCGATGGGGGAGGGGGCGACGGAGGTTAGTGGGGACGCGATGGGGGAGGGGGCGACGGAGGTCAGTAGGGAGGAGATGGGAGAAGCTACTGGGAAGGCGGAGAGAGAAGGGGGGAGTGAGCAAGAGAGTGAGGAGGGGATGAGAAAGGAAGACGCAGGGGAGAGGGGCAGTGTGGGAGATGTGGGTGTGGAGGGGGATAGCAGCGAGGAAGGGAGGGGGGTTGAGAAAGCTGAAGATCAGAAGAAGGGGAAGAAGGGGAAGAAGGAAAAGAAGGAGAAGAAGGATAAGAAGGAGAAGAAACGGAAGGAGGAGGAGCAAGCAGACAGGGAGCAAGTGGAGGTTGGGGCGGACAGCAACGTGTAGCACGCTCACACAAGGCAAGGTGTACACTGTAAGAGAATCTCTCTCACTTCGACTCTTTCCGGTAGCCATCCATCATGCAGTCTTGCTACATGTAAATCAGCTCTCACCCCTCGTGTGAGCTGGTACAATCCAACCCCTCTTTTTCATTTATGTGTTCCTGGCCAGGAAAGAGAATACCTGCAGCAGGGAGCATGGAGCAGGCTGCACTGCATTGGTGAGGCTGGAGGAGAAGGAGACATGATTCAATCGCAGGCAGCTTTCTTGGTGCTCTTGTTCAGATCAGATCGTGAAGGTGAATAAGTGAGAACATGCTGAGCTGCCTGGAGCAACACGTTACGTCAGGATGAAACGCAAAATGCTGCACATTGTTCACCCTAAGTGTAGTACACATGTATTATTAGTGTCTCGTTGCAATATTTATTATTGACTCAACTATATGTTATTCCACGGAATATCAAGCATTCTAACCAACAAGTATCAGTGCCATATGAAAACATAGGCCAATCACTGCCCTCGGGACCCCCACAAGGTGCACCTGCGCAACCAAGCTCAAAAGGACATTCCTCTTGCCACCATCCATCCCATGGCATGGTAGGTAGTGCACAAGGCACAGCTGCTCTTATTGAAGGGTAGTGCAGCCATGCAGCACAGCAGAAGCGGCCTCGTTGGCAAAGAATCACAACTGAGGGTGCCTCGCGCGCATTGACAGAAACCACTTAAAAAACGAAGTATATGTGTAATGGAACAGCACACGTGGTTTTGTTCCATAGCTCCCAACAGCCAAGGCACGCACCAAAGCCCTTCCTCACTTGCGCAGGTGCGGTGAAACCTTGGCGCGCCCTCTAACCCGAACAAAGAACACTGCCAGCCCCACCGCGGCAACGAGAGCACCCACGCCGAGAGAGACTGCTAGCGCTATCACCCACGCCTTGCTGGATGCAGCGGGCGAGCTCGTTTCTGTGGCTGGTGGGGCGCTGGTGAGAGTGGTTGAGGGGCCTTGATTGCCTGAAGCAGCCACACGCACTCCAGTCCAAAGCAGACCAGCCAGATGCACGCAGAGGTAAAGCAAGAGGGGGAGGGGAGCATGATCGGATTTAGGATGTCACATGGGACGGGATGTGAGGCGTGGTGGAGTGGAGAGTGCCCCCCCACAATGGTGAAAAGCAAAACGGAGAGGAAGAGCTGAGGAAGAGAGGGGGGGAGGGGAGTGGAGTGAAGGGGAATGGAGCACGGTGGAGGAAGAAAGGAGTGAATAAGGCAGTAATATTATGGTATGAGAGTATGGAGTGCCTTAGTAAGTTAAAGCACTCACTGGTTTCCATGATCAGCACAGTGTAGGGACCAGGGCAAGGGGCAGCGAAGGATTTTGAGATGGTTAAGGGAAGTCGTTAGGTTGGTGCACTCACTGGTTTCCTGCACAGCCACAGCGTAGAGCCCAGGGAAAGGGGCTGAGAAGGTGGCAACGCCAGGCTGCTGCTGCTGCTGCTGCTGCTGCTGCTGCCAGAGCAGACGCGCGTCCAGCAGCTGCCAGCCATCCACTGGGGGGTAGCGATGTGGCTGGAGGGATGTTGAGGGTGCTGCTGCTGGTGATGGTGGCGATGGGGATGTGGGCATTGTGAGAGGGTGGAAGAGTACGGCTATGGCAGGAGATGCTGGGAAGGACGCATTGATGGCGGAGGAAAGAACCTCCTGCAGTGAAACGCCCTGCACAGCCACCGCCGCCGCCGCCGCCGCTGCTGCTGCTGCTGCTGCTGCTGCTGCTGCTTCCGCTGCTGCTGCTGCTGCTGGAACGGATGTTGCTGCTGGTGCTTCCGATGCTACTGGGGCTGCCACGGGTGCCAGTGCTCCTGCCAGAGGGGTCACTGTTGATTCAGGCTCAGCCCCCCATGCTTGCATATCAGCACAGGGAGTGTTGCCGCTGCTAGGGTCACAGGGGTCCGGCAGGGTGAATCCGATCATGAGCAGAGGCGATGCAAGGGCAGGGCGGGACTCAGAGGCAGGCTGGGAGGCAGGATCCACTCTCGGGTCCGCAGCAGGAGGGTGAGAGTTGGATTGAGGAGGTAGAGCAGGAGGGAAGGTGAAGGATACAACGTCAGAGAGCACGTTGAAGAGCAAAGGCGTGTCTTCTACTGCTGGACTCGGCGCTGCTGCTGCTGCTACACCCCCATCCAGGGATCCTCCTTTCTGTTCTCCTATCCTTCCCGCTTCTTCTCCGCTCTTCCATACTTCTCCTCTCAACCCTTCTTCCACTCCCATCCCCACGTCTCCTCCCCTCGCCACCAGCACCTTGAAGCCGCCACTGCTGGCAGTGCTGGGTGCAACGAGGGACTCTAGATTGGTGGAGGCAGGTGGTGGTGAAGGGAGGGGCGATGGGGATGGGGATGGGGATGCGGATAAGAATGGGGATGGTGCTGCCGATGGTGGGCTGGATTGACTCAGGCTTCTGCCCTGCTGAGCATGCTCCTCGGCGAATGGGGCCGGCAGCATGGCAGCGCAGCGGCCGTCACATGCAATGGTGACTGAGGGGAAGGAGGCTGAGAGCTGGCGGGACGGAGAGTATGTGTCCGCAGTGGTATCTGTAGCAGCATTGCCGCCACTGCCAGCAGCATCCACTACCTTGGTTCCCCCTTCACCTCCTCCATCCTCTCTCCTTTCCACCCCAGCCAGGGATATCGCCCAGGCACTGACCACAAACTGCACTGAGGGCGGGTTTGGGTCCGCATTCCCTGCTGCATCCACAGCTCTAGCACTGAACGCATAGACACCATCCGGGAGAGCAGCACTGAACGAATACGCGCCGGCAGGCAGAGGTGCATATGGAGATGCGCCAAGACGGGGGCTTGCGGTGGGCGTTTGAGTGGGGGGTGAAGGGGAGGAGGGGGTGGTGGGTGGGGAGGGGAGGAGAGAGGCGAGGGTGACGTCAGCTGTGAGTTGGGAAGGGGGTTGTGGCGGTGGAGGGAAGGTGGAGCTGTCTGTGCTGTGATTGGTCGGTTGTGTGTCAGGCATGGGTGGGAACGAGCCAATGCAAGGCTGCCACGTGGAAGTGCCTCCACTGGTGGCTCCTCTCTCCTCTACACCTTCTCCTCCTCCTCTTCCTGCTTCTCCTCCTGCTAACCCTCCTCCCATCATCAACTCAAGCTTACACTCAAGGCGCACTACTCCACTCCCTCCCCCCTCCTCCCACCCAATCACCCGCACAGTGGGGCTCAATGAGGAGGCGACACCTGGCACGCTGTCATTGGCCCACGAGATGGACGTGGAGGGTGGGGTGGTGTCTGGAGGAGGGGGACAGGGGGTAGGAGGGAAGGACGTGTGACAGGACGCCAGTGGAGACACGAGTGACCAAACGAACTGGGGGATCTCGTGACCAAACGAACTGGAGAATCAAGAAAGGAACGGATAGACGTGGGCAGAAGGGCACGCACCGACAGTCCAGGAGAAGGCAGCCCACGACCCCCCACTGCGCTGCTCCCCCAGCAGGCGCACCCAGAGCTGGTGGCGGCCGTCTGGGAGAGAGGGCAGGAGGAGGGGACTGCTGCAGGGCCATGCGAGCAGGGGAGGTGGAGGAGGAGACTGGGAAGGCGTGGACGGTTGATACGGCGTGGAGAGGAGGAGGGGCGTGGAAAGCAGGACGCATTCAGAAGGAACTGTTGGCTGATTCAGTGTGTCCTCGTTTGAGGACGTTCCGTTACTGTGAACGGTGATGAAGTGGAGCGTGGCAGAGCTGTTGCTGCTGTATGCAGGTGGAAAGGGGGCAACGAACGACACTGCAGCAGCAGCAGCAGCAGCAGCAGCAGCAGCAGCAGCAGCAGCCTGTGAGACAGGTGGTGCACCACCATCCGTGCTGGAATCAGGAAGATTTGGTTGGCTGCTGCCTGCTCCTCTTTCTTCCTCCAGACCCAACACCACCATAGGTGCCTCCACAGTGAAACTGCCCGTAGCAGATGTGGTGCTAACCACACCCCCTCTGTCTCGTGCCACAACCAGCAGTCTGTACTGCCCAGGTGAAAGCCCAGGTGCTTTCAACGGACTGGAGCACGGCGCCCAGGCTCCTGGAGATAGCAGGGGCGGGTCCGGCGAATCAGCCAGCGCCACGTGGCAGAGGAATCCTAAGATTCCAGAGCCTGATTGGCCGTCTGAACCAGTGAAAGTAGCGAGTAAGGTAGCAGAGGGGAGCGGGGTTGGTAGCTGGAAAGTGGAGTTGGTAGGAGTAGAGTTGGAGGAGTTGAGAGGAGTGGAGTCAGGTATGACGGAGAGCGACAGGATTTGCACTGTTGGGGGTGTGCTGTCAACTGTGAAATCCAGCAGCAGTGGTTCTGCTTCGTTCCCCGCCCAGTCTATGGCTGACAGCTGCCACGTGTACGTGCCATCTGGCAGGTTGTAGCGCACGGGGCTGACACATGGCGAGAAGGGAATGGTGGACGAGAGGGGTGGCGAGGAGGGAGAGGCGGAAGAGGAGGAAAAGGAGTAAGAAGAGAGAGAGGAGGTGAGAGGAGAAGAGGCCGGGAAGGGGTTAGTGGGTGGAAGGGGAGGAGAGGCGGCGAGTCGGCAGGTGAAGGTAACCATTTTGGGGGAGAAGAAGGAGAAGACAGCCTGGGGGCGAGTGAGGACGCGTGGAGGGTAGGAGAGCAGCAGCACAAGGGGACGAGAGGAGTCGATGGTGAAAGCTGCTCTGGCTGACGCGTTGTTGAGGCCGTGGCGGTTCCATGCTGATGTGGCACGCACACTGAAGAGGTACGTGCCGTCTGGAAGAGGTGCAGAGAGATACCACCCGCTGCTGCTGTCACTGCTGTTACCACCGGTGCTGTCACTACTGTTATAGCTGGTGCCAATGCTGGTACTGCTGGTTCTGGAGCTGTCGCCGCTGTTGTCAATGCTGTCACTTCTGTTGCTGTCCAGCCCCACCTGAAAGGGGCTGCTGCAGCTGCGCCAGTCAAAGAGGGGAGGAGGGGACGTGGCACCACTCCACGCCTGCAGCCTGCAGCTCCACTCCGCTGGCCCTCCTGACTCTTGTGGTTCTGGTGACTGTAGCGGTTGTGACGCTGGTGACTGTTGTGCTTGTAACTCTTGTGATTCTTGTGACCCTTGTAGTTGTGATTCTGGTGCAAATGGGGCACCTTCCTGGTTTGAATCCACCACTGCCACTGTCTCTAGCGCCTCAAAAGCCATCTGTGAGGCCGTTGCCTGCCCAGAGCCCACCTCCCCATCAAGCGCAAACACAAACCGAACACTCCCTTGGTTCGAATACACCACCGGCGCTTCTAGAACCACTGCTTTCGGCAGGACAGTATCGATCGCCCATGTGACTATAGGGGGGTTGGGATCCGCATTCCCAGCCTGATCCACAGCCCGCACAGAGAAGGAATAGCGACCGTCATAGAACCCAGAATAAGACACTGGGCTGCTGCAGTTACCCCACGCGGGGGTTCCCTGGGTGAGATCCAAACGAGGGGTTTGTCCTCCTGGGCTTGTGGCTGGCAGCTGCTCGCTCTGTGTGACTATAGAGGGCGGGAACAGCCATTCGAACAGGCGGGTGGGGATGCTGCTTGCCTGGCGTAACGCGATTGGCTGCGGGGTGATGGGGTCGGCGGGGGGAGGCGAGAGCGACGAGGCGCTGAGCTGGCATTGGAAGTGGCTGACGTCAGCAGACGGAGAGGAGAAGGTGAAAGAAGCGGCTGCGGTGGTAGCAGGTGTGTAAGCCGAGGAGAGTGTGGTGGTGGGTGCATCTAGATCGATAGCGAAGGTGGTCCTGTAAAGAGGGCTGATGAGGGTGTTGGTGTAGGAGGTGTCTAGGAGCTGCGCTGAGAAGACATAGGTGCCAGTATCGAGGGATGGGAAGGTGACAGGTGAGGTGCACGGGCCCCATGGCAGCACCACCACGTGGCTCTCTTCCTCTGTGCCTCCCAAAGCTGCTACCCCTGCTCCTCCTTCATCCTTTGTTCCTCCTCTGTCTCCTGCTTCTCCTGCCCACCCTGCGTCTGCCCCTTGCTCTGCCCATCCGCCTGCCTCACCTGCTCCTCCTGCTCCTCCTGCTACACTGCCAAATGCCTCAATCCATGCCTGGTCGCTTGCTACCTCTGTCCCCCATCCATCCTCCTCCACCAATGCAGATCTGTCCGTAGCCATATCCATCTGCCCGTCAGTGCTGCCAACAGCTGCTGATGCCATACTCCTGCTGCTGCTGCTGCTGATGCTGGTAACCCTAGTGAGGCTGCAGAGGACAGTGGTGGCGGGGCTGGCGGGGAAGAGGAGCGGAATGGAGATGGAGGGGCTGCTGGATAGGGGCAGGGGAGGGGGGTCCGCTTGCACATCTGGATGGGGGGGAAGGGGGGAAGGGGGATGGAGAGGGGGGGGTAAGAGAGACGAAATGAGTGGGGTGGGAGAGAGAGGGGCTGCTGGATAGGGGCGGGGGCGGGGGATCTGCTTGCACATCTGGATAGCGGGAGGGTAGGAGGTGGGGGGAGGGGAGCGAAAAGGGGGAAGATAGGCAGGGGAATGAGAATTGAGAAGGCAGGGATTGGAGAGCGGGACAAGGGTGCCTGTCAGAAAGGGCCAGACAAATAGGTTTGGTAGGGGGGAAACTTGTGAGAGTATTAGGATGATGGGGAGTGGCGGGGTGAAGGAGGGTTAAGGAGGAGCCGGGAGAAGCAAGGAGGGCCGAGGAGGGGTGCGTAACGGCAAGAGGGGGCAGGGAGGTGCAAGAAGGGGCGAGGAGAGCTCACAGAGGCAGTCGACTTGGGTGATGGGGCCTCTGGCAGCCACAGCAAAGCGCTGCCCGCCGTCCCTGCTGCTAGGAGGGCTGCTGGGGGGACTGCTAGGGAAGGACCCCCTAGGCGTCCTGCCAGGAGTCCTGCTAAATGCCCTGCTTGTGGGGCCTGGGGGGTTGTCTGGTGAGGAGTCTGAAGTGGTGTCTGGAGTGCTGCTTGGTGCCGTGCCTGGCATGGGCATGTTGACCTGCACTGCCCTCACGTCCACCGTGTATACGCCATGCTGTGGCGCTGTGATGTGCACCTGTGGGTACAAAAGGGCACATGCAGTGTGGTGTGGGTATGAGGGCAGATTGGCCGCACGAGGACAGCTAAAAAAGTTGCCACGGCGAAATCTAAAGCAAGGAGCAAGCGCGGTGACAGGGGTACCTGCTCAACAGTGTTGCGGGCATCAGGGGCCAGGCCCCCGTTCCCAAAGAAGGTGTGGCCCGTGGGGGCGGTGACAGCGAGGTGCAGGTTGTTCACCAGCAGCACCACCAGCAGCAGCACCACCAGCACCATCAGCACCAGCAGGTTGTTCTCAGAAAGCCTACCTGCTCAACAGTGTTGCGGGCATCAGGGGCCAGCCCCCCGTTCCCAAAGAAGGAGTGGCCGGTGGGGGAGGTGACTGAGAGGTCCAGGTTGTTCACCAGCAGCGGCGTTGCCGCGTTCTGATTCGCCACCAGCGCTGCTGGTGCATCGTACCTGACAGGAGGGAAGAGAGGGAGGGAGAAAGGGAGGAGGGAGGGAGAGAGATGGGGTGGAAGCAAGGAAGAAGGAAAATGAATAGGTGAGAGTGGATGTGGCAGGTGGGGGAGGTGACAGCGAGGTCCAGGTTGTTCACCAGCAGCGGTGTCGCTGCGTTCTGATTCGCCACCAGCGCTGCTGGTGCGTCATACCTGGAGGGAAGGTGCGGGGCAAGGGAGAAGGGGAATGGATGGGCCAGTCTAGAATCGGAACCGAAAACCCTTCGAAGCACATAACCAGGACTTTAGAGAAAGTGTGGAAGCTAACTAAAAGAAACACTTACCAGGTAAGCGTGATCTTGACATCCTCGCTCCCCATTCCTCCATCGCTCCTCCCAGGATCAACCAGCAAGCAGACACGGTAACCGTTACCCGTCTTCAGAGCAGGCCCCTCGATTGCCACTGTAGTGAAGGACGCCGTACCCGCTATAGGCACAGCATTGGCCAGATGCACGCGGCCAAAGCCCTGGTTCATGGAGGGTGGTGCGTCTATAGGGTAGCGGTCACCTGGTGGGGGCAGGGGAGAGCACGGCATTTGAAACGTCTCGAACAGTTTCATATCGTCTCAAACTGAGTGCACGCGGCCAAAGCCCTGGTTCATGGAGGGTGGTGCGTCTATAGGGTAACGGTCACCTGGTGGGGGCCGGGGAGCATGGGTACAGAGTGAAGGAGACAGGGGAAACGCAAAGAGGGACAGTAGAGTGAGGATAGCAAAGAGCAGAGAGCAAATCGCAGAGAACACCACCCAGAGAGCAAAGAGCAGAGAACACCACGCGGAGAGCAAAGAGCAGAGAACACCACGCGGAGAGCAAAGAGCAGAGAACACCACGCGGAGAGCAAAGAGCAGAGAACACCATGCGGAGAGCAAAGAGCAGAGAGAAGCGAGTCAGTTCTTTGCCTTGTTGTCAGACTCACCGTTTCCAGCAGTGAGAGGCATGGCTCCGTTTATCAGTGTGGCCTTGAGCAGCATTCCACTTGGCACGAAACCATTGGCTGGGACCTAGAAGAATGCAAGAGCACAGAAGGGGGAATGAGACTATAAAGGAGGAGTTATAGAGCTTTTGAGTCGACTGAAATGTCATGTCATAAATAATTACTGGTACCATTGCATATGGTCTGATGGTGACGGAAAATTTCGACAGACATGCACCCACATTGTCCCGAATTTTGCAGGGTAGGGCACGAGGTTACCCTTTGGCCAGTGGGGTAGAAGCCGTCCATAAAGTATTGCCTGAGCAGAGCAGCCGAGCCAGCAGTGATGGGCGTGGCCATTGAGGTGCCTGACATCTCTGGATGGTTGAGAAGAGCAGAGTAGAGCAGAGTGGATTAGAGCAGCGCCTGATGGGCATAGCACCTGACGGTTACATGCGGGGCACCTGGCAGGCACCTGAGGGACATCTGATGGGCATCTGAGGGGCTGACTGCAGCACTCACGTGTGACAGAACATGATGGCTGGCGAAGGTTGCGGTTGCTCTTTGCTGACCAGATGCCCTCCCCTGCCAAGCGTCAACGCACAAAGAAAAGCAATGACAAGGGAGGAGTGAGACAAGCACAGGGTGGAAAGGGGTATGAAAAGGGAGGGGCGAATCAATTAAAGAAACGTGCGTGAGAAGCACAGGGAGTAGTGAGATACTCACAAGCACTGAGCAAGAGCAACCAATCTTCAGCCTTGCAGGGCCCAAGAACAGAAGTTTTCTTGTGGGAGCCCTACAAGCATCATTACCTGGAGCAGAGATGTCAGGCTTAATGCGGCCATCAGGTGTGGGACCCCATGAGGAGAAGCGAGCCATGCTATCGGGGCGGAAGGCGAGAGACACAGCCAGGGGCGCGATGGACACCTGGTGGGGATAGATGGTGTGAAGGAGGGAAGTGAGCGGGAGTGATGGGTGTTGAGGTGCATCAAAAGGGACCCCACGAGGAGAAGCGAGCCATGCTGGCGGGCCGGAAGGCGAGACACTGGCAGGGGTGAGATGAACACCTGCTGGGGGGGAATGGTGAAGGCAGGTGAAGGCAGGTGAAGGCAGGTGAAGGCAGGTGAAGGCAGGTGAAGGCAGGTGAAGGCAGGTGAAGGCAGGTGAAGGCAGGTGAAGGCAGGTGAAGGCATGTGAAGGCAGGTGAAGGCATGTGAAGGCAGGTGAAGGCCTGTGAAGGCAGGTGAAGGCATGTGAAGGCAGGTGAAGGCATGTGAAGGCAGGTGAAGGCATGTGAAGGCAGGTGAAGGCATGTGAAGGCAGGTGAAGGCATGTGAAGGCAGGTGAAGGCATGTGAAGGCAGGTGAAGGCATGTGAAGGCAGGTGAAGGCATGTGAAGGCAGGTGAAGGCATGTGAAGGCAGGTGAAGGCATGTGAAGGCAGGTGAAGGCATGTGAAGGCATGAGTAAGCAAGAAGCACGCACCTGCACGGGCTGGCCCCTCCTGAGAGCTGCATCTAGAATGGCGCCCACTGCTTGCGGCACAGAGCCACCTGCCACGGCCGTGGGAGAACGAAACAGCACAGAGAGCGCAAAGGATTGTGAGACGAGGTTGTGGGGAACAGCAAGTGTTACTGAACGAATCTTGCAGGTGGGTGGAGATGCACTGAATGCCTTGGTCGTATAGGGAATGGGTGTGATGCTGCTCCGTGGAGCGCAGAGTGAGGAAGAGAAGAAGCAGTTTTTGGATGGTGTCAGAGATGGTGTCAGAGGTGGTGTCAGAGATGGTGTCAGAGGTGGTGTCAGAGGTGGTGTCAGAGGTGGTGTCAGAGATGGTGTCAGAGGTGGTGTTAGAGGTGGTGTGAGAGGTGGTGTGAGAGGTGGTGTCAGAGGTGGTGTCAGAGGTGGTGCGAGAGCGCACCTGGGATGGTGATGCTGGGGTCAGCGCCAAAGGGAGCAGCCATGGGGAAGTAGCCGAGAGTGTCGTTGGCCACGATCACTGCTGCCGCTGCACCTGCTGCCTGGGCGTTCCTGAACTGAAACGGTGTGTGTGTGTGGGAAAGTCATAATGAAAAATATGTTTTATGACGGATGACTACGGCTGCTGCCACTGCCTATCTTGAGGTTGTGTATGGAAGGGGGTGGTGACAGGGTTTACGTAGGTTGGCTTTGATAATACCGGACCGAGAGAGAAATGGCAGCAAGCAGCAGGTTTCGACTTGTGTGAGCGTGCAGCAGGAAAGACGGAACGATGTAGTTGCATCGTGACGAGAAAATGATCCAACTGGCACAACAGGAAGGACAGGGCGGAAAGGTACTTTTAAGTTTCTTAGCTTAGGAATGGATGGCAGGTGGCTATAAAACTCATCTGTCAAGCACCCACCTTATCTGCAAACAGGCAGTACCCCGCGTCAAGAAGCACGATCAACCCAGCCACACTCCCTCCTGTGCTCCCACTACCGCCCCGCACCGCTCTGCACCCATCCCTCGGCTCCCCCCTCACCAGCCCCCACGCCACCCCCTCCTCCCAGAGACCGGGCTGGAAGGTGGCGCCAAAGGCGTGCGAGAGGAGGGGGTACCAGGCACGGTCGGAGGGGAGGAGAGAGGGGGAGGGCGCGAGGATGGAGAGGTTGAAGGGCGTGGCGAGGAGGGGCGGGGAGGAGCCGACACTGCCGAGGGTCGCACCCACTGTGAGGCAGTTCTTGGCGAGAGCAGGCGATGAGATGGAGACTGGGGGGGAGGGGGGAAGGAGGGTTGTGGGAGCGGAGGTGGGTTGGGATGGAATTTTTTCATTATTTGAAGGGTGGGACGGAGAGGGTCGCATCCACTGTGAGGCAATTCTTGGCGAATGGAGGCGAGGGGAGAGGTGGGTGGGGCGGGGAGGGGGTGACGACTATAAGGAGGACCCACGCACCTGTGTCTCGGTGCACAGAGCCCATGTTGCCTGCCGCGACTACTGGGAGGAAGTTCTGCCAAAGGGACAGAGAGAGGGAGAGCAGAGAGCACAGAAAAGGGGAAACCGGAACAGCATGGTTAAAGGCATGGGTGTGGTGTGGCTTGGACGAGTAAGGACTTAGGGTTGACGTCTTTCCACAGGGCTGCCTGCCTGTTGCTGATTGCAGCATGTTGACAGGCACAGATAGTTCTGGGTGCTCACAGGGTTGTTGAAGGTGAGCAAATTCTTTAGGCGCCTCAAAAAGCATTTCATCTCACAGCTACTGCTGGGTGCTCACAGGGTTGTTGAAGGTGAAGCGGTCGACTGACTGCGCCATGTAGTCATATGCGAACACTCCTGACGCCCATGAGTCCGAGTGGATGAACGCCCCGGCCTTCATTGCCTGCCTGCACCCCCAATTACACAACCGGAAGAAACAGCCAAATGGATTGAGTCCAAATTGGATTGAGTCCAAATTGGATTGAGTCCAAATTGGATTGAGTCCAAATTGGATTGAGTCCAAATTGGATTGAGTCCAAATTGGATTGAGTCCAAATAGGACCAACACAGCGAAGCCTTGAGGACCTTACAGAGCTTCACTCACCCATAGTACCCACTGCCCAGGTCAGCAGGCGGCATGATGTACCCCACATCGCCCTCGCCCATGTCAGTGAAGGCAATGCGCGCATCAGGCGCCATGCCAGGGTACAGATCCACACTCTCCGGCCCCTTTGCCCCCTGCTGCCCCTCCTGCGGTTGCTGCCCCGGCTGCTGTTGCTGCGAGCAGGCCCCCGCCACGGAGCCTGCCACGTGGGTGCCGTGCCCCAGCTCGTCCACTGTGTCGCCGTTGACCACCCGGTACTGCACCACCTTGCGGTGCGTGGGGCCCGGTAGAGGGACTGCATCATCCCGGAAGAAGCAGCTGCAGGGGTGAGGGGCAAGGGGGGGGAAAAGAGGCTGGCCTGAGTGAAAGTGGATCCTGCCACGTGGGTGCTGCCGTGCCCCAGCTCGTCCACTGTGTCGCCGTTGACCACCCGGTACTGCACCACCTTGCGGTGCGTGGGGCCTGGTAGGGGCACTGCATCATCCCGGAAGAAGCAGCTGGAGGGTAGGGGGTTAAGAGGAGGAAGTAGATTGTTATTAGATTCTTACAAGCTCGTCCACTGTGTCGCCGTTGACCACCCGGTACTGCACCACCTTGCGGTGCGAGGGGCCTGGTAGGGGGACTGCGTCATCCCGGAAGAAACAGCTGGATGGGCGAGGTGAGGAGTGAAAGGGAGGGGAAAAAGTTGTTCAATTTCCTCAGACGTTCGTCCACAGTGTCGCCGTTCACCACCCGGTACTGCACCACCTTGTGGTGCGTGGGGCCTGGCAGAGGGACGGTGTCATCGCGGAAGAAGCAACTGGAGGGGTGAGGGCGTAGGGGTGGAAGGGAGACGAGCCCGAGTGAAAGTGGCGCTTCCGATTGGCTGAGACAACCGAGAACGCAAGAAAGGCAGAACTGGCAATGACACGGGAAAGTGCACGAAACAGCATTGTGGATGGAGCTGGAACGATGCGAGAACAGAAAGGCCAGCGCGAACACAAGGCTCTGTTCCTACCTCTGCATGTCGATGCCACTGTCGCCAATCCCCACAATCTGCCCGACTCCCGTTATCCCCGCACTCCACAGGGGCCTTGCCGCCCCAAACTCACTCCTCTGCTCCTCACTACCACCACCACCACCGCTGCTGTCTGACCCTGGGGATCCGAACCCTGGGTCGTCGTCTAAGCCAACGGAGGTGCCGCTTTGAGTGACAGCGGAGGCCCATCGGTTGTGCAGGCGAGAGCGGGGCCGGGGGGCAATCCACTGCACCCACCCCTGCTGCTGCAGCCAGCGCAGCACCGCAGGCAGGAGGGGCTTTGGCGCCGCCAGAACCAGCAGACCTTGACTGGTGATGGCATGCTGATGATGATGATGACTCGGGGTAGAATCCGATGTGGTGCTATCGGGTGTGCTGTCAGTGGCTGATGAGCTTGCATCATCATGACTTGAGTCGTGAATGGTGGTGCTGATTCCATCTAGCGACACACTGAAGGTAGAGCAATCCAAGCTGTCAGATGTCTCCAGGAGCTGGGTGCGGGGATCATCAAGATTCTTCTGTTGATTGACATGTTGCGTCGCTCCAACACGGCTGTCTGATGACTGGTTCACTGCAGACCTTGAAACCGTCGGATCTGGCACACCGGCTGAATCTGATCCGTTGATTGGTTGCCGCAAATGGCCGAACTTTTCACACAGGCTGCTGTGGATGAAAGAGGCGTATGCTTTGGAGTTGCCGACCAGGTCTTGATCCGGCAATACGACTGTGACCAGTGGTCGGCCTTCTTTGTCCACATCGACCATTTCATAAATGGAGCTTCCTTCCTTGATGTAGTCGGAGGTCTTATAATGCCTGAAACGAGAAGCAGCTTAGTTTAGAGCTGATAACATATGGAATGAAACTATGGAGTGAAGCAGTGACTGACCGTAGAATAGGACTCCATTCAGGCGCTAGCTTCGACTCTCCTCGTAGACGGCCAATCCACGACACGTAGGAGAGCCGACTAAGCGCGTGGGCCGCCTTAACACACGGAAGCAGAACCAGATACGAGTCGATCGGTACGTAGTTCAGGATTCGCCCGCCGACTGCATGGACGTCCTTAAATAGCCGGTATGTGACACCTACTCTGTCACTTTGAGAGTCTTCGTGAGTGAACTGGATGAGAACATGCAATGCGCGAAGCGCACGGACACTTTCAGGCGAACGGGGTGGTAGCTGGAGCCCATCTTCCCAGACTTTAAGACTTTCCGAAGAACGTGAAGTTGCATCCTCGACCGACGATTCTGGTTCGTCATCGTCGCAGCTGGAAAATTCGAGAAAAGCGGTCTTCGGACGGCCATGTAAGCTGAAATTAGGAAACACGAGGCGAATTCGTCAATGCCAGTGAGAATGGCGTGAGCTCGCTGCTGATTCCTGCCAAGGTGTTTGTTTGCTGATAGATTTCTAGTGGATTACCAATTTCACCTCAAGCAAGTAAACAGAAAAGGGTGTGACAGGAAAGCGTTCCACGAGAATCGCAATTCTCAGGGTCGCACGCCTCTCAACAAGCACCTCGCCTACCAGCTTTCGCTGTTCCCAGGGTCGCAAACCAGCAGGCGAGTGTCGATGGATTGGCTCGCGAGCACAATCGGCCGTCGCACGATCTCTGAGACTGCCAAGGAAACCAGAATTGCGATGACCCCGGCGACGAGCAACAACGAGCTTCTGCTCGCAACAGACATCGTCGAGCTCGTCAGCGAACTTCACGAAATGAATGGACAGGAAAACTCAGCACCCGAGAACATCGCCATATAGATGTGCTGCTCACATCAGCGACTCGCGTGGCGAACGAAATTGCTTTCGGCTGAATGCCGCTTGGCGTCGTCGAATGTCGCACGAAAGTTCCAGGTAAAGCATCCCAGTAAGCAATATGTAACACGCTGAGCTGTTCGAGAAGAAACTTTAAGATCATGTTATGAAAAAAAAAACACCTAGCGGGTTAGTGACAAATCAGGTCAAGATAGCTCAGATAGATCTAGTTACTACAACAATGAATCCTCAGTTTACCCCATAGCTCCTCCCAACACCACCGCATTTCCCCCCTGTGCCTCTGCGATAACTTCCAACAGCCATTTCTTGAGCAGCTCCAACCGTCTAGGCCCCACCACAACCCTCACACCACTCCTCTTGACTCCCAAAAGGCGCCTAAAATCATTCCTTCGCCTCCTCGCACCCTTCACCTTTTCCTCTTCTTCTCGCTCCCATTTCCGGCGGCGTTTCCTAGGCATCTCTTTATCTGTCTTCTTCTGCATGTTCTTGACAGCAGGCTCCTCTCCCTCCACTTCCTCTAGCCGTCCTTGCCGCCCATCTTTCCGCTCCTGCTTCTGCTGCAGCTGCGGTTGCTGCTGCTGCACATTCTGTAACACACTGCCTCTTTTCTCCATCTGACGCATGCCTTCTGCACCTTTCCTGGTTGCACTCTGCGCCAGCAGCACTCGAATCAGCCCACTGCTCCTGCACTCCCGCAACTCCCCAAGAATGCTGCTGGTGCTGCTGCCAATACTTCTGCTGCTGGTGTGACCGTTGACACTGCCAGCATTGCTCACACTGCTCCCATCAATGCTGCTGCTGCTGCTGCTGCTACTGCCGCCTATGTTGTTGCTTCCGCGTATGCTGTTACTGTCAGCATTCCCTGCCTTTTCTCCTGACTCCGCGTATGCAACCTCACCCCCACTGCGACTCCCACTGACTGTGTCGCAAGTGGTGCCTAAAGGCCCTGTAGCATCGATAGCAGCCATTCCCGTCACACTGCCCCCACCACTCAAAACTGCAGCCGCAGCAGAAGCAGCAGCAACCGCAGCAGCAGCAGCGGAAGCAGCTGCAGCAAGAGCATCAGCAGCGCTAACACCTCCTCTAATTCCCAACCGCGCCGAACCTCCTGCCGAGCCCAACGATGCGGATCGGCCGAGGATGGTCCGGGGAGGCGTGGCAGCAGGCGACAGGGAGGAGTCCACACCAGTGGAGGGGAGGAGGGAGGATGAGGGAGAGGAGTAAGGCAGTTGGGAGTGCGAGTGCTTATGATTGGCTCCTCGAATCACAGCTGAGGCGAGCCGACGGCGAGGCCCGATGCTAGTGGAGGTGGTAGCGGTGGCAGTGGCAGTGGTAGTGGCAGTGGTAGTGGTTGTGGTGCTGCTGGTGGTGGCAGCAGGCAGCGTGCTGCTGGGGTTGTTCGTCTTGGTATTGACAGCAGACGGAGGGAAGGGCTTCGGCAGGCGAGCAGGAGAGTCAGCGAAAGACTTGTCTTGATTTGTTTTAATAGCCATGCCCGTGGCTGTGCACAGGGGAGCGACCTTACTTAGCATACTTTCTTTACTTCGGGCGTCGTCGTGAATAGCCGCGCCCAGGTCCCACTTCCGAAGCACGTCTTCCAGCCTCACTCCTCGGTGAAACGGGTCGCTAAAAAACGAGTCGCTGTCGCAACTGCTACCGGCAGCACCAGCAGCGGTTTCATCTTCGCGTGCAGCAGCAGCAACAGCAAGAGTGCTGCCTGATACAGCAGCAGTAGGTGTACCCGCAGCACGCGCAGCAGCAGTTGCAGCAGCACCCACCTCAGTACCCTCCTTACCCTCCTCTATAACCGACAGTGCTTGACTCCTACACTCGCCTTCCATTACCACCTTCTTCTCCCTCTCCTTCTCCCTCTCACTCTCCATTCCAACCTGTCCCCCTGCAACCACCTCTCCCTCATCACCACTCCCCCTTTTGTCGGATGAGAGTGCGAGGAAGGGGGGAGGATGACAGAGGGGCAGCGCGCAGTCGAGAAGGGAGGAAGGATCAAGGGGAGAGCAGGGGAGGGAGTGTGCGGTGGGTTGGGGAGGGTGGAAGGAGAACACGAGGTCAGGGGAGCAAGAGGAGTCGGTGGAGGAGAGCTGGTCGAACCGGGGTTGAAAGAACCCGTCGAATGGGAAGTAGTCCGGCGCTGACGCGTGCGGTTGGGCTTCAGGCTGTTCAGCAGCAGCAGCATCACCATCACCACTAGCAGCAGCAGCAATACCATTGCCGTTGGCAGCAGCACCAGCACCAGCAGTAGCACCAGCAGTAGCAGCAGCAGCAGCAGCAGCAGTAGCAGTAGCAGCAGCCTGGTCAGAATCATCGCCATACGAGTTGTCTGAGAGTAGGCGACAACCTCCGCTGCTTCTGCTACCACTGCTGCGGCCGCTGCCAACACCACCACCAGCACCAGCAGCAGTGGCGCCGCTGTCGCCGCTGCCACTGCTGTTGCTGCCGCTGCAGCGAATCGTGCTGCCAGTGCTGGTGCCACCGTTGTCACCACCGTCACTGCTGCCACTACTGCTGCTGCTGCTACTATCGTTCACAAGTGCATCCGTGGGGACCCACCACTGGCGTTGCCACTGCCCACTACTCCCGCTCTTCACCAACCCATCCTCGCCCTCCTCGCCCTCCCCTTCCTCCCCTTCCTCCCCTCCCTCCACTCCCTCCCGCTCGCCCATACCACCGCAACACTCCTCTTCCTCTTTCTCGCTACTCCCGCTGCGTGCGCTCCTCCCTTTCTTCCCCCTCTTGCTCCTTTTCTCCCTCGTCCCCCTCCCCTTCCTCTCACAATCATTGCCACTACCCGCACCCGACTCACTGCTGCTGCTGCATTTGATGCAAATCACGTCGTCGTTATAAAACGGGTTCCACAGTTCAACCGTGCTGCATGCCTCCCTATCGCTCGCCTCTCTTGCTGCTCCTCCGCCCACCGTGTTCCCCCCATGCCCCCTTGCGCCTAACCCCTTTCCGCCTCCGCCAATCCCCTGTCTGACATCTCCCCCGCGGGGCTCCGCTGCGCGCTCTCCGCCACCGCTTTCTCCCCCTTTGCCGCCTTCCGCCTTCCCGGCTTCCTCTGGCCGCCCTCCTATTTCCACTCGCTCCGCTTGCGCGCTTGCTGCCACATCACCAGGCACGTCCGCGCAAGCATCTCTTGTAGCCGCAGTTCCGCCGTTCCCCGCGCTTGCGCCGTTCCCCGCACTTGCGCCGTTCCCCGCACTTGCGCCGTTCCCCGCGCTTGCGCCCACCCGCGCACTTGCGCCGGCCCCGCCAGATGCGCCGTTCCCCGCTCTCGTCGCCGCCGCCCTCTCCTGAAGCGCCGCTTCGGGTTCTACAATTGCTACAGACGCCGGCGGCCTTTTCGAAAATGCTGCCGACCGACCGGAGCCGCCGTCTCCGCTTGCTGTCGTGCCGGCCGCAAAATCGCGCAGCCGTCCGTTGCCGTCCAAACTCCGCGATTGGCGCCGTTCCACGTCCACCAGCGCGCGCCCCGCGCCGCCTTCCCACGGCGATCTCGCGCCGTCATGTTGATTGCGAAGACGCACGGAAGATACTCCGCTGTCCGCGTCGCTCGCCGTGATTGACGCCGCATCCGCCGCCGGAGCGCCATCGCCGGTCCACCAGCTCCGTCCCGCTGTTGCAGAGGAGTCGTTTTCGTCGCCGAAAATCGTCGCATGGCCGCCGCCAGCCCTTCCGCCTCCTTTTCGTCGTCCGCACGGACTCTGCGACCGGCAAGTGCGCGGACTAGTCCCGCTGGCTGCTCCGCCGCCTTCCGCCCTTCGCGCCAATCCCCCTGCGGCGACGGTTTCCGCCGCCCGCGCGGACTCCGCGGAGTCCCCCTCCTCCTCCGCAAGAAGGCCGCTGCAGTTCGGCGGAAGGCTCCGCGCCCTCCTTGCTCCCCGCGTCCCCCGCCCCTCGCGCTGCCTCAGCGAGCCATGATCAGCCTCTCTAGTAGGCGCTTCGACTCCTCTATAAGAAACGTCGTTTCTGTGTAGCATCGGTATCTGCGACCTGTCTGGACTTGTCTGTGCGTTCCGCTCCGCAAAAGCGCTTTCCGTTCCTAAGGATATTGCGTTTCGCCCTCCTTCGGCCGCTTTTTCCTCTCCTAGACTGTTTTCGGCCCCTAGCGCCTGTCGTGTCACTTCCGCGAAAAGCGCACGATTTTCGCCACCGTCTGTGTTACACGTCTGATCTCGGCCGTCCCTGTCATCAGCCACGTCATCATCGTCCGGGAACATGACATCCCGGTCCCAGTCCACGTCATCGACGCACGGCACGCCGCACAGGTATCGGCGGTAGCGCGGGGTCCGCGGAGTCCGCGGGCTTCCGATTCCGCAGCTCGGCGGAAAGCTTTGGGAACATCGCGACGAGCAAGATCGTCCGAAAAACGGGGAAACCGGACGGTGGGAGGTTTGCTCCTGCTGCTCCTCCCCCTGCTGGTGCTGCTGCTTCACGCGGTGATTAATTACACCGCAAGTGACGGCGCGACCCCTCGCCGGCGAAGCCGGCGCCGATTGCGGACGACTAACGGGGGTGGCACGCTCTGATTGAGACACACGCTCTCGGCGAGACCCTTTTCGAAACGGCGATCCCAAGGTGAATCTAGCGAGCATTTCTAACGTTGAGCTGGTGCTATTAGCGGGGGGAGGCGTGACCGTCGTGGGTTCGAGGTTAGTAGTAGCAGCAGTAGAGAACTCGTTAGGGAGACTTGGGGGGATGGAATAATCAGGAGCGTTGCGACAATCGCTCGCCGTTCGTCGCAGACTTCGTCGTCGCTGGCGATCGTGCGACGACTTTCCACCAAAGTGATGCCGCCGGGCAAAAATACCCTGTTGATAGGAGTTTGAGAGATGAGCAGGGGCAAGAATATAAAAGGATTTAACTTTTTGTCATGGACAGGTGAAGTAACGCCAACGCACTGACAAGAAACGGGTCTCTTGCGCTTTAGTATTTACAGACCCTTGAGTTTGCATCTAAATGTTACCGATCACTCTGACGGCGTCATGACGGTCATACACTAATCCATGGTTAAAATCGGTCGAAGCGACTCCTCCATTTCCAATCTATTGGATCAGGGACGTCTGAAGCCGATCCAGCAATTATTTGTTTACAGCAGTTGAAACGAGCGTCCTACCTGCAGCTTCTGAAGAGCTTCCATCATGCTCCTTTATTCAGCCGTGATCCTTATTCCCCTTTTTACGAAGTGCTATACTTGGCACCACGTAGTCTCCCTACAGCCAGCTATTTCCAGTGCAATGTTGTGAGAAGAGCGTTAAAACCTTTCTACTTAGATTGATCTATAACAAGGCGAGCTAACTATAACACGGCGGGTTGTTCTACACGTGAGGAATATGAGTTACGTAGCAAGAACCGGCGGTGGTCTGAACAAAGCGCAGCACCAACGGTATGCGGAGCGTCCATTCCAGTCTCGCCTGACTGACCGCGCTAAATTGAGTCGCGAGGGTGAAAGAAAAAACATCATCAGTCTGGTTGGACGCTAGAAAGTAGACGCGAACCCCCGCTTGGCCAGGAAACTGCATTGTCAACCACAAGGCGAGTGAGAGCACGGATCTACGCAGGCGAAACCGCCTCTTTGGAATGTGGAGTGAAAAGGCCGACGACAACAGCCAAGATTTACTGCTCACAGACCAAAGCAAGGCCGATGGATTTACAGCAAGGATAGTCAGGTGCAACAGCAACGGTCAGGATGCACAGTGAGTGAGTCTCCCTCTAGCGGGCCCAGCTGATGCAGCAAGCGTGGCTTTGAATGAAACGAGTTCAAAGGAGGACCTCTAGGGTGCTAACTGAAATCCACTCATCATTATCAGACACGCGGAATTGAGATTGGCAAGCAGTGAGCTTGAGCTTGAGGCGAGAAAATCGAGGCCACCTCGGAATTGCTTGCCTGATGATGCTGGGAGTGGAACAGTTGAATCTCCATCACATTTTCAAAACCACTGCGCGGGAAAGAGGGGCACAACGGGGATTGACGATTGTGAGAAGGGGAGAGACAATGCTGACGGCTTTGGTTGGAGGCTGACACAGCCCTTTGAATGACTTCTTTGGGCATACGAGGAGAGCTTGTACGGTGCGATACGTTTCAAAGTGGTTTCATGCGGTAAATCACGAAACCCGCTTCTTCCCTTTCCACCCAACCTCTAAAACCTCGCGACCCGAGCAACGGGCTGCTCCGTGCCGTGCAGGGTTGGTTGATGCTTTCTGCTTTTGTTTCTGACACGACACGATTTCTCCCCATCGTCTCACCAACTTGTTGAGACGACGACCATTTTCGACAAGTGGGCGGGGGAGCATCTGCCATCTGATGTGGTGGCTACAGAATGGCGGCTGTGTGGTGTGGAGGTGTCGCCGGGGGCGTTGAGGTGGTCTTTGACTCTTGGCATGCCTAGTGCCAAATTCTGGAATCGTCGATACAGTAGCAGTATGGACGACAACAGTGTTGTCGACTTTCGTTCCCAGTGGGTTTTTTGGCAGGTGGCTGTTTTAGGCCTTGTTAATTTGTTTCAGGTCACCCGGATTCAGCTTCCGCCGAATTCAAGTACAGTACGTGGTGGGAGAAGGATTGTCATGGTGTAATACCCGTCTTGTGTACTGGGACCTGTTTGGACGCAATGCGGGGATGCACACGTAAGTAAGATAGTCGTGTGCTCGAATAAAGAACGCGAGAACAGAAGGGAGAAATTCACATCTCTTTGAGGCACAGGGCATGTGTGAAACCTAATGCCCGTCGAAATACACTGGACTCCCGGCACGGCCCCACAGCCGTGGTTCAGATCGGTGCAACATATTTCGGAGTGGTGGAACCTCTGAAACCTGGTGCACTGGGGCGTGCCGGGGCCTTCTGCACCACGTACTTTCCTCCAATTGACAATGCCTGCAATATCCTGCCTGCCCAATAAACAGTGTTATGGTGCCCGTTGACAAGTTCAGAACCCCTTTTAGCCATTTCTAAACGCGGGCAACGAACTTCTTATTCAGTTGCATTTTGAGAGAACTACTGACAAAACACCTCGCCGTACCTCTTGGCAATCAACGCCTTGTTCAAGAAAATGAATTCTTAGGCATCACGAAAGCCCACAGTACCTCCAGCTAGCGTGATGATAATGGAGGTCCAGACAACACATCTCAACGTGCGCTAACTGTAGTGTGAAGACTTCACGTAACCACGCGTGTGACCAGAGTTTTTTTTTACCGAGACTTCCCGCCAGAATTCAAATGGCCGACTCCAACAAAGCAAACGCCCTTCTGAACATGGACCACGTGCGACTAGCAGGTGGTTTGTGTTCGCTTGGGCGGGTGGATTTGAGCAGTCGATTTTGAGTAAAATACAGACTCTACAGTAGAATACGCTGTGCCGAAAGTGAACTGTAGAGAATACAGTAGCCTCCACGCTGGCCTCCGCTAGGAACTCACTCTTTCTCACCTTGTCCTCGTAGAGATTGACGTGCAGAGCTCAATCACCACGCAGAGCTCTCCGCCATGGCTCCTTCTGAGAACTTCAACTTACTCAATGTCATGCTTAGCTCTATCAGTTCGACCATCTGAATACAGATCCGGGATCTACTCATCAAGAGCTTGTTTATGACGCCAACATTGTGTTCACAGAGCGAACATCGGTTAGTCATAACTGCTTCTATGAAGATCTCTGTTTTTCAGGTTAAGAAACTGTTTTTAAGCTCAAGACATTCAAGTTACTCTAAGGAAGTTAAAATGGTCGGGTCAAACCGTCGCTTAAGATGGCACCGTGAAAACAAGACAGGTTCAAGACAAAGAAGCGGAAAGTGCAAGTACAAGGAGGCTGGACAACGGAACATATTTCGTTTATCTGCCTTTGCTGCGATTCATCGTCTACCAAAGAGAGAGGAAGCTCATAGTCAAGTGCGGAGACCACCTCAATCACTAGCAGGAACGATCAAGGATGGACCAGAGCCAATTTTCCATCAGATTGAATTTATGACGTCGGCGGAACGGGACGTTTCACGAAATTTTGGCACGGCTCCTAGAGTATTTCAAGACGTTGACTATTTTCCTACTGGAATGTGTGAAGAAGGTTATTCCGACTTTAAGATTCTGAAGAACAGGAAGACAGAAGTCGATTCTGGAATTTTCCCTACGTTACAAGAAGCATATTTTCATTTGGAGGAAATAGATGACGCCGTCAGAGTGTTTCGGCGCCATGAATCAAGGCAAGCTATTCGAGGTGTTTTTCCCTCTGAAGGTGTTTTGCTCTCAGCTGCTCCTATCACACCGCTCACACAAGCTCGAACGACTGCAAGTGTGATTGGAAACATTCGTCGTCCCCAAGGCCCTGTCAGGCATCAACTTCTAAGCAGGGCAATTTCTGCTGTAACCCAACTCCACCAATCTCAGCAAGGCAAGGTCAGAGCCAATCGACCAAGGCTGAAGCGTCACATTCGTCACCAAGGCCCTGTTCAGCAGCAGCGACCCAGAGCTGCTTCTGTTGCAAACCAACCTCACCAGACCAGGGAAGGCAGGTTCGGAGGAGCCAAGCCACCAAAGCTGAAGCGACAAAACCAACATGAGGAATGTATCGAGATGCTTCTGCAAGTACTGAAGTGTGACAACGGCACAATAGGTTTTTGTGGCGGGCAAGCTGAAATGTTTAGGCGTTTGGTCTATAAGCCTCCGTAGAGATCTGGGAGGGTACGGTAGTATACACTACCTATGCCCTCTAGCACCGGTTACGACCGTGGTGTTTTTGCATTGTACGTGTATAGTGCATATTTCACCTACCAAAAAAAAAAAAAAAAAAAAAAAAGCTACCGATGTCTACACAGAGGTTTTGCAACCACATATAACTAAACCTATTCTTAGATTACTCAAGCTGAATTGGCAATATCCTCCCTTAGCCTGCGAGCCAAGGCATCTAGGCCCTTTTTCTTGTTCACCTGCTTTGAATTGCGGGTGCCAAACAAACCAACAGCAGCCTCCCCGACATCCTGTCATCAGCAAAAACAGCAGAGGTGTAAGCTGGCGCATCCATTCACAATGCACAGGCGCAGAAAAGAAATGGTATTAATGTAGCCTTTCCTGCTTCTACGAACAAGATGATACATACCCGATACTTATCGCAGACGATGAGCACTTTAGTCGGCGCCAGCGCCCCGTAATTCTTCTCCCGGTGCGACTTCGTCGCGTAATGCTCGGGGTTGTTGCTGAGAATGAGGTTGATGAGCTGCCGTGACTCAGCAAGGTGCGACTTGAGCGGCACAGCCTCGCCATTGTCCTTCATGACGCCGCTCTTCTCGTCCTCCTGGTCGGCGAAACCCTCGATTACACGCAGGTCGTTGTCCACGCCCTGGATGGCGTACAGGTTGAACCGCGGCACGGCGGAGCCACACAGCAGGCTGACGAGGACGTTGCTGATGTGGCGCATCATGCCTCCGCTGACCTGGAACAGGGTTGACAACGGGAGGAGTTGGTTGAGAGGCGAGAAACGCACGCGGAGATGATGGATACAGAAAGGGACAAATTAGGAACAAACTGAATCTGCAGTACTGGGAAGTCAGAACTGAAAGGAGACTTACCCGCTGGAAGGCATCGAGGGGAAGCAGCTGCCTGGCCGTCTCCATCATGGTCTCCAGGTATATGCAGAGGTCCGTTAGGTACTCGTTCACCAGCTGCTCTCACATGCAACAAAACAGGGGATCCAGTCGATAAGAGAAGAAAGAAAGAAAAGGGACGAGGACAACGATGAGAAATTGAAGGGAAGCAGCTGCCTTGCTGCTGTCTCCATCATGGTCTCCAGGTATATGCACAGATCCGTGAGGTACTCGTTCACTAGCGGCTCTCACACGCAACAAAACAGGGGGACCAGTCGATAAGAGAAGAAAGGAAGAAAAGGGACGAGGACAACGATGAGAAATTGAAGGGAAGCAGCTGCCTGGCCGTCTCCATCATGGTCTCCAGGTATATGCACAGATCTGTGAGGTACTCGTTCACCAGCTGCTCTCACACCCATATGATAAGGAAGACACGGAAGAATGAAACGGGACAAGGACAAAGATGAGAAATTGGAGTGAAGAAGCTGCCTGGCCGTCTCCATCATGGTCTCCAAGTATATACTGTGCATCTCTGCCAGTAGCTCCAAGCTGCACCCAGACAACGCAACATAATGGTGCCCACCAACAAGCCTTGTTTACGGTTCGCGTGGAGCTTCTCTTTGCACCAGCGAATAGAGAAGAGAGCGAAATTAAACGGGCAGAGCTCACTCGTACCCCGGGTAGTTCCATAAGATCACAGGGGATCTGCTTTGCAGGCGCCATCATGTCATCGATCTGCTTATGCGGCACCTCGAAAACGAAAGAAAATGGTTCCACGTACCAAAGGTGGTTCCATGGGATTCCAGGGGATCTGCTCTGCAGGCGCCATCATGTCATCGATCTTCTCATTCATAATGCGCAGCATGGCATCATACGCCCCTGCCTGCGACTGCCTGAGGGTGTTCCTGAGTCAACTCAAAACTCTTCTCAATGTTCACACATACATACCCCAGGTGGTTCCATGGGATTCCAGGGAGTCTGCTCCACAGGCGCCCGCCATCATGTCATCGATGTGTTTTCGAGGCACCTCGAAAACGTAAGAATACGGGCAAAGTTCACACGTACCCCAGGTGGTTCCATGGGATTCCATGGAATCTGCTCTGCAGGAGCCATCATGTCATCGATCTTCTCATTCATGATGCGCAGCATGGCATCATACGCCCCCGCCTGCGACTGCCTCAGGCTGGTACTGAATCAACTCAACCCTCGTCTCAATGTTCACATGTACGTACCCCAGGCGGTTCCATGGGATTCCAGGGGATCTGCTCTGCAGGAGCCATCATGTCGTCGATCTTCTCATTCATGATGCGCAGCATGGCATCATACGCCCCCGCCTGCGACTGCCTCAGGCTGGTACTGAATCAACTCAACCCTCGTCTCAATGTTCACATGTACGTACCCCAGGCGGTTCCATGGGATTCCAGGAGATCTGCTCTGCAGGAGCCATCATGTCGTCGATCTTCTCATTCATGATGCGCAGCATGGCATCATACGCCCCCGCCTGTGACTGCCTGAGGGTGTTTCGAGCGGCCAGCGTGCCGTGTGCGCCGTCCACGAGGCGAGATGGAATGCCGCATGACTTGGCTGCGTGCTCTGCGAAGAATGCACATGCTCGCTCCATCACTGTCATGTTCGCCGCTACCTGACATGGTAGAAAACGTGGGGCCGGGTAGGGGGGTAGGAGCGAGAGAGAGGAGAGGGGTTGGGGGAACGAGAGAGAGAGAGAGACGGCAAGAAAGGGAGGGAGGAAATGCCAAGTGGAGGATGGACAGTCGCGCTCTGTCACTATCACGTTTGTTGCAAGGGGGTACACACAAGGAAGAGAGGGTGAGGGAGGGCGCGAGAGGAAAGGAGGGAATGCAGTCAACCTGATGAGAAGGTACGACGGATGAATGAGCTGTATCCATGCTCTGTATAAAATACACATGCCTGTCAACGCAATGCACTGCTTACCCACCTGCATGGCATGAGACACTTGCAGCGTGGGGTTGCCAATCAGCCGCAGCAGCGCCTCATTCACGACAGTGGTGAGGAGGCGGTCGAGGTAGCGCCGCACGAGGTCGTACTGGTCCTGTGGCCCGTGTGCTATGAGTCACTGGTATGTTTCTTAGTCGACTTGAAACACATCATGCCAGCTCTCACCTGCATGGCGTGGGACACTTGCAGCGTGGGGTTCCCAATGAGCCGCAGCAGTGCCTCATTCACCACCGTGATGAGCAGCCGATCCAGGTAGTGGCGGACGAGGTCGTACTGGTCCATGTGGCCCGTGTGCTATGAGTCACTGGTGAGTTATGATGAGTCGACTCGAAACACGACTAAGAACACAACAGGCCCGCTCACCTGCATGGCGTGAGACACTTGCAACGTGGGGTAGCCAATCAGCCTCAACAATGCCTCGTTGACCACCGTAGTGAGCAGACGATCCAGGTAGCGCCTGACGAGGTCGTACTGGCGTGTGTTGAGTTGACTCCAAACACAACAAGGCCGCTCACCTGCATGGCGTGAGACACTTGCAGCGTGGGATTGCCAATCAAGCGCAGCAGCGCCTCGTTCACCACCGTGGTGAGCAGGCGGTCGAGGTAGCGCCGCACGAGGTCGTATTGGTCCATGTGGCCCGTGTGCTATGAGTCACTGGTGCGTCTTATGAGTCCACTCGAAATGCAACAGGCCCGCTCACCTGCATGGCGTGTGACACTTGCAGCGTGGGGTTGCCAATGAGCCGCAGGAGAGCCTCATTCACCACCGTGGTGAGCAGGCGGTCGAGGTAGCGCCTGACGAGGTCGTACTGGTCCATGTGGCCCGTGTGCTTGAGGAAGGAGACGGAGCTGTCGATGAATATGCGCACGATGCGACAGATCTCGGGGACCGACGCTGAGAAGGGCGCGATCCAGGGGAACGCCGGCATGATGTCTGTGCTCTGGTGGAGGATTGGGGGGAGGGGGGCACAAAGGGGAGACTGAAGCGCCTGGTTGATGAGAGTGGGGAGGAGGATTGGGGGGATAGCGGAAGTTGGGGAAAAATGGAGAGGGTGACAAAGGGAAGATAGAGGAGTGGCGGGAGAGGGGGGGGGTGTGGTTGGGGGAACACTGGAGGAGCCAAACGGAATAGGGCCACAGAAACAAGGGCACAGAGAGAGCACTGAATGTGTATTGAGGCTTGGGGGCATGTTCTGTGAGGCTCGGGGAAGTGCGGGAAGAGGGGAGCGTGCGTGTCACATACATGTGCAGCGCAGGATTCACACACACGCACACACAGACACACACAGACACACACGCACACACACCTGTATATGGAAGGCAAGCACGTTCATGCTGTACTCATACTCCTTGCGCATCACCATCTGCTCCAGCTTGTCGCATTCACATGCATGTAAAGGGCATATGTGCTGTGACTGTACTAGCCCCCACGTTAAAAAACGCACACATAGACACACACAGCCACAAACACACATACCTGGATGTGGAAGGCGAGCACGTTCATGCTGTACTCATACTCCTTGCGCATCACCATCTGCTCCAGCTTGTCGTTGGCAATGGAGTCGTTCACCTGCCGCCGCGCCTCCTCCAGCAGCAGCTCGTGGTACTTGTCGCGCATGGACCCCAGCACGTCCAGTAGCGGAGACACCTGTAACGAGTACAGATAACAACGGGCCATATCAGGGAACAAACAGCAGAGGGAATGCATTTTTTTCAGGAGGGGCAGTTGGGTGGAGAAAGGCGAGGACAGGGGTTTTCCCAGTGCATGTTGAGGTGGCCGAGTGGTGAGACGTCTGAGGTGGCCGAGTGGTGAGACGTCTCAAAGAGATGACTTTTGAGTCGACTCAAAAGGCGAGGACAGAGGTTTTCTCAGTGCATGTTGAGGTGGCCGAGTGGTGAGACGTCTGAGGTGGCCGAGTGGTGAGACGTCTCAAAGAGATGACTTTTGAGTCGACTCAAAAGGCGAGGACAGAGGTTTTCCCAGTGCATGTTGAGGTGGCCGAGTGGTGAGACGCCTCAAAGCCGAGTGGTGAGACGTCTCAAAGCCGAGTGGTGAGACGTCTCAAATCCGAGTGGTGAGACGTCTCAAATCCGAGTGGTGAGACGTCTCAAAGCTGAGTGGATGCACGCCAGCTCAACCCAAGGCTTATAAACCGTATGAGCGGAGAAAGCCACGGTTGAGTCGACAAATAACGGGCCGAGGTTGAACTGACTGATCTGGAAGCCGTAGCGGCGCAGCGCGGCAGCAAAGAGCGAGACGTCCTCCTTGACCATGAGCATGTGGTCGGCCGATGACATGGACGCGAACAGCCCTCTGACCTAGAAGCCCGCTATTCCCAGAGCTTGCACGCACTGACCTGGAAGCCGTAGCGGCGCAGCGCGGCAGCAAAGAGCGAGACATCCTCCTTGACCATGAGCATGTGGTCGGCCGATGACATGGACGCGAACAGCCCTCTGACCTAGAAGCCCGCTATTCCCAGAGCTTGCACGCACTGACCTGGAAGCCGTATCGGCGCAGCGCGGCGGCGAAGAGCGAGACGTCCTCCTTGACCATGAGCATGTGGTCGGCCGATGACATGGACGCGAACAGCCCTCTGACCTAGAAGCCCGCTATTCCCAGAGCTTGCACGCACTGACCTGGAAGCCGTATCGGCGCAGCGCGGCGGCGAAGAGCGACACGTCCTCCTTGACCATGAGCATGTGGTCGGCCGATGACATGGACGCGAACAGCCCTCTGACCTAGAAGCCCGCTATTCCCAGAGCTTGCACGCACTGACCTGGAAGCCGTATCGGCGGAGGGCGGCGGCGAAGAGCGAGACGTCCTCCTTGACCATGAGCATGTGGTCGGCTGATGACATGGACGCGAACTGCTCCTCCATCACACTGCGCATGCGCGCTATGGCCGTCTCCCACAGCACATCCACCTGCAGGAGTAATAGGTAGTGACGGGTGGTGACAGGTGGTGACGGGTGGTGACGGGTGGTGACAGTTAAGAGAAGTCTCAAAGCTCCTCCATTACACTGCGCATGCGCGCTATGGCCGTCTCCCATGGCACATCCACCTGCAGGAGGGCAGACGTAGAAAGAGATGGTGACAGATGGTTCAAATCAAAGGTGGTGAGAGGTGGTTCAAAGGTGGTGACAGGTGGTTCAAATCAAAGGTGGTGAGAGGTGGTTCAAAGGTGGTGACAGATGGTTCAAATCAAAGGTGGTGACAGGTGGTTCAAAGGTGGTGACAGGTGGTTCAAAGGTGGTGACTGGTGGTTCAAAGGTGGTGACAGGTGGTTCAAAGGTGGTGACAGGTGGTTCAAAGGTGGTGACAGGTTTTGAGACGTCTCAAAACTCCTCCACATCACACTGCGTATGCGCGCTATGGCCGTCTCCCACAGCACATCCACCTGTGGTCATGGCATGGCAGTCGTCACGTCAGCAACAAATGCTGACAAGAGCTTGTTTTTCTACGGTACGCCTATATGATCGCATCAGAAAATTCAACCTGACACGTGGTTCTGCTTTCTTGACTCACGCCCCCCTCAATGCTTCACATGCATGTTCCCACATGTTAGTATCCACCCAAAAGCCGTACCACATCCCCTTCCACAGCCCCTTCTATATCCAATTCAACATCTCCTCGCACATCCCCTCCATCCACATCCCTTCTGCACCCCATTCCCTTTCCTCAACAGGTGGTGATGGGTGGTGACAGGTGGAAAGTGGTAACAACAAGATATCAGACATCTCAAAACTTTTCCATCACACCGTGCATGCATGCACGCGAAAGCGCGCGCCTTGGTCCTCCGCGCGCGCGCGCCTTGGTCCGCCGCGCGCGCGCCTTGGTCCTCGCGCGCGCGCCTTGGTCCTCGCGCGCGCGCCTTGGTCCGCGCGCGCGCCTTGGTCCGCGCGCGCGCCTTGGTCCGCGCGCGCGCCTTGGTCCGCGCGCGCGCCTTGGTCCACGCGCGCGCCTTGGTCCACGCGCGCGACTTGGTCCACGCGCGCGCCTTGGTCCACGCGCGCGCCTTGGTCCAGGCGCGCGCCTTGGTCCACGCGCGCGCCTTGGTTTACGCGCGCGCCGTGGTCCACGCGCGCGCCTTGGTCCACGCGCGCGCCTTGGTCCACGCGCGCGCCTTGGTCCACGCGCGCGCCTTGGTCCACGCGCGCGCCTTGGTTCACGCGCGCGCCTTGGTCCACCACGCGCGCGCCTTCGTCCACGCGCGCGCCTCTTGGTCCACGCGCTCGCGCCTTGGTCCACGTGCGCGCCTTGGTCCACGCGCGCGCCTTGGTCCACGCGCGCGCCTTGCTCCACGCGCGCTCCTTGGTGCACGCGCGTGCCTTGGTCCACGCGCGCGCCTTGGTCCACGCGCGCGCCTTGGTCCACGCGCGCGCCTTGGTCCACGCGCGCGACTTGGTCCACGCGCGAGACTTGGTCCACGCGTGCGACTTGGTCCACGCGCGCGACTTGGTCCACGCGCGCGACTTGGTCCACGCGCGCGCCTTGTTCCACGCGCGCGCCTTGGTCCACGCGCGCGACTTGGTCCACGCGCGCGACTTGGTCCACGCGCGCGACTTTGTTCCACGCGCGCGCCTTGGTCCACGCTCGCGCCTTGGTCCACGCGCGCGCATTTGTCCACGCGCGCGCATTTGTTCACGCGCGCGCCTTGGTCCACGCGCGCGCATTTGTCCACGCGCGCGCCTTGGTCCATGCGCGCGACTTGGTCCACGCGCGCGACTTGGTCCACGCGCGCGACTCGGTCCACGAGCGCGACTTGGTCCAAGCGCGCGACTTGGTCCACGCGCACGACCTGGTCCATGCGCACGACTTGGTCCACGCGCGCGACTTGTTTCACGCGCGCGCCTTGGTCCACGCGCGCGACTTGGTCCACGCGCGCGACTTGGTCCACGCGCGCGCCTTGGTCCACGCGCGTGCCTTGGTCCACGTGCGCGACTTGTTCCTTGCTCGCGCCTTGGTCCACGCGCGCGACTTGGTCCACGCTCGCGCCTTGGTCCACGCGCGCGCCTTGGTCCACGCGCGCGCCTTGGTCCATGCGCGCGACTTGGTCGTATCAAATCAAGCTCTCTGCCAACTCCCCCCTTTTCCACTCTTCTTTCACAACTCTTTTGACGCCCGTGTCCTCGTCTCCGCAGTGTGCATGATCCAGTCCTCCACAATAAAGAATCCACCCCCCCTCCCCTACAGCGCTCCCATTGAATAATCTTCACCCCCCTACCTCCCCAGTGCTGCCCACCTGAGCGGGCTTGATGACCCCACCAGCAGTGCGCATGATGCGGTCCTCCACAATAAAGAACCCCGCCACCTGCGAGCAGTAGTCGTTGAATGACTGGGACGGGGGCATGGAGTGGCACGGGATGGGAGGGGGAGTGGCATTGCGAGGGAGGTGATGGGAGCAGGCACAATAAAGAACCCCGCCACCTGCGAGCAGTAGTCGTTGAATGACTGGGGCGGGGGCATGGAGTGGCACGGGATGGGAGGGGGAGTGGCATTGCGAGGGAGGTGATGGGAGCAGGCACAATAAAGAACCCCGCCACCTGCGAGCAGTAGTCGTTGAATGATTGGGGAATAGGCAGCAGATGGGATGGGGCATGGGATGGGAGTGGGAGTGGGAGCGGTATTGTGAGGAGGGAGATGCAGGGAGCAAGGGCGAACACACCCACCCACGCACCTGCCCTGACGTGAACTGCAAATCAGTGTTGAGCTGCAGCTTGCGGTTGTCATAGTAGTAGTCACGAAACTGGTCCTGGATGCCCAGACACGCCCACACCAGGATATATACACCCACCCACCCACCCACCCTCCCACCCACACACCTGCCCCGGTGTGAACTGCAAATCAGTATTAAGCTGCAGCTTGCGGTTGTCATAGTAGTAGTCGCGGAACTGGTCCTGGATGCCCAGACACGCCCATACATACATCCACCCACCCATCCACCCAGCCGCACACACATACACACAAACACACAGACGAACACCTACTCATGCACTCACCTGCCCTGGCGTGAACTGCAAATCAGTGTTGAGCTGCAGCTTGCGGTTGTCGTAGTAGTAGTCGCGGAACTGGTCCTGGATGCCCAGACACGTGTTGATGTAGTGCGCACGGTAGATGGGCGTCAGGTTGAACTTGAGCATGGACGCGTCCTCCTCCGCATCTTCCACTTCTAGCATGTACGCCACTGCCCGCGCTCCTGACCGCGTCTGGAGGCGTCGTGGTGGAGTGAGGAAAGGGGGGGGTGACGGAAGGAAAGGGATGGGAGAAAGGGATCAGGGGAAAGGGATGGGGAAGGATGGACACGTGTTGATGTAGTGCGCACGGTAGATGGGCGTCAGGTTGAACTTGAGCATCGACGCGTCCTCCTCTGCGTCTTCCACTTCTAACATGTACGCCACTGCCCTCGCTCCTGACCGCGTCTGGTGGGAGGAGAGGGAGGGGAGGGGTATATGGAAGAAGAAAGGGGAGAGACTTATCCATCTACTCTCAGGTAGGGTTGAACATGAGCACCGACGCGTCCTCCTCCGCGTCCTCCACTTCTAACATGTACGCCACTGCCCTCGCCCCTGACCGCGTCTGGTGGTGTGACGGGGAGAAGAGGAAGGTTAGGGAGGGAAGGGAAGGGAAATAGAGTGGAGCATCAATTAGTAATAGGTTCTTCCCTGCCCTCTCCACTCCACGAGCTTTGGTGCAGAGTGCAGGTAAGAACTAGTGAGCCTCATGAGCAGGTGCAGGTTCACATCATGCACCAATAGAGCATGTGACAGTCAGACAAGCAATACTGTAGCTCATAATCAAAGCTTTAACAACCTCAAAGGCCCACCCACCCACCCACCCACCTGTTCCTCGGCCTGCCTCTGCCTGTCCCCCAGCTCCACTTCTCGCTGCCTCGCACTGAACGCCTGTCCTATCGCCTGTCGACCGATCTCTTGGCTCGTTTCCCGGATCTGCACCATCCACTCGTTAAACTCCTGGTTCACCTGCAGAGAGCACGGGGGTGGTGAGGGAGGGAGGACGAGAGGAGGGGAGGTCGGGGGGATAGAAACGGGAGATAAGGTGTTCGTATAGAGGGGACTTAGCAAGGCAGAGACAGGGACTGGAGGGGGAAATCGTGGGTTAGGTGGGAGAATGGGGGAGGATGGGGAGGGGGAGGGGATGGGGTCTGTGGGAAGACAGAAACATCACGTTGCAACCCACAGCGATTCCCTCTTAGTCCATACACGCCCTCTCAAACCAAGGCCATCCACCCACCCAGCCCTGCAATCCCTTCAAATCTCACCCCTCCCTCCCTACCTTGCGCTCGATGTGTGCTCTGCACCGCGGAATACCCCTCTCCACCCATGCGCGCAGAGCAGAGGAGGGGATGGTGCGCAGGTGGTCGCGCTCTATAGCGTCCAGCGTCTTCAGCGCCTGGTAGTAGCTGTCTGCCGCTATCGCCTCGTTCACCTGCGAGGGTGAGGTGAGGACGGGATGGAAGGTGGAGGGGGGGAAGCAGAGGAGCAGGTGGTCACGCTCAATGGCGTCCAGCGTCTTGAGCGCCTGGTAGTAGCTGTCCGCCGCTATTGCCTCGTTCACCTGCGAGGGTGGTGAGGACGAGATGGAAGGTGGGAAAACTTAAAGGGAGAGAACGAAAGAACAACGAAAGAACAATGACGGGAGGGGAGGGGAAGGGAGGGCAGGGAAATGGAGCGTAGGGGAGGGAGGTGGAAACAGGGAGTAACTTGTAGTGTTACTCAGGCTTCCTGAAGATGAGCACGCATTCAATTACTCAAACAATCATCAGCTCAACCACGTATTCACCCATCCATCCACCCACCCATCCACCTAACCCTTCATCTAATTTTCTAGGTTGCCAGGTAAATCTACCTTAGCGCAGAGGTCGACGACGGTCTTGCACTTCTTGAGCAGCTGCAGCGCGGAGGCGAGGTTGGTCTTGATGGCGTTGTGCTGAATGAGCTCGTCCAGCTTGTGCAGCAGCCCGCTCCCCACCTCCTGCATCTCCGTGTTCTGCATCGCCAGCCCATGCTTCAACTCGTCCGCGTCCACCAGCACGTATCTGTGTACAGAGATAGGAGCGGGTGGAGGGGGGGAGGAGAGGGTGGAAGAAGAGAGGCGATGGAGGCAAGAGAGAGGTGAGGGTGGAAGGAGAGAGGAGAGGGTGGAAGGAGAGAGGAGAGGGTGGAAGGAGAGAGGAGAGGGTGGAAGAAGAATCAGAAGAGAGACGAGCAGCCCGCTCCCCACCTCCTGCATCTCAGTGTTCTGCATCGCCAGCCCATGCTTCAACTCGTCCGCGTCCACCAGCACGTACCTGTGTACAGAGAGAGGATGATGAACCAGAAGAGAGACGAGATGCTCTTTGATTAGATTGCGCAGCAGCCTGCTCCCCCCTCCCCTATCCTTCTTCTACTTCTTCCTCAGAGTCCCATATTCTACCAACTTGGACTTGACAAAGGGACAGTTTTGAACCTCAAAACTAACTGCCAGGCTATGCTTTGAGCCGCGCGAAACACCTAATGATTCAGGCGTCGGATTGCACCTGAGCTCGTCGACGGCGTGGATTGCACCTGAGCTCGTCGACAGCGTGGATGAACTCCTCGTAGTGCTGCTTGCAGAGCTCCTCGATCTCCACCTCCTTCTTCTTCACGAACGTGCGAAGCTGCCAGGAAGCGAGGTGACAACGGTCTGATTCAAGTTGAGCTAGGCTGTAAGTAGTTCACCCAATGCGCCTATATCATGACCCAATGTCTAACATCTTGCTCGCTAAGGCATCATAAAGGTCTTTCGGGCTTGTGTCAAAGGTTCTGAATTTAAAACAAGAGTGTCAATGCCACTATAAGACCTTCAAGGTGTGGCTTGTCTTTTAATGCATCAAGGCGTTGTCTTTAGGCTTACATTGACGTCGAACAAGTAATGAAGAGGGACGCAAAAAGGAATGCGTATTTGAAGAGGCATGAGTAAGGCGAAAGAATGGCGATGAACATTCAGACGACCTGAAAGAAAATTCAGGTATCAAGAAACAAGAACTGTACCGAACAGCGTCGAAAACCTAATTATAAACAGGTTGCTAACCTGGTGAAGAAGCGCTTCGGGTTTTCCCATTTCAAATGCCGGCCGAATGATAGGTCCGACATCTTCGCCATTGGCAATGACGGACGAAAGCGTCGCCTCGTCAACCACCCATTGGTGCTGCTCCTTCTCTTCCAAAGTCACCCGTTTCCGACTAGCTAGCCGCGCTAACTGCGCTGCCATGGCGCGCTTCAGACACACAAGGCTTCACGATTTGATAAGCACGCCTGACAACGGACCATCTAGATTGTGTCGCCTCGCAGAGCGATAGTTTCTACGTTTCTACCTAGATGTTATCCCAGAGTGGCATGCCTGCAGTAGAAGTCGGAGCTCCGTTCTCGAGATGCGAGGTGCATACAAGGTAAGTCAATGATGCTCGACCATCCTCCAAGGTATGTCACTGAATTGAAGCTAAAACTTTGATAATACAGTGTTCTTGACATTGAAGAGTGCAAGCATAACATTCGAACCCTGAATATACTTACAAGAGCAGGAAAGATTGTTAATAGTTAAGTTAAAATATAATAGCATACGTATTACCTACATATTACATACGTAATATTTGCACTTTAAATAGACACTACATGGCTCCTGCAAGAAGCGCCTGCCGTTATTTTATCTTCTCTTGCTACCTAAATGAACACCTACCGGTATTCACACAACTCCATATACATTTACCTGCAAGCTAGATTGGCCCCTTGCCATGTGTCGCAGTTAGAAAGCTTCGCTCGTAAGCCAGAGCAGGAGCTGTTATTCGACGAGCATTGCGTATGACAGAAGCCGCAGTGCGAGGACTTGGCATTGTTGGTACCGACGGCAACGATGGCATTGATGGCACCTGTTGTGACTGCTTCTCATTAACACTCCCTTCTTCCCCCACACTAGTAACACCAGCACCGCTGTCAACTCTATCACTGCCGTTCACTGCTTTCTCTGCTCTGCACCCTTCTGCCTCTGCTGCTTCTTGCATCTCTCCCCCATCCTCACTTCGATTATCCCTCTCAACCCCACCCAGACTCCCACTCCTCCACTTCACATGACCGCGATTCAAACTGGGCCAGATGTCGTCGGGCAGCCTATTGAACGCCCGCTGAGGCGAAGCAACATAAGCTGACATTTGACGCTGGAAACTTCCGGTCGAGTACGTTCGAGGTACGGCCCGCCTTGCTGCTGCCGGTGCTGACGGTGACGATGGTGCTGTCACCGGGGCTCGTGCTGTGGCGTTTGCTGCTGCGTCTCCTGATGCTGTTCCTGTTCCTCTTGCTGTTGCTGTTGCTGCTGCTGCTGCTGTTACTGCAAGCGCAGTTGCACCCCCAGGATGAGCAGCGGTGCGTTGCAGTGCCGCTGCCAGCAGTGCTGTCGGCGGTTGTGGTGACGGGTTGACGTGGGGGACGTACACCAGCACACTATCCCCGCCATCATCGCACCTGCCCACGCCTCCCACGAAATCCCTGCTACAGCTGCACCCGCCCACGGCGCCCACGCCATCCCCGCTACAGCTGCACCCACCCGCGCGCGCTACTACGCCATCACACACCTCCCACGGCTCCAGTGCAGCTCTGGCCAGGTGCGTCCATGCCTGCCCGCCCAGCTCGCCCCTCTCCGCCCCGCGGCTCACCACCTCCGCCTGCCCATCGTCCCCCCCCTCCGCCTCAACCTCGTCCTCCTCCCGACGCACATGGAAGCTGAGAGAAGTCTCCGTGTCATCCTCACCGCCCCGCTTACTCGCCTCAACCGCCCCATTCCTCTCCCCAGCCCCCTTCCCACGCCCCTCCCCATCCCCGTCCCCACCCCGCGCCCCATCCTTCACCCGCATCATCGTGGGGACAAATGCCGCGCATACCGCCCCCCCTCCCTTCCGCAACGCCCCATTGCAGCCTTCGCTTTCCAGCTTCCGTGAAGCTTCCACGTGCCCCGCCTTCGGATTGCCAGCGCTACTGCGAACGGCAGCGCCTCCGCCAGAGGCCCAATCTCCGAACGTCAAGCGTGAATTGGAGCTACTTTCCGGAGTAACCTCAGGCCCCGCGCCTGCTCTTATACCCTCGTTCGTAATAGCCTCCCCGCCGGCTCTTACCGCGGCCGAGCCTTCCTCGTGTTTCTTTCTCGACTCGGAGTCCTTCTGCTCCCGCACCTGCCGGTTTTCTCTCCGCACGAAGCTAACAATGCGAGACCATCCCCGTTTTAAAGCTCCCCGTTCGCCGTGCAGAGGGCCCCCGCGCAGCACATCCAGAATTGCTTTACGAGGACTGCTAGGTCTCCTAGAAACAGCACTACACTCAGCTGCTGCACTACCACTTGTACAATTCGCAACGTTCCGGGTCGGGGTGTCGTGGGTTGCCCGGGCCGTCGGCTCTTCTATGCGAGGCGTCGGGGCGGCAGCGCCTTGGGGCGACTCGTCGACAGCCGCGACTGTACATGGCGCGGCGTCCGTCGCGGCCGCAGATGCGACCGCGGCCGCAGACGATGCTGCGACTTGGGGCGACTCGTCAACAGATGCGACCGCGGCCGCAGGCGACGCTGCGGAGTCACCGCCAATGCTTCTACTACCCTCACCACCTGGGAGCGCCTCGCTATTGTTACTAGTGGTGGCGTCGTTCGCGAGACCCGCGCAAGCGTGCAGGGCGCAGTTACTGCGGCGGACTGTGTGAAGACACGTGCTGACGAGGTCGCAGGGCGTGCTGGTGTCGCAAGGCGCGACGCCCTCGCACGTGCTGCTGCTCGCTGCGACAGCCTCCCGCTTATCGCAAAGCACGCCGCGCGACCTCGGCGACGCCAAGGCGCTGGTAGTGGCCGTTCTTCTGTCGTTGCTGGCAGCTACAGTACTAGTCATCGCCGCTGGATGCGCTCTGGTTCGGAAAAACCGCACCGCAGATTTTGCAAGGGACTCCTCGCCTCCACGCCAGTCGTTGCATGACACGTGGCGTCGTCCACTGGCAGTCCAGGATTGGGAGGTTCCGTAATACTTGTATCGCAAATTATTGTAGAGGAATTAGCGAAGTTCACGCGTGAGGTCTCGCGTGAGTTCAAGAGTTAAGCGCTACAGAGATAATGGCGGTTTGCGGCACGAAGGTGATTAGAGTAAGGCTCAAATGGTCGTCAAGCATGACTAAACGCAACATTACTACTTCTGCGAGACTTCGAGGGACAGGTCACAGAAGGATGAACTAATCGTAATAGTTATTCCGTCAACGACATACGCGTGGAAAATAAATGTTTTGACCTGGCTCAAAAGCTGCCAGGTTTCTTTGACTCAAATCCTCACAGATAGGGCTTCTTCTTCTGTAGGTTGGGTCATCTGTGGATTTGGGACCTCACAGATTACGCGCGTAAGTCGGGTGCTCATCCAACCCCACGCGGTTTTCTGTGTAAGGTTGGGGTTTGAGTTGGGTTGGCTTGGGTGCTCAGCAGGGTGCTCCACTCGGGGTAGTAATTTCTGCGTGCGGATGGACGCTTCAGCCCTAGGCACTAGCAGCAGAGGAACAATTTCTAACCATTCGAGCTGGGGCTTGGCTTGGTAACACTCGTACTGTGGAGGTGGGGCGTGTGGGCCAGCTGCTCCATATGGGAGGGAAGGGAATTTGCACTGGCTGGGGGGACGAGGGAAATTCAAGTTTCGAAGCGCGATTTACTGGAGGGGTCTGTGCTTGAGAGTGGGTGGCGGGGATTGTCACCACAGAGTCGCAGAGCACCTTGGTCACGAGGGAAAAAAGGCCAGCTGACAAGGGAGACTGTGCATCTTGTGCCGAATGGGCGCAATGATACGGAACTGTACTCATTTCGATGGAAAAAAAATGAAAATATTTCCTCTTTGCCACCGTTTTCCTGCATTTTGCTTTCTGACATCTTGCTTCATTCATCTTGGACACCTGGTTGCAGATATCATTAATGAGGGGTGAGACTTGAAGCCATTGGCGAAGTGACAGCTGGCATGTCTGTTCATGATTGAATTTAAAAGACCAGTTCGACGGCTGAGATGAACTGGCAAATTCATCGCCATCACTGGACTGGACTGCAGTCGAACTGCAAAAATCGAACTGTACAAATCTCAGAGGCTTTTCCCGCCTAAAGCCCGTCACTTCCAACCCCCTCCTTTGTCCCACGTCGAGCTACACTTGCATCTTTACTTGGCTACACGTTCCAACGCTCCTCTTGTATGATGACAGTCCATACTTCAGGAGAGATGCATCACAACCTTCAGCATTCTTTACAAGAGAAAGAACACTTCAACATATCAGTGTGCAATGTACAAATACTATAGAAAATGGGATTAGTTTTAACAAATCCATCACAAGACGCCCGTTCCTATGTTATTCGCATCTAACAGCATTGGATCAAGGCCTCCAATGTCGTTTGACACCATCTCTAGCCCTTGCTTCCTGTTGCAGGCGTTGCTGGTACTGCACCTGCTGCTCCTGCTGCTGGAACCCACCATCCTCCTCTTGCTCATACAGTTTCTGAAACTGCTTGTGCTGCTGCTGCCACAAATGGTAGTAATACAAGTCCTCATCAACATCTTGAGGTTGCTGCTGGATCTCCTGGCTTTGGTGCTGTTGCCTCAACTCCCATGCATCTTCTTCCTCCCCAACCTGCTCACCATCCCACGCCTTCTCCCTCAAGCTAACCCCACTTTCGGTGAATCCACCCCTCATGCCCAGATCTCCAGACCAGCTTCTTTCCAAGCTCGCATAAGACCGTCGAACCTCACCATTTGTTTCGTCAATAGCTGTGATGCCACTCCCTTCCCCACCTCTATCTGCACTGCTGCCCGCGTCCATTCCCCTCCTTGCAGCCCACCCGGAGGCACCACCCAAGCCCGAACCTGTCGGTGTGGAGGAGGCTATGGGAGAAAGAGGTCGGGGACTGTAGGCTCGGGCGGGAGAGTGCGGGCGACTGAAGGTTCGGCGACGAGCGTTGACTATGACAGACGAGGCCATTCGAGGCTTGGCCGGAGCTGGCCAGGCAGGCATGGAGGGGAGACTTGGGAAGTCCAAAGGAGCAGATCGGTTAAGATTGTTAAAATTGTTAGGACTGTTCATGTTACGCATGTTACGGGACAGGTTGGTGTTGTCCCCGTTAATAGCTACCCTCGGCTCGTGACCTCTGGCAGCGTTGACACTCCTGCTGCTGCGGACAAATTGTTGCACTTCTGTTACCTCTTCGCTTTGACTCTCCTCTCCTCTACCAGAATCGGAACCAAACCGCGCCGCATCCCTTTGCGTCCCGCCCTCTGGTCCGGCTACCGCTCTGCACCTTGCGCCACTCCCTTCGCAGCTGCCTCCGCCAGTGCTGGTGTTGCTGCTGCTGTTGCTCCTGCTTACACTAATATCCTCTGTTTCCTCGCCCTCCTCACTTTCCTCTGGCAAATCACGCCTAAGAGAGAGACGAGGGGGGCCAAATGATTCATGCCGATGGCTTGGAAGCATGAGAGGCGACAGAGGCTCGTGCCGAGGTACTGCTGGGCGGGTCGGAGCTGAGCTGCTGCCTCGTGCCGAGGCAGCCGTGGGCCTGGAGTTAGGCTCGGCAAGAACGGGCGGCTGCGAGGACCGCTTGATCTCGAATGTTCGATTGAACTCCATTGACCGGCCGTTGACCGACGTTGACCCGGCGAACTCAATTGACCCGTCAAAGCCGCCGTGCTTCGGGGAATACTCCTGCTCAATGGAGATCGGATCCATCTCCGCCATGTGCTGAATCTCCATCGAACGGTCGAGAATCAACAGCCCATCCCCCACGATAGCACGCTGTTCTTCCATAAACTGACGGAGCTCAAGTGAGTGACTTAGTTCCAGGGAACGAGTGGTGAGGAGGTCAGCCGAGAGGGATCGAGGAACGACGCAGCTGCCGGCGCCAGGAAAGCACGCCACCCTGCCACTTCCCAGAATCGGCTTTCTCGAACGCCCCGTTACAGCAGTCGTGGCGGCCGCCGCCGCCGCCGCGGCAGCCGCTGCAGATGCCGCAGCCGCGGCAGCGGCTCCGGAGCCGGAGCTGCAGGAGATCTTGCCGAGGCTGCTGGCTCGGTGGACGGACGGCACGGAAATGTCTTCCAAGGCTGCGAGCAGCAGAGCCGCGGCGTCCTTCGATTCCGTCGCGCGCAGCGCGCCGACTTCCTCCGCCGTGCGGATGAGCGACACGAGAGTCTCCTTGGAAACGCCGCGAGGGAGGCGAGGCGCGGAGGGAAAACGGTTGTCAGAGGCATCTGAAGCGTCAGCCGGATTTCCCGCAAACGTGCTGGTTGCATTGTTTGGAAAACTCGTCGCACCCGACGAGCCGACAAAGCCCTGGGTAACACACGCGTCGTCGGCGTGTCGAGAGTCTTCAGGCTTCTCCGCCAAGCAATGTCCCGTTTCATCTCCTCCGGGTTTCTCGTCCTCCTCTCCATCGCAATCGCCGTTATCGTCGTCGTAGTCGTCGCCGTCGTCGTCACCATTGTCGTCGTCATCGCTCTCCCCCGCGACCCACCCTTTCTCGCCCGCCCCTCCTTTGCGTGAGCCTGCGCGGAGAAGCTGGACGGAAGAAACAATGCGCGCGCCCGCCGTTCCCGTCCCTGCATCCCCAGAGAGCCCCAGCTCAGCGCCATCTTCCTCGGACATCTCGCGCGCTAGCTCCTGGCTGCGTCGCGTGGAAGAGAGTCGCCCGGACTGGATCGAGGAGCTGCCGCCCGACGATCTGGGCCGTCGATTACGGCGAACAAACATCAAGCAGCAGCACGAGGAGAAGAAGCAATCTGGCTGGTCGCTGCCTCCCTCGTACCGCGCAGGCGAACGCCGTTGACTTCGTTGACTCGAACGCATCAGGTTCTTTGCCTTCCATTCCCGTTGCCGGCTCGAGCCGCGCGCCCGCAATTTCGCCACCTCTTTCCTACCAGGTACCGCGCGATCCTGCTTTTCCGGCACTTCCCTCTCTTCGGGGTACACCTGTCCGTATTGCTGCTGAGGTTGCAGCTGCTGTTGCTGGTGTTGATGCCGCCTGGTTGGGTATATCTGCCCTACTACCTCTTCTTGTTGCTGCTGCTGCTGCAGGCGCGAAATCGCGCCCTGAGCGCTTCCTGTCATGTCTCTGCCCGGGTGAATCGACGAGGTGGAGTGTGATCGTGAAGGCAACATTAAGACGCGTTAACTGTTCTCAGCGACGAAGGTTTGACTAATTTACTTCATAATTGCTACTGGAGGCTTTTCGTGTGGTGGTGCTTGATCGACCATATCTGGGCGTTGTTTCGAAAGCAGAACGCAGGATAAGGGGTGGGAAGGAGAAAAGGCGCGAAGCAGACAGTTGCGTGGACGAGGCGGTGATGCTGTAGGGTGGACGGATTTGGGTTAGCTTGGAGCGGAGGCACCTGGGCTGGTTGGGGATGGCACTTGGCGAGGAGATGTACGAGGGGCGGGTGTAGGCGAGGGGCGCAAATTTGAGGGGAGGAGAGGTATGGAAAGCCGAAGCGCAATATTCGTACGGATAATTTTGAGACCGCGAGTCGCGCAAACCGAACCAGAAATTACTAGCGTCACATTCGAAACGCGCTGACCTGGAGTCGTCACGTCTCCCCATTGAGGTTGGCTTGTGGAGGAATCGAGCCTACATTGGTGTGGTTTGGGCACTTGACCCAACCAGCTTGTTGGATGCGTTTTAGAACACTCGCATTTGTCACACCTGCGCTTTGGGAAGGCTTGTTGTACATCCGCGGTATAAGGCGATCCATCAGCGAATACTAAAAACAGTGCGCGCCTACTGACCAAACATAACGGATATTCAGAAAATCGTTATACAAGTATGTACTTCCATATGTTTTAGCCAGCTAGCTTGTATACTCGAATTGATTTAATCTACGAATGACATCCAAGTGCACAATCTCTTTGCACCCATTTAACTGCATCTCATGTACGAAAAAAAACATATAATAGCGCATGTTCTCCTTGCACCCATCCAACTCCACTCATGTACGAAAAATGACACCAGAATGCAGTCTATGTGCAACCATTTGACTCCATTCGTGTACTTATTATGAAATCAGAGTGCACGATCCATTGCAACAAGTTAGGGGAAAAAAAGGGGGGTCCCTGTACAGCTCTCCTCACTTATTACTATTTTTGTGCAAAACGTGCTGACGTGGTGCAGTGGTGGTGCTCCGTTGCCTGATCACCACACTCGGATGAACATCCTTCCCATTATTCACCCGCCTACTGCTGCTGCCACCACCGCTGCCAGCACCACGAGCAGCCTCGATCCTACAGCTCTCACCACTGCCATTGTCATCTGGAAGCAGGGTCACCGAGTCATGCACCTCAAATCCCTCCATCCCTGCATGCGCAGGAACAGTAGCATCGCCACCTGCTTCGAAACCTGCACCCTGACCCCATCCTTCAGTGCTACCACCAGTCCATCCCTCAGGACCCCAACCGCTCAGTGCAGGGGACAAAGGGACTTGCTGCTCCAGGGGATGCATCATCCATGGCAGGTGGTCACTGAATCCAGGTGCTGCCACGTGGCTGCCCCCCATAGGTGGAGGCATCCCCCAGGGCAGCCCTGTATATGGGTCCATGAAAGGCTGGTAGGGGGAGGGGTGGTAGGAGGAGGCCGGGTAGGGCGGGAAGGGGAAGAGGTTGTGCCCAGGCGGCAGTGTATTGGAGGTGAGGGCGCTGGTAGTTGCTCCGTTGCTGCTGCTTCCACTGCCGAACCCGGCAGGCACGGCATCAGATTGGGCAGCGTAAGCACTATCCGCGGCGGCAGCAGCAGCAGTAGTAGCAGCAGCAGCAGGATTGGCAGAGTCGGTAGATTCTGGCGGAGGCAGCTCCAGCACCAGGTACTGCCGCTGCCCTGTCCCCTCCTCACTGCTGCCTGTGGTACCTCCTCGTGCTGCTGCTGGGTCCTTGGCTGCTGCTGCTGGCTTGCCTGGTGCCGTTGCAGCTGCACCTGCCTCCTGCGGCAATGCCTTGGAAGTGGGGCTCTGCTTTGAGCCCTTCTTGAGGCATGACTTCCGTGGCTGCTTTGACTGCTGCTCAGGCTGAGGGTGTTGCTGCTGCTGCTGCTGAATGGATTTTTTTGCCTGCTGTTTCTGCTGTGTTGGCTGCTGTCTTAGCTGCGGATCCAAGTGACTGGATCCAACAGCGGCAGCAGCAGCCACTGCATCAGCAGCAGAAGAGGCGTTGATTATCATTGGCTGCTGTAACGCCTGCGTGGACTGCTGGTTACCGCTGTATCCCTGGGTGTAACCGTTGTAACCTTGCAGATAGGCATACGGATGGTGGAAAGGCATTGGGAAAGGCTGCATCTGGAAGGGGTGTTGCTGCTGTTGGTAGGGGTGTTGCTGCTGTTGTTCGTGGTGCATCTGCTGCTGCTGCTGCTGCTGATGGGGTTGCTGCTGATGATGCTGGGTTGCAGAGGCAAGCGCACTGAGGGAGTACACTCGCGGGGGGAAGGCAGGGTGGGCGAAATGGGAGTGGGCGACGTGGGAAGAGCTAGGGAAGTGAGGCCACTGTAACGCAGACCCTGCTGCTGCTGCTGCTGCTGCTGCACCACCACCACCACCACCATTACCACCGCCAGTGGTGGTTCCATCTCTCTCCGTGCCTGCACCGATGGCTGTGAGGGAGCGCACTCGAGGAGGAAAGGAGGCAGCAGCAGGTGAAGGGAACTGGAGGGAGGAAGCAATAGACTCTGGTGGATGGGACAGAGCACTCCCCTGGGCTGCACTCTGGACGCTGGCTGAACCCGAACCAGATGCATCTTGGCTCGGTGCCGAGCCTGCCGCTGCAGCAGAATCAGCAGCGGAGGTGGCGTGGTTCGGGTTCGAGCCTGGGAAGAAGAGGTTCAGAGAGTGCAGGGGGGTGCTGATGGCACCTAGGGAGATGGCTCGGGGAGGGAAGCAAGATGCAGAGGGGTTGGGAGCGGTGGTGGGATAGGGTAAGAATGGAGATGGTACATAAAAGTACGGCTGAGGGGACTGGTGAGGGGTGTACCACGGATATCCATTCTCCTGTGTAACAGGGTTACCAATGGTGTCAGGCGGTGGGGGGAAGGGAGAGAGGGATTGCTGCAGCTGGGAATCTGCTGCTGCAAGGAAGCGGGCGACAGCAGCAGCGGCAGCAGCAGCTGTGGCTGTGGAGGCATGGTGGGGAACGGAGGCGGAGGAGAGAGAGTGAGAGGACGTGCGAGAGGGGAGGTGGTAACCCGCCTGTGTGACTGAAGCCTCTGGTGGTGGGGGGGTTACGGCACTCATCACTGCTGCTGCTCCTGCTGTTCCTGCTGTTGCTGCTGCTGCTGCTGCTTCTGCTGCTGCTCCTGCATCCAACGGTGAAGCATGCAAAGGTGCATGCGGTCCTGCTGCTGCTGCTGCTGCTGCTGCTGCTGCTGCTGCTGCTGCTGCTGCTGCTGCTGCTGCTGCTGCTGCTGCTGCTGCTGCTGTCTCTCTCTCTCTTACCCCAGCCTTGTCATTCCCCTCCTCCCCTCGCCTCTCCCGATCACCACCAAATCTACCACCGCACCCACTCCCTTTGCACGCTTCCCCACCACCCTTCACCCCTCGCCCTTTCTTCTCCTTCACCACCCCACAACCTTTCTTCACTTCTCTCCTCCCACCCCTCCCCGCCTTCCCCCCTTTCCCTCCCGCATCACCTTCCATCCTCCCTACCTCCTCACCGCCTGTCCACCCCTCCTGCACCCCGCCTCCTCTCCCTCTCTCACCACCTCTTACCCCATCACAGGCCAGGGCAGCTGAGTCAACCGTTCCGGCTACCTCTGCACCTGACCGCACCGCTGGCATTTCGTGGATAGAACCGGCAGCGCCAGCACCAGCAGCAGCAGCAAAGGCTGCAGATGCGGCGGCAGCAGTGGCAGGAGCTGCAGCTGCAGCTGCAGCGGCAGGGGTAGCTCCAAGAGCACTTGCTGCACTAGAGAAATCCTCAGTAGTTCTAGCCTCGCCAGTTTGACTCCCGGCAACAGCAGTGGCGGTAGCAGAAGCAGCAGGAGCATAAGGAGCATGAGGAGCAGGAGCAGCGGCGTAAGCAGCAGCCCTGGCCTCGGCCGTGGCTGCCACTCGCTGCGCCACCACCTTGCGGTGCGCATTCCGAATCACACTCGATGTCAGCCTCGGCCGAACCGCCATCAGGCTCAGTTCCACCGGGCCCAGGCTAGGCGATGGAGGCTCGGCGGCAAGAGGAGGCGCAGGCTCAGGAGGGGCGGAAGTAGACGGGAGCGGAGGGGAGGAGGGAGCAGTGGAGGAGGTTAGGGGGGAGAGGGAGGGAGCAGTGGAGGAGATTGGGGGGGAGAGAGAGTGGGCGGGGGCTAGAGCTGATGTTGCTGTATCTGCTGCATCGGAACCAGATGGTGTGGGCGACGGCTGTGAGTCGAAGGTGACATAGGAGGACGTGAGAGAATGGTCATGCGAGAGTGTGAGCCCGTGCTGAGGTGTGAGCTCATGTGGGAGTGTGAGATCCTGCTGTCTCTGCTGTCTCTGTGCTGTCAGCACTCTGCCGTCTCTGCCGTCCCCTCCTCCGCTTCTCTCCATCTCTCCTCTCTCCTCCTCTTGTAGAACCGAACCCAACCACTGCAAGCTCTGTTCCACCACCCCGACTCTTTGAACCGACTCCCCTTGATCCTCCTGCTGCTCCGCCTCTCGTCCCTCTCTCACAAGTTCTGACCCTTCCCCCTCCCCCTCCCCCTCCCCCTCCCCTTTTCTCTCTTCCTCCCTCTCTTCCTCCCTCTCTCCATCGTCTTCATCCTCCTCCGCCCATGCCTCGCCCCCTCTCCTCTCCTCCCACCCCGCCACTCTCTCGCGCCACGATGCCTCCTCTCTCGCCCTCCACACACCAAGCGACTCCTCAAAACCCATCTCTCTCTCTTCAAACCCCGTCTCCCTCTCCTCGCATTCCTCCCCTCCTCCCTTCCCCCGTTCTTCCATTTCCCCCTCTTGCCACCCCATCCCTTCACGAGAACCCAACATCTCATCCTCCAATCCCTTCACGCCACGTGCTCCGTCCCCCTCCCTCTTCCTCTCCTCTCTCTCCCCCTCCTCCTCCCCCTCGCCCTCCTCCTCCCTCACCTCCTCGAGCAGTCGAATCATCTTCGCGCATCGTCTAGGCGTCATGCCCCCCTGTCCCCCGCCGCACACGCCGCCGCTACCGCCGCCGCCAGCAGCGGCAGATGCAGCGCCGCTAGTACCAGCTATAGCACCAGCAGAACTAGTCGCATCATTCGTAATACCGTCAGTGCTTTCTGTGCCACCAGCACTCGTTGAGCCCATTAACCCCTGCCATAGCTTCTTAACGGTTGACGAATCATCTTCAAACGCGTCTAGTTCCTCTTCCGCTTCCTCCCCTGCGTCACTCCGTCTCTCCCCCTCCCCCTGCGCACCCATTCCCCCAAGGTCTTCCCCCGCGGATTCTTCCCCGCTCTCTCCCCCAGGTTCTTCCGCCTCCCTCACCCCCTTTCTGCTCCGCCCATCCCTCACGCCAAAGCTGTCCTCGCTATAAGCACTCCCTTCACTAACGGTCGCACTGTCGCACGTACTCCCTTCCGCCTCTGCCCCCCTTGAATCCCCTTCCGCCCGTTCCGCCGCCCCCGCTGCTTCCCCCACAACGCTGCTCACACCAGCCGCCCGTCCCCTCCCCTGCGCGTCCGCAGTCCCCTGCGCCTCCCCTTGCGCCATTCCGCCGTGTTCCCCGCGCTCAGAGCCCCCTTGGCGCACCACTTCCCGCCAATAGTTCCGCCCGCCGCTCATCCCGCCTCCCGCATCCCCCGCATCTCCATGCCCCCTTCCCCTTCCCCTCCCATCCTCGTCCCCCCTATCCTCGTTCTCCGCTAATCGGCCAGCCGTGTCCTCGATATAGTGTTTCGCCGAGCTGCCGCAGTCTGTGCCCATGCCGCCCGTTTCCGGATAGAGGCCTTGCCGCTTCTGCCGCTGCTGCTGCTGTTGCTGCTGCTGCCGCTGCTGCTGCCGCTCTTTCCGCTCCTTCAACAGTCGAATCATCTCTACCTCCTCCCCCCGACGCTCCCGCTCCCCTGCGCGCGCGTCGTTCCCGCGCCCCTCGTCTCTTGCGCCCACTTCCTTCCGCGTCCCCTCCTCCGCCTCCCCCTCCCTTCCCGCACCTTCCTTACTCATTGCCCCCCGCACTTGCCGCCGCCAAATGCGCTCAGCGAGCTCCGCTTTCGCCCCGGCGAACATGATCCCGCTGTCGCTCGCGTCGCCCTCGTCTGACGATTCCCCCGCCGAGTCCGCCGCGTTTCCCGCGTGCGAGCCGTTGGATCCCAACCACCGCTCGCTCCTCTCCCCCACCCACTCGTCCAGCCCCCCCGCCGATCCGCTTCCGCTACTCCCGCTCCCTCCGCCGCTTCCGCTGCCGCCCCTGCTGCGTGCGCGACTAGCTGCCACGCGGCTTCCGCCAGCAGCGCCGTTGGCGGAAGGCACAGCAGTCCCCGCGGCTTGCGCTCCGCCACTCCCCCCGCGACGTCCCGCGGGGCTTCCGCTTCCGAGCCTGGAAACCGGCAGCCTGGGGGGGGCTCCTTCCCCGTGTTGCGCAGCTCCTTCGGCTTGAGCGGACTTGCGGAGGACCGCCGCGGTAGTGTCTGGTGTTGCCAGTCGCACGTTGTCGCACGAGTCGTCGTCGACGACGGCGTCCATGCAGGGAACGCCGCAGAGAAATCGCATGCGACTGCGACGCGGAGCCCGCTTCGCAGAGCTGACGTAGGAAGATCGGTCGGTGGGCACACGTGGGTGGGATGTTCGTTTGACGGAGGCGAGGGAGGGATGGAGTTGGGAGGGGGGCGGGGGAAGGGAAAGCGGAAGCACGGGAGGGGTGGTTGGTTGGGGAAGAGAGAGCGAGAAAGGGGGGAAAGGTGTTTTTTTGGGGGGCTAGCAAAGTGCTGACCGAATCGTGAAGCAGGTATGGAAACTGAAACACGGGCTTGGATGTTTCAGCTGCGATGCGTCGCACGGGAAAAAAAAAGGCGCCTCATAACCCGCAAGATTACCTCTTTCGCTGCTTCGGGTCGAGGTGGTGGACCTTGTGCGACGACTGGCTCGCAGGCGACACCATCGCCTGTCGCACAGCCACCCGAGGCGGGGGAGGGGGCGGGAAGGAAACAGAGGAATCATGGGTGAGCCAATTCAGATCCGACACGTGTCGACCGTATGTGACAATACAGATGCTACAACCCTCCAAAGTATATACGTGGCGATATGTAACCCGACTGTATAGACGAAGCGATAAACGCCATGCGACGCCTGCGAACTAACCTGGATCTTCCATGCCATGTCGCCAAGCCTCCTGTGCTCTCAGCCTTCTCTACCCTCTGCCTTCACTACTATCCTCCGTCGCAACCCGACAACCCCACCAACTTATTGACCTCTAGTAAGCGAAAACCAGACGAGCGACTGGTATCCTCAATATCGCTCGCTACTACTCCGTATCTTGCGCAACGCGGATGAGGGAGGTTACAGGCCCGCAGCCTGCCGCGTGTCGCCCGACCCCATGCAACGGGGCGATCGCGAGAACCCGAAGCTAGTAAGAGGAGAGACAAGGAAGAACACTCTGTCAAAAGCCCTGACGATCGGGGCGCGATAAGCTGCTAATGAAAACTAGTTATACTATATCGACACAACACTCTCGTCGGTTTCGTCAAGCCATCCTGGTCAGGACTGAGGGCTGTTGGCTGTTCTTCTACTCGCCCTGCCGCGGGAGAAAAGGAAGTTTGATGAGAGCGGTTGCGTTCCGAACGGAGGGCTTTCTCGTGTCCAGAGCACTGTGCCGAGAGAGAACGAGTCACTGTGACTCAAGTAGAACCTATCCTAGAACCGATGTCCCTAAGCAGCATCAAGTGCTTCCCCGTCTGGCGGTTATCTGTCGCTCGCTGGTGGGTTGGTTGCCGCTCACTCGCGGGACTCTCAGTGCAAGTCCTGTTCTCTTGCTACCAGCCAAACCGTCTATGCCCGTCTGGCCCATGCGCAAACTCACTGTGCTCTATGTCTCTCTGCTTGGTTGGTAGGTTTGCTGTGCCTGGTCTCACTGTTCGGTGATTGACACGCTTCAGTCGACGCTCTACTACTAGAGGAACCCCCTTCCGTAGCCCCTGCCACGTAGGCTGGTATTTCGTACGGACTACGGAGCCTACGTGTATTTGAACAGAACTGCGGCGGATATCCATCCATACGTCGATGCACTGTCGAATGGATGGATCCTTAGTACGGCACGAGTCGCGTACTCGAGTACTGTACTACTAATAGGTTGCGCAGTTGTCGCAGCAACAGTTGCATGCGCGTGTGTGGAGGTGTGGAGTGGAGTGTTCAAGCCTAGCTTTCAAAATAAGCGCCCCCTGGTTCAAAAAACCAAGGCCAGTGCGTGGCTTGGATTTCCTGAGCAATGTGCGTTCGGCAATGTGCAATGTGGGATGTGATGGGTCCGCGCGACTCGTTGCTGGCTTGGAGCGGCTCGGTTTGCTCAGAAGTTCCCCATAACTCGGTTTCGTGCACCTGTTTATAATTGCGAAAGCTTGCTTGTTATCGTGACATTCAGCTTTACGTAGTTGGAGAAATTTGCAGGCGCAGAGGAGGTGAATTGAAGGGTAGCTTCGTGAAGATTTCTTGAACCCACGTTGGAGCGATGCGAGCGATTTTGCAACCCTGGTTGACATCGCAACGCAACTCCTACAAACCAGGCGGTGTTCGCCACGCATATCACTCGCCAGGGGCGGCAACTATTTCAATTCAGTTACATGTAACACAAGAAAAAACTGTATATAACCTACGGTATTATATAAAAGTATCACACACATAATAGCTATCTTGGCTCCATTGTGGACATTCTCCCATTCCATCCCGGCTTTCACTATAAACAGGCCTCAGTAGCTAGCCTATGTGGGATGCCTTATGGAATCCTGCTAATGCATGCATGCTCAGCCAGTTCTGCATGATCCTCCCCATGCCGCTCCCCCTGCTGCCTTCCATCTCTATCCAACAAGCCTTCTAAAGCTGGCTCTGGGTTACATATTATATCATTCTCCCCTTCACACTCCTCCAGCTTCATCTGCTCCTCCCCCTCCCGCTTCATCAGTCTCTCCTCTTCATGCCACTGCCCATCCCTCTCCCCTTCCCCCTGCTCTTGTAATTGTTGCCGATGCTGCTCCTCCTGCAGCTCTTGCCGCTCCTGCTGTAGGTGCGGCACACCACAATCCTCCCCAGCTCCCTCTATAACCTCACCTCCCTCTATACCCACTTGCGCCATCCCGTGCCCCTGCACTGCCACTCGCTCCTCCTCCTCATGCTCTGACCGCACCTCCTCACACCTCTCAATGCTCTGCCCCAACGGGGTTGGAAGCAGATGCCCCGACTGATCCTCCGCACAACTTCGGTTGTTCAGCTCCAACTGTGTGGGCTGGGTCGGCTGTCCTGCCTGCTCTATCTGTGACGGATTCTGTTGCTGTTCTGTCTGTTCTGGTTGCTGGGGCTGTGGGGGCTGCAGCAGCACGTAGCGGCGGCAGAGGGGGCAGGAGCAGCGTGTGCGCAGCCACTCCCCGATGCATGAGACGTGGAAGTAGTGGCTGCACGCCGGCAGCTTCCTCAGACTCTCCTGCTCGTCATAGTCCGCCAGGCACACCGCACAGCTGAGAGGGGGAGGGGATGGGAGGGAGGATGGGGAGAGGAATGACGGATGAGAGTTGTTGGATGAGGGATGAGAGGTGAGGAGAGATTAGGGGGAGACAGGGGAGGAGGGAGATGGGAAGATGCAGAATGAGCCATGAGTGGGAGAGAGGGGGATGATGAATGAAGGTGAATGGCAGGAGGGCGCGTGGCTTGCTGGGGTCAGGCAATAGGGGCAAAGGCTGGAAAAGCTAAAAAGAAAGAAAGAAGGCAACGCGTGCAGTGCTGGGCGCACACTGGTGAGTACTTATTCTGCGGGTCAGAGGGGCACTCACTGCGCGTCATCAGAGGACTCAAAGAGGTCGTCTCTGAACTTCACCAGCGGGAATGACTCCACCAGCGCCCTGTCCACCCCCGTTGGCGCTGCCTCCACATGCTGTGCAAGGGGGCAGAGGCAGGGGCAAGGAGGCGAGGGGAGGGGAGGTCAAGGGAGAGGAGGGAGCCAGAGACACAGAGGAATGACTCCACCAGCGCCCTGTCCACCCCCGTTGGCGCTGCCTCCACGTGCTGTGCAAGGGGGCAGAGGCAAGGATGGGGAGGAGAGGAGAGAGGGGAGGAGAGAAAAAGGATGGGAGGGGAGGAGAGACCAAAGGATGGGAGGGGAGAGGAGGGGAGGGAGGGAGGCCGAGTGTGGGGTGGTATCAGCGGTGCAGAGGGGAAGTCTCCAGCAGGGCCTGGTCCTGTTGGCGCTGGCTGTACGTGCTGTGAGGGGGCAGGGGCAGGGATGGGATGGGAAGGGAGGGGCGGGGCAGTAGACACGGAAGTAGATATGCAAGTAATAATGGCACATATGTGGAGCACTGGTAGAGGAGGCCGGGTGGGGAGCCCTAGCACTGCCACTCACCACACACCCTGTCTGTCCACACCAAGCACCCTGTCCACATCAGCCCTCACGATGTCCACATCGGCCCGCACCCTGTCCACGTCAGCCCTCACCCTGTCCACGTCAGCCCTCACCCTGTCCACGTCAGCACTCACCCTGTCCATGTCACCGATGGCGGAGAGCTCCACGTCAGCAGCGGCGGGGGGCGGGCGGCGGATGACACATCTTAGCACGATGACTATGAGGACGAGCAGCAGGAAGGCGACCACTGCATAGATTATGATTATGTATGGCGAGTCAAAGAAGCTGGAGGAGTCTGTGTGGGGGGGGGGGAGGGAGTGCGTGAGAAACAAGGGGAGGGGATGAGCACGAGCAGCAGGAAGGCGACCACTGCGTAGATGATTGTGATGCATGGTGAGTCGAAGAAGCTGGGGGAGTCTGTTGGGGGGAAGGAAGGGAAGGGGAGGGGGGGAGGGCACAGGGGCGGGAAAGAGTAGGAAATGAGGACGAGCAGCAGGAAGGCGAGGATGGCGTAGACGAGTGTGCTAGAGCACGCTGTGGTTGAGGTTGACCAGGCGAGCAAGAGAGCCCTCGCACGTTAACCCACCTTTGTGTGCTTCATTGCAACCCACCTTTGGAGTTTGGAACAACCTTGAACCACCTGAAGCTACCTTAGAACGTGAGCCCACCTTTGTACTTGAACTCGAGCTCGAACTCGCAGCTCTGGTGCACGTAGTAGTTGAGGTTGAAGATGCCAGCAAGGGAGACACACGACCGCACAGGACCGCACCGGACCGCACATGACCGCACCTTTGTACTTGAACTCAAGCTCAAACTCGCAGCTCTGGTGCACGTAGTAGTTGAGGTTGAAGAGGCGAGCAATGGAAGACACATGACCGCGCATGACCGCACATGACCGCACCTTTATACTTGAATTCCAGTTCAAACTCGCACTGCTGGTGCATGTAGTAGTTGAGGTTGAAGATGCCAAACGTGTACGGCCCCTCCAGCACAACGCACCTTTGTGTGCTTCATCGCACCTTAGCCCTTGACCGCACTTCCACGCACCTTTGTACTTGAACTCAAGTTCGAACTCGCAGCTCTGGTGCACGTAGTAGTTGAGGTTGAAGATGCCAAACGTGTACGGCCCCTCCCCTCTGCCCGTAAACCCGCCCCTTTCCACTTCCACTCTCCTTTGTGCGTCTACCCTCTTTTTCACTTCCACCCACCTTTGTACTTGAATTCCAGTTCAAACTCGCAGCTCTGGTGCACATAGTAGTTGAGGTTGAAGATGCCAAACGTGTAGGGCCCTTCCAGGGACGAGTTCACCACGTCAAACAGCGACACCAGCGTGTCGTTCGTCACTCGCACTGTGAAGCGATAATCATTTTCAAGTAGAGAGGGCACGGCTCCCTGCCTCGCTACTAGGCTGGCTTGACCGCCTTTGCGGGTGAAGCTGGGGGTGGGTGGGGGGCAAGGGATGGGAGCAGCAGGAGAGGAAGGGACAGCAGCGAGCGGTTGGTCGTTCGTCACCTTGCTCCTCCAGGGACGAGTTCCCGACGTAAAAAAGCGACACCAGCGTGTCATTCGTCACGCGCACCGTGAACCGGTAGTCGTTCTCTAGTAAAGAAGGCACCGCGCCTTGTCTCGCCACCAGGCTGGCTTGACCTCCCTTGCGGGTGAAACTGGACGAGAGGGGGAAAGGAGGGTGGGTGGGAGGGAGGGGTTCACGAAATGGGAGGGAAGGAGCGGGACACCAGCGTGTCGTTCGTCACTCGCACAGTGAACCGGTAGTCGTTTTCAAGTAGAGAGGGCACGGCGCCCTGCCTCGCTACTAGACTGGCTTGCCCTCCCTTGCGGGTGAAGCTGGAAGCACGGGGCAAAGGAGGGCGGGTGCGAGGGGTTCACGGGATGGGAAGGGAGTAAGAGAGACAGCAGCGTGTCGTTCGTCACGCGCACCGTGAAGCAGTAGTCGTTCTCCAGCAGGGAGGGGACTGCTCCTTGCCTCGCTACAAGACTGGCTTGCCCTCCCTTGCAGGTGAAGCTGGGTGTGGGTGGGGGGGGCAAGGGATGGGAGGAGCAGGAGAGGAAGGGACAGCAGCGTGCGGTTGGTCGTTGGTCACCTTGCTCCTCCAGGGACGAGCTCACCACGTCAAACAGCGACACCAGCGTGTCGTTCGTCACTCGCACTGTGAAGCGGGTGTTCTCCAGGAGGGAGGGGACGGCACCTTGACGCGCTACCAGGCTGGCTTGCCCTCCCTTGCGCGTGAAGCTGGAAAGGGGAGAGGTGGGAGGTACGGGAAGGAAGAAGAAAAGGGTCAATGGGTTGCAGACGAGAGGCAGGGAGGGAGCAGGAGCGTGTCATTGGTAGCTTGCACCGTGAGGAAAACAATAGCCCTCTGATAAAACCACCTGAAGATTCACCTGATGACGATCTGCTTGTTGGTGGTGGGGTCGAAGGTGAACTGCACATAGGTCCATCGCCCCAGAGGGGTCTCTGTTGAAATCACCTGAAGGCTCACCTGATGACGATCTGCTTGTTGGTGGTGGGGTCAAAGGTGAACTGCACGTACGTCCGGTGCACCAGAGGGGCCTCTGTTGAAAGCACCTGAGGACTCACCTGATGACGATCTGCTTGTTGGTGGTGGGGTTGAAGGTGAACTGCATGTACGTCCATCGCCCCGGAGGCAGCACACCACTCACTGCCTTGCCTAGCTCCGCTGTCTGCAGGCCTGTGATGCGGGGGGAGGAGGGGAGGGGGAGGGGAGGGGACGAAGCGTGAATCATATGGCCAGCAGCAGCACGCCCGTCACTGCCTTGCCCAGTTCCGCCGTCTGCAGCCCTGTGGCATGGGGGAACAGAAATGGGGAGAGACAAGAGGGGGAGGGGTTGCGAAGAGGCGGGAATCGAATGGCTGGAGGCAGCACGGCCATCACTGCCTTGCCCAGTTCCGCTGCCTGCAGCCCTGTGCAGCAGCAGGCAAATCAAAACGGGGTGGGAAGGGCGGGGGGAGGAGGGGGGGTGGTGGGGGAAGGTGGGGGAAGAGGCGTGAAACGGATGGCTGGAGGCAGCACGCCCCTCACCCTCACTCACTGCCTTCCCCACCTCTGCTGGGACTGGGACTGCGCCCCACTCGCTCCCTCACGGCCCAAATTACTCCTCCCCGGAACAGTCCATGCCAGTCTGTGCTGTGCCGCTCTTCACTCACCTCCCTGGCAGAACCTTCCCGCGGAGTCCGGATTGCACACGCACTGCGTCTCCGCACCCCCATCCCCTCCATCCGCCCCCCCGTTCCCCCCCCCTTCCGGCACCATCGCCTGGCAGAACCCAGCGGGCCACCCTCAATCCCACGGACACAGCGATCTCCCCTCCCTCCCCACAGCCAGTCGATACTCCAGCCTAAACCCTCCTGTCTCCCTCAAATCCACATCGTTGTTCAGTACTGCCACCAACACGGCCACCAGCACGGCCACCAGCACAGTCCCCGCCACTCACCTCCCTGGCAGAAGCTTCCCGCAGAGTCCGGGTTGCAAACGCACTGCGTCTCCGCGCTCCCATCCCCTCCATCCGCCCCCCCGTTCCCTCCTCCTTCCGGCACCATCGCCTGGCAGAACCCAGCGGGCCACCCACAGTCCCACGGGCACAGCGCCCTGCCCTCGCGCCCCACAGCTAGCCGATACTCCAGTCTGAACCCGCCCGTCTCCCTCAAATCCACATCGTTGTTCAGTACGGCCACCAACACGATCCCCGGTTTAGTGCGGTTCCAGACGATTTGGTGGCGGTCGAGGCGCTGGCGGAAGGAGTCCATGTCGGCAAAGCCGTTGAAGTCGAAGACGGTGGGCATGCCGAAGGGCAGGAAGCCCTGCTCCTGTCGCTTGGCGAATAGGACAAGGTCGCCCGCTGCTCGCTCCATTTGAATGAGCAGCTTGGTGTGAGGTTGGGTCACCTGGAGGGGGGGAAGGGGGAAGGGGGGGGAGAGGAAGGGGGAAGGCAGGAGAAGGGGAGAGAGAAGGCAGGAGTGGAGAGGCGGGAAGGAGACAGGGAGGCGGGTTTGGGTATGGGATGCAGCAGGATGGGGAGTAAAACGAGGATCGCCCGCTGCCCTCTCCATTCGAATGAAGAGTTTGGTGTGAGGCTGGGGCACCTGGAGGGAAAGGGGAGGGAAGGGGAAGGGGAGAAGAGTGGTGAGGGGGAGGGCGAAAAGTGCAAGAAGGGAGGGGAAGAGGGGATGCAAGGAGGAAAGAACAGGAGACGTCGACAGGCTGTAGCAAGATAATGATGGCAGGGAAGGGGAGGGTGCACACGACATGTGGATGGGGAACCAAGGGGAGAGACACTTGAATAGGGTAGAAAAGAAAACACACCTGAATCTGGAAGAAGGCCCATTGCCCGGGAGCAAGGGTCTGCAAACCCGGCTGGATGTCATGCACCACTGAGGGGTGAAAAGGGGTGAGATGGGATGAGATGGGGTGAGATGGGGTGAGACGGAATGAGGTGGAGTGAGATGGGGTGAGGGGCGCTCGAAGTGGCAGGGACAATAGACGGCAACCAATGATTGAAATGTGGCCGGAATTGAGGGCATGGGACGGAATGCAAGGGCGCTTCTGGTGAAAGCAGGAGGGCGACAGTGAAGTGAGGGAAGCGGGGAAGGGGGGTGGAGGGGATGGTACAAGGTTATAGCCCCCCATTGCCCGCATTGACCCTCCTCCCCGCATTTCCCCTCCCTCCACACTGCCCCTCCTTCCTTCCCCGCACACCCGACCGCCCACCCGCACCTGCCGCCTCAGCAATCCCACCCCCCTTCCCCAACGTCTCACCATCCACGCAAGCAGCGCCGCCCCGGGGCACTGGCTCACTCCCCCCTCCCGCACACAGCCCCCTGCCCGCCCACACACACCCCTCCCTTCCTGCATGTATCCCCCACGGAACTGATGGGCGGAACTGATGGGGGAACTGATGGGGGGAACTGATGGGGGGAACTGATGGGGGGAACTGATGGGCGGAACTGATGGGGGGAACTGATGGGGGGAACTGATGGGCGGAACTGATGGGGGGAACTGATGGGCAGAACCCACGCCCACCCACACCTGCCATCTCCGTTACGCTATCCCACCCCTTCCCCGCGTCTCACCATCAGCACAAGCAGCGCCGCCCCACCCCTCGGGGCACTGGCACACGCCCCCCTGCCCGCACACAGCCCTCCCTTCCTGCATCCCCCACGCCCACCCGTGTCTCACCATCAGCGCAAGCAGTGCCGCCCCACCCCTCGGGGCACTGGCACACTCCCCCCTGCCCGCACACGCCCCGCCCACTGCAGTTCAGCGGACACCCCCTGCCCTCTGCGCGCGCACGGGGCATGGAGGGGACGGGGAGAGGGGGGGTTGAGAGGGAAGGGAGGAACGATCCGAATTTAAGAACGCGGAGAGATGGAAAGTGAACTCTGGGAGGGGGAAAACTAGACAGAAGCGAGCAGACGAGCAGGGGAGGCATGGCATGAGCAACCGGAGCGAATGGAGTGTCGGCTAGGCAATCACTTCTGAGATCCTTTGAGACGTCTCAAAAACTCTCGTTTAACGAATGGACTGTGGGCAATCACTTTTGAGAATTCTCATAAGTGGTGTGAGAGAGGAAGTGGTGTGAGAAGGGAGGTGGGGATGGCAAATGGGAAGAAAAGGATGCTCTTTCCCAGGGGAGGCGGGTGTTGTTTGGTTTGAGTTGAATGAACGCTCACGGCAGCAGCAGGCACGCACGATGAGCGTTCATTCAGTTCAGAGCTCAGAACTCACGCGAGCAGAAGGCAGAAGCCCAGGTCCTGCCCCTCGCTCACTGGAGCAGCAGGCATGGTTTGAATCCAAGGGAACTGAGCGCTCACGGGAGCATAAGGCACAAGTAATTGAATGAGCACTCACGCGAGCAGAAGGCGCGGATGGAGAAGCCCAGGTCCTGCCCCTCCGCAATGTACGAGTCGCTGAATATGCCCACTATCAGCTCCGTCGTGTTAACGGAGCCGTTCTTAACGAGGTCGTCCTGCGGCACGCTCACTATCTGGTACGGCTGCCCCGACCGAAAGTCTGCTCCGGGGGAGAAGGCGGGAAGGAAAACATGGGAAGGAAAACATGGGAAGGAAAACATGGGAAGGAAAACATGGGAAGGAAAACATGGGAAGGAAAACATGGGAAGGAAAACATGGGAAGGAAAACATGGGAAGGAAAACATGGGAAGGAAAACATGGGAAGGAAAACATGGGAAGGAAAACATGGGAAGGAAAACATGGGAAGGAAAACATGGGAAGGAAAACATGGGAAGGAAAACATGGGAAGGAAAACATGGGAAGGAAAACATGGGAAGGAAAACATGGGAAGGAAAACATGGGAAGGAAAACATGGGAAGGAAAACATGGGAAGGAAAACATGGGAAGGAAAACATGGGAAGGAAAACATGGGAAGGAAAACATGGGAAGGAAAACATGGGAAGGAAAACATGGGAAGGAAAACATGGGAAGGAAAACATGGGAAGGAAAACATGGGAAGGAAAACATGGGAAGGAAAACATGGGAAGGAAAACATGGGAAGACGTCAGAAGGATGGGGTGGTGGGATGAGATGGGCGGAAGCACGGAAAGGACAGCAATGACACGGGGCAAAGAGGCGGGCAAAGCGGTAGGCAAAGAAGTGGGGAAAGAGGTGTTAGGGTTTGCAGGCATTCTGATTTCTGGCATTGGGTAAAAGCGGTGCGCGCTCTTACTGGGGTAGTCTATGCTCGTGTGATCGTCCAGGCGATATTGCAGCGTGTTGGTAACCAGCACGGTGGGCACTTCGCCAGCACTGTTCACCATGAGCATGGGCAGGTAGAACACGGACGTGTCGTTTCCCGGCGCAAACAGCCCCCATATCTCCACATTCACATACCACCGCGCGTCCCCGCCGCTTCCACCCACCCCAGTGTTCCACCCCGCCGCTGCCCCTGCTCCTCGCCCTTCTCCGCCTCCTGCGGCGCCGCTTGCGTCGCCACACGTGCTGGGGACGCGGAAGAAGGAGGTGACGTCGGATCGGACGGTGGCGTTCCGCGCTTGCCCGGAGAGCGGCAGCAACGGCTTGGATTCCTTCCACGTGTCGGTTGGGGGCACGGAGTCTAGGGGGAAGGGGAGGGGGAGGCGGGGAGGCGGGACGGCGGGACGGCGGGAAGGGGCAGGGAAGAGGGAGGGGGAAGCTGAACCGCAGGAGGTATACCCGAATGCGGTGAAGGGGAGTTTGACCGTATGCATGGGGGATAATCGAGAACAGACGACGCGAAGCGAGAGGCGGCTGTTAGGCTCACCCTGGTTGGCGTAGTCGGCGCTGCTGGCGAGGGACGGAGAGGACAGCGATGCTGCACACACAAGACAGCTCGCGGAAACGTAAGAGGCGGTCCAGGCGCAGTACCTCCGCCGGTTTCGGAATGGTTCTCAAGCACGAGTCGTTGGGATCGAACTTATTGGGATTAGCCAGCGAAAGAGGAGGAGTGCGACTTACAGCAGACGTAAATAGCGGTCAAGAAGACGATAAGACCGCTACGGTCAAATCTACGCGCCATCAACAAGAAAGTACACTGCAAGAAGCTATTATAGCAGACAGTCAGGAATTCGAACCGCGAAATGGATAGACCGTGAAAGTCGAAGGGACAACGAGCAGTTTCAGAAAGCTAAGCTCAGCAAGCCAGGCGCAGGAAAGCGCCTAGCACAATCCATGATCGGACGCGTTTAGGATTGTTTTGGTAACCGCCGTCCTCGCCACAATTATGGATGAGCAACCCTAAAATCCACCACCACCGAACTACCCTGTGGTCCGGTTCCTATGCTTAGAAGTGTAGCTGTGCCGTGCAAGTGTACTCTCTTGGGTGATCGTGCGTTGTGTCACCCTTGGCTTGGCGCGTGCCCACTACCCATGTCGAGCCGAGCCTCTGTATTCGGCTTTGGTTGGGAAGCAGCTGGAAGGCCGAACTCACTGCTCATCCCACAAAGCACGATTTCCTCTAGGGTCAGGCTGCCCGCCACTGTACCGATTTCGGAGAGGCTAGGAAGAGAGGAAATGACGAATCTCCCTGTTTGTTTGTTTCCGATTCCTTTCGGCAGTGGTTTTGACAGCGCATCGCTTTGCGATCGCGTCGAATTCCTCGGGGCATATTATTTGCCCGTTTCCCCTTTTTGAGTCCAAAATACAAACTGTTTTTGATTTACAGGATATATAAAATCATTTCATCGCGTCCAACGCAGAAGCGCAGCTCGGGAAAAAACATAATATACCCTCTTGGAAGGCATGCCGCGTAACGGGCATCAACCCTAAACACCATGAGGCAAGGTGTTTAGCGTTGATGCCTCCCAAATGGCTTGTCATCCGAGTGGGTTTTAGTTTTGCCACTGGCGCTTTACTGAAACTAGGTAGACCTCGTAATTGCTCTTTTATACATCTGGTCACGAAAAATGGGAAATAACGCGATCGACTGCCCGTGGGAATCGGGCGCGATCGCGTAGCAGGAGGGCTGTAAAAACCACTGCCCGTTGGAATTGAAGACGAGAAAGCACCGCGGTTCGTCATTTCCTCTTAGGAAGAGGTTTGGCCCGTTGTGTCGAACTGTTCTGGTGCAGAGGCCACGCTACGGTCAGTCATCATGAAATCGAACACCCTCCACACCGACAGTTTTGGCATCCACCGAACCGCAAGCTCAGCTAGTTGCCGCGCTTTCCGTAACCTGAGAACAAAAACCCCCCCATAAGGAGCACTATTCTGATTGCTAAAGCTCTTCTTAAAAACCTCAACGATGGTGCAGAATGTTATCAAATCACAACATTATATTCACAGCTTCACAACATCAGACTGTCTAAAACAGGAGCTGATCCAACACTGCTTCAAAGCACGCCTCAAAGGACTGGTTTCCAACCCTCTGAGCATGTAACTCGGCTTCCTCCACCAGGGATTCGATCAGAGAAGGGACATCCAGGTCATCTCTAACCATCATGGATCCAATCTCGAAGGGAGTCTTGCCTGCCAATGCACCCTTCTTGAGAAGCATGGTAGCAGCTTGAAGCACCTTGATGCATGCTGGGTTGAGAGACCAGCCACTCTCCTTGAGAATCTGAATATCCTTGTTGGCGTCGAGCTTAGATATGTACTCCAGAGTCTCCTCAGCAAAGGGAACCTTGGATTGGGGCCAGTACAGCCACTCAAACGTGCAGTCCTCGAACTGCAAACACAAAGAACACAAGAGATTGGCAAGAAAATCAGTGAAGGCACAAAGGAACGCGACAATATGGGGAAGCGCGCGAGGGAGAAATGCAAGGCAACGGTGGGAGGGAGGGGGATGGCGGAAAGAAGTTTCAAAGGAGCTAGGGGGGAAGCAAACTCGCGCAAAACGAAGCAAGGGCTCGCAGGGGATGCTGACCTTATCAGGAATGCTGTAACCATGATCAATTGGAATAAGCTTCACCCCACACGGACCGTCGACCCTCTGTACAAGAATGTTGGCACCATTCCGGTCCGTGTTGGCAAGCCTCATGTCCAGAACCGCGATCTTGTGAACCTCCGACGCAGGGAAGCGCGACGGTCCCATGTCCTCGCAGTTGCTGAACGATTGGACGAACTTCTGAAGCGAGCCGACCTTCTTCCCTTCCAGGTCATCCAGAGGACTCTTGGGAGAACCAGAGCGAGGAAAAAAGCTGGCGGAGCAGCCGACAAGCGTGGTCGGGGGAACGCTTGCGTAACCCTCGGTGTCTCCTTCGTTCAGTGGATGATCCAGTAGGTAAGCTGCCACTTCGCGGAAAGCACCTTCTCCCACTCGAGTGCCACGTTTCAACCCTTCCCCATCAAGACTCGGAGCCATCCCGCGGGGGCAATTTACAGCGAGAGGCTCCTCGTCCATGGGCTTAAATACAGCTACTGTCGACGCCCCCGAAGCGTCAGACATGAGATAAGTACCACCCGAGCCGTCAGATGTCAGGTGCGGAACGTGGCCTTCAAGAAGACCAGTTCCCACGTCGCTCATCATCGCCCGGAAGCCTTCCCCTTTCAGAGAAGGATGATTTCCAAGCATTGTCGGCTGGATTGTTTCACTAAATGTAGTTCTCGAGCAAGGAAGGGCCATAGGAACAGCTCCAGGACATTCTTCGTCGCCAACTTCCTGTATTGACGGCAACGATGCAATCTCCGTAGCATTGACGGAAAGCTCCATTGTCCGGCCCGGACCGGACTTCGCATGCACACGAGCATTCTTCCGCACGAGAAGATGCAAATGGCAGGATCCCACAGCTCCGAAATCACGATGCTTGTCCAAGTCGTTGATGAGACAATGGTCTTCGAGAGGCGTGCCGGCAAGCACAAGCTCCACGTCGTCCGAACTCGAAGGAAGCTCGCGCTCGCATATCCGCTTCTTGATGTCACGAACCCGATGGTTCGCAGCCCGATCCACAGAGAACAGGTACTCCTGAAATTACAACAATAAGGAATGAGAAAGGAATAAGTAAGGAAATTGGTAAGGCTATCTGATACTTGAACAGGCGATGTTTGTGGAACAGGCAATGTTTGTGGAACATCAACTTACAACAAAAACCGGTAAACGAATTGTAAAGGGAAGAGAAAGAGCGGATATGCGGAAACTACGTCGCACTTTGATGACCAGGAAGAGCACACACCTTTCCGGAGAACGTGGCGACTGAGACGAAGAGAAGATCTGACATGCCGAGCACAAACTGCATCGTCTGGGGTTGCGAGGAGGGGAGGCCATCGTGCACAGACTCTTCCGACGCACACGGTCCTGCCACTATGCGCTGGTGCTTGGCATAAAAGCCACGGCTAAGACCTTTCAGCTTAAGATTGACGGATGAAATGCCATCGGCAGCCAACAGTCGGCGAGGAACCTGACTTGAAGATGAGCCTATGTACATCTGAATGAAATCATTCGGCAGGAAATCCTCGAAGGCAGAAACCCGCGAAACGACAGCCCCGGACCCATTGATGGTGGGGGGCTTGATAAGGGAGTTGGCAAGCGACATGGCTGCGAGATAAGCTGAAGGACCTCCCAAAGAATACTACTTCTCCCCTCGCTAATCTCTACCCCGAAATTCACAGCAGTTTGGCCTAGAGCATGCAGAACCGATAACGGGAAAGTCAAATGTGGAAGTGAGGTTACTGCTATGCTGTGAAGAAATCCCTAGAGAAACGGCTCTGGAGCAGCTTCTGAAGGTAAGACTGAAATTAGGATTGGAACATGAAACGGCTAGGGGGAAAATTGATGTGAAGCAGTCAGGTCACAGCCTCACATGAGCAGCAGCACCAGGGGGGATGGCTGAGAGGGAGGCACAGGGGGGCGGTAGGGTTTCGTGGGGAGGTGGAGTGGGGTGCGGGTGGGGGTGGGGAGAGGGGTGCTGTTCGGTTCCGCGGGACTTTGGGGGAAGGTTTCGGGGAAGGTGATCGGACACGGGGGAGCGGAGGCGCGAGAAAGGTGAAACAGCGGGAGAGCAAAAGAGCGGAGGAGCAGAAGGGCGGAAGAGCGGAAGAAGATGAAGCATGAAGGGTGACACTGTACAGTGCCTGCTCCTGCCACAATTTCCTTCCCCCACTTCCATTTTCCTTCCCTCCCGAACCCACCACCATCCACCCCAGTTTGCCAGACGGTATTTTTTCGCAGGCGTGCTAGGCGGAGGGGAGCTAACGTGGCGTGCAAGTCATACACGTGCACTACTGGGCGCTAATTGGTGGAGAGGTTTCATACGCCAAGAGAAGCTGCAGGAGAACTTGGCGACAGGTTCTTGCACAAAAATCTGACCAAATTTGGTTTACCGGTCTTCGCCGGTCCGTCATGTCCAGCGATCATGCGACAAAGACTGACTGAGGAGAGGACATGCAGCATTTTAGCGAGGGATGAATAAGGATAATCCAGTCCAGAATCCAGATGTCGCTTTAGTACAGTAGCTCTTCATATAAACACTTATGCTCTGGAGCTGGTTTCTCCATTCTGCAAGGTAACATCGCGAGTATTCTCATATGCAAACTTTGGTGACATCACGTAATATAGGGCTTCTTATAACTCTTGTACCTCCTCACCGAAATATTCTTATAACGGATCATTATTTTTGAATCAATTGTTGACCAGCCAAGCGGACCTGCCACGCCAGCCGAAGATTCAAAAGCTGCTGGGGCAGTTTTGTTGCGATTGGTGACTATCTTCTGGCTACGAGTCACCATGGGCCTCAGCCAGCGCAACGCTCAACTCACCCCACCACAGTGAATGGTGTTGGAAAAGGCAATGATGAACTGCCAAGCTGGCAATTGTGTCCGGAAAAGGCCCTTGAGACAGCTCGGTGGTTGGACGAATGTTTATATGGAGAACTTTAATTGGCCAGTCGCAACCTCGCTGGAACTGGTTGTTATCCCTGATTGGTGGGTGTCTAGCCCGAGAGCCGGGCGGGATCCAGCAACTCGTCGCGCTGTTCAAGGCAGGTCCTCTGACTCGGATGATTGAAAACGGTTAGGCAAAAATGCAATTCTGTGCGTGAACAACGTCATTCTGTGTGTTCTGATCAAAGATACACCATATTCTCGATAATTTCACACCCCTTTACGTATTTGGGTCTGATGCGACGGATACCCAGAGATTGAGGGACTATTGAAAAAAAACGGAAGGAACTCTAGATTCAAACTCGAACTTTGTGTTCCGAGTGAAGGGTTTTGTGGTTGGGGGGGTACTTTTGACATTCTGAATGCCCGGCAATTCGCAAGAGTGGGTGGGAAACTCGTCCAGATGTATGAAAACGTCGTCAACTACCCTCCGAGAACAAGTGACCGAGGGTGTTTACCCCAGTGTGTATATTAAAGGGTGAGAAATTATCGAGAATAGGGTGTATCGGAGTTTTCACGCGGATTTCATGGTTTGTGTTGTGGTGTCTGGTCTGGCAAAGTGGGGGCAGCATGCCAAAACAGTGAGACAAGACGAAGCTTTCCCTTCCCCCAAAACGGTGCTTTTCACTCACACTACTTGCGCGAAACTGTTATTCTTCGTCACGCCTCGTAACAAAAGTTATATATTTCTGCGACATGCGTCGAGCCGTCCGATACACATTGACGAATCTTGTGTTTACGATGAGTGCTAGCGACACAGGTGACACTTCAGTCCGAAATGGTAGACTACTGCGCAGAGGTGTAGCACCAGACAGGCGCAGATTCTGCGCATGGGCCACAAAGAGCCAAAAAGAACTGCACTCTACATGCGCACCTGCAAGCTGCCACGCTCTTCATTTGAAGGGAAAGTATGCCAATGGTAACATACATGGGGCTCTTTAACGCGTACAGTAACTATTACAGTATATTTTCACGCGTTTGGTAACTCGTTTCACGCAATTGGTAACTTAGCACAGGCGAATGATCACGCGAATGGTAACTAGATGAAACTCCCGCCGAAATGATCCTGACTAAGAGGCATTTGTTAAATTGAAAGATTTCACGCACCGTTTTATCGTTCTTGAACGATTCCCGCCGTAACTTTGAAGGATCGCGTTTGTTCAATTACCACGGACCAAATAGTTTCAGAGCCGTGACATATCTATTTTTAGCTCCGACAAATAGTACTAACAAGTAAATTTATATTTTTGCAAGCATGATTGCATAATTGCAAAATGACGAAAATTTCCCGGAAAAGCGAAAATAATTGTATTTAAAATTGTGTTGTAATAAATGCAACGTGAGATAATTTTGGAGTTGGGAAAATAATACACCCTTCCGAATGGCATGCCTTTATTGTATAAATTACCTTGAACGCCTTGTCGCAAGGAGTTTAGGGTTGATGCTCTCAAAATCATTTGCCATCCCAAAGGGGTATATATTTTTTGCCCAGGTTGTACGATACAATAAAGTAAAATCACCTGTCTGCGAGCGCCATAATATCAGTATTCTATGAAACACGGTTTTCAAAACAGCAACATGTCACTAAATAGTCCGAATTTCGGAACGTGTGTCAGAATTTCGGAAAGTGTGTCAGAATTTCGGAAAGTGTGTCAGAATTTCGGAAAGTGTGTCAGACTTTCGTGCTTCAGGACTCGTCAATTCAGTCTGGCGCGAGCGGGAAAACCCAGAATCAGGGTCAAGTTGGACGAGGGTTTCTTCTAGTTACCATTCGCGTGATGGCTTGCCAGTGTATAGTTACCAAACGCGTGAATCGAGTTACCAAACGCGTGAATCGAGTTACCAAACGTGTGAAAATGCATTGTTATGGTTACCGTACGCGTTATAAAGGCCCATGTTTGTTACCATTCGCATTTGAATGTGAGATCGACAGGACAGGACAGGAGTGCACACGCATCATTGCTTGGCAAAATTTCCAGCCTTCGATTAGTGCACTGTACGCCCGCATAACCCGCAAAGCCAGCAAAAAACGCAGATCAGCAAAATCGCGTCTCAGCGGCCTCGCTAGCGTTGGCTTGTCGTGGTTTCTGGATGTCTTCAATGGGGAGCACCATCTCGTTATCTGTCACCTTTCTATCTGCTGAGAGAAGTTGTTGGGACTCAAGCAAATCCGTGTTTCAAGTGCTCACGCCCACTCGTTATCAAACCGCCGGACAAGCTGTAGAGCCGGTTTCCCGTCACATAAAGCTCTCCACCGCGACCCGATGGGTGAAGGCTCCCTTTCGTGACTGTCTCCTCTAGCGAGCCCCGTCAGTGGCGGCTTTTGTTGCGGGATCCCTAGGAGCGTTTTCTCGAATCGCCGCAATTCATTCGCGCTGACGGCACTGTTAATTCCCCGATTGAGTCACTTTTACGTACTGAACCGGCCCTCTCGTCGCGTTACCAATGGGGGGTTGCGTGGGCAAGCCGCCCCTCTCTCCCCCAGGCGTTCCCCGCGGCGACAGCTTCTTCGACGGCCCGCGCGACGCCGGAAGACGTAGAAGCGCCGCGCACGAATCGGCGACGCGCAACAAGCTAGGAACAGAGGTTCCGCTGCCGCCGCTCGAGAGAAAATCCAGCGGCGGGGTGCAGCGGTTCTCTGAGCCCGCCGCGCAAGCTACGCCGTCGCAGAAGCACGCGTGGGCGCAGCCTTCCGCCGTCTGCGCGGACAAGCTGCTGCCCGGCGCGGATGACCGGGCGGGCCGGCGGAGCGAGGAGGGCGCGTCGGGATTCCTTCCCGGATCGCCCCCCGACAGCTCCGAGTGGCAAGTAAACGAGCCGCTCGATTTGTCCGTAATCACGGGCCGTAGCGCCATCCCCACGCCTCCACGCAGCGCCTCCGGCGGCGGCGCCACCGGCGGTGGCGCAGCGGCGGGTGCGCGGCATCATCCCGGCGAGGCGCGGTCATCGTCCGGCTTGGCACCCGTGGTGATGCCGACTCATATCGCAGGCCAAGCCGTTCCGATCGGACCGCGCGGATTCGATGGGGACGAGTCGCGAGACGGATCGCGGCAGAGCCTGGCGTCGCGCGGCGGCAACAGCTGTTGGTCCGCGACGGCCGGCGCGGCGGCGGCCGGCACGCCGACGAACCCGCCGCTGTACGCGCGGATGGCAGGGAGCATGCACGGCGCGGGGGTGCTGAGCGGCGGGGGGATCGTGGGCGGAAGGGGGAGCAGCGGGTACGGGAGCGGCGGCGGCAGCGGCGGGGGCGACTCGATGAATGGCGGCGTGGTGGTGGGCATGAGCAGCTCGTCTATGCATGCCGGCGCGATCTCCGGTGGCGGCTCGGGGCACGGAAGCAGCGTGGCGCTTAGGTAAGTAATGCGCGTAGCAGGCGTGAGGTCCGTTGTTCGGTGGTATTGAACTTGGCGGGAAGAGAGGGGAATGTGGGGAGTGGGAGCGGGGGGAACGCGTGTGCTTTCTTGTCGCGCATGCTTAACAGTCGTGATAAGTACTATACCATGCGCATTGCGTGGTGACCTCACGACTCATTGCCGTATTGTCCTGTTGCACACGTGCAGGGCGGCGCAGGCGGCGAAGCTGAGGGCGGCGCGGACGGCGCAGGAGAGGCACAACGTGCGCATCGTGGGGACGGGCCCCGAGCTCCTCGTATTCTCCCACGGCTTCGGCTTCAACCAGTCCGTGCGTGCTGCTGCCACATGCACGTGCCTGCTTTCACATATGCATGCCTGCTTTCACATGTATGCCCCATGTGGGGATACATGCGTGCCAATCTGCGCATTGTGGGGAGGGACGGGCCCCGACCTGCTCGTCCTCTCCCACGGCTTCGGCTTCAACCAGTCTGTGCGTGCCCGCTTGTGCGCTTTCACATGCGTGCTGCTTTCACACACGCATACCTGCTCTGACATGCATGTGCGCTTTCACATGCGTCCCGCGTTCTCTCATGCCCACCTGCTCGTCCTCTCCCACGCTTCGGCTTCAACCAGTCCGTGCGTGCTGCTCTCTGCTTTCACATGCGTGCCCCTTTCACACACGCGTGCCTGCTTTGACACACATGTCCCACGACTTCCCATCTTCCCACGTTCATACTTGCGTTCATACGTGTGATTTGCGGTTCCGGCATTCTTTCACACGGCCCATCATCGAATAGTTCTTTCATTGATGTTTCTGTTAGGAGCCTTGGAATACATCCTACGTTCATGCGCGCCCACGATTCCCCTCTGGGTCTCCACGTCCCCTGCTCCTGCCCTGCCCTCAGATGTGGACGCATGTGCTGGAATCGTTTGACACCGCTCTGTACCGCATTGTGCTCTACGACCTCACTGGTGCTGTAGGGTATGCTCCCCTGCCCTCTCTGTCTCGCTCGCCCCACCCACCCACCCATCCTCCCTCCATCCGTTCTCTCCCTCTGCTGTTTGTCACATAACGCCCCTCGTTCTCCTTCGGCCCTCTCTCCTCTCTCATCTACGCTTACCTCTTTCTCGCTGCTCGCCCCTCTTCCACTCAATTCCACCCCCATGCATTGTGCCACATCCCCCATCCCCCCTCCCTTCCTCATATCCCCCCTCCCAACCCATGCACAACCCCCGTTTCCCCCATGTGACCCGCCTTCCAGGTCAGACAGTGATGCGTTTGACTTTCACCGTAACAGCGTGCTGCACGGATCCCTTTCTCCCTCTTACACCCTCCCGCCTCCCTCCCCACGTCTCATGTCCCCCCCACCCTCCCCACGTCTCATTTCCCCCCCAATGCAGGTCAGACAGCGATGCGTTTGACTTTCAGCGCTACAGCACGCTGCATGGCTTCGCAGAGGACCTGCTACAGCTGCTCACAGAGATGGGCGTCGAGGTGCGTGCTACAGGTGCTACAGCTGTTGAAGCTGTTCGAGTTGTTACAGCCGCTACTCCCCTCTCGTCCCTCTCTTATCCTTCACTCCTCCCTCACCCTCTCCGTCTCTCTGTGCGCTTGTCTCCGTGTGTGTGTGCGTGTGGGAGCACAGGGCGACTGGGGCCAGCAGTGCACGCTGGTGGGGCACAGGCAGAGCGGCATGATCGCACTGCTGGCAGCCATCGAACGGCCCAAACTCTTCAAACGCATCGTGCTGCTCGCCTCTACGCCCAGGTGAGTCGTCGTGGCTTGCTTGTACCCATCAGCATCAGCATCAGCATCAGCATCAGCATCAGCATCAGCATCAGCATCACATCAGCATCAGCATCAGCATCAGCATCGGCATCAGCATCCGCAATTTGCATCAGCATCAGCATCAGCATCAGCATCAGCATCAGCATCAGCAATTTGCATCAGCATCAGCATCAGCATCAGCATCAGCATCAGCAATTTGCATCAGCATCAGCATCAGCAATTTGCATCAGCATCAGCATCAGCATCAGCAATTTGCATCAGCATCAGCATTAGCATCAGCATCAGCAATTTGCATCAGCATCAGCATCAGCATCAGCATCAGCATCAGCAATTTGCATCAGCATCAGCATCAGCATCAGCATCAGCATCAGCAATTTGCATCAGCATCAGCATCAGCATCAGCATCAGCATCAGCAATTTGCATCAGCATCAGCATCAGCATCGGCATCAGCATCAGCAATTTGCATCAGCATCAGCATCAGCATCAGCATCAGCATCAGCATCAGCATCGCCATCACCATCACCATCACCATCACCATCGCCATCACCATCAGCATCGCCATCACCATCCCCATCACCATCGCCATCACCATCAGCATCGCCATCTCCATCAGCATCAGCATCAGCATCAGCATCACCTGCACGCCAGCCTCACCACCCATTGTCCGTGGCCATTTCAGGCTGCTGGAGGCCCCTCCCGACTACAACAGCAGCTTCGGCCTCGCTGACCTGGACACCGGGAAACTCCCCGCCCCACACTCCTCCTCACCACTCCTCACCACCCCTCACCACCCCTCGTCACCCCTCGTCACCCCTCTCCCGTGTGCATGGCAGGCTGCTGGAGGCCCCTCCCGACTACCACAGCAGCTTCGGCCTCGCTGACCTCGCTCACTCAGACGCCTTAACTCCCCTCACCACGCATCACCGCACTGCACCCCTCACCACCCTTGGCAGGCTGCTGGAGGCCCCGCCCGACTACAACAGCACCTTTGGCCTCGCTGACCTCGCCAAAAGCCCCTCTATACCACCCATTGCCTGCTCTCCTCGTCGCCGCACTGCACCCCTCACCACCCATCACCTGTGCGCATGGCAGGCTGCTGGAGGCTCCTCCCGACTACTGCTGCACCTTTGGCCTTGCTGACCTGGACAAGGTCTTTGGCATCATGCAAGGAAACTCCCCTCACCCCCACTCCTTCCCGTACCACCCATCACCGCACTGCACCCCTCTCCACCCATCACCCGTGTGCATGGCATGGCAGGCTGCTGGAGGCCCCCCTAACTACAGCAGCAGCTTTGGCCTCGCTGACCCCGACACCTGGCAACTCCCCTCCCCACACTCTCCTCTGTACCACCCATTACTTGCTCTGCTCATCACCACACTGCACCCCTCTCCACCCATCACCCGTGTGCATGGCAGGCTGCTGGAGGCCCCGCCCGACTACAAAAGCAGCTTCGGCCTTTCTGACCTGGACAAGGTCTTTGGCATCATGCAAGGAAACTTCCGGGTAGGTGCTGCCAGTGGAACGGGTTCGGTGAGAAGGGGAAGGTCGCAATCTTTTTTAATGGCAGACACCTGCTGCCCATGCCGCTGCCCATGCCTCTGCCCTTCTCTCTGCCGATGCCTCTGCCCATGCTCCACCCGTCTCTCCCACCAAGCTCATCCGCCCAACTCTTCCCTCTCACCCCAAGGGGTGTGCGCCTGTGTTGAACGTGGATGATGTGAAGACGGCACACGTTATGGGTGCGACCCGGCCGCTCTTCTCCTTCCCTTGTATCCTCTCAACACCCTTCCCCTTCAACCTCTCTCCCCTCTGCCAGTTGTGTACAAAGGGGTGTGCACCAGTGCTGAATGCGGGTGATGTGAAGGCAGCGCACGTGAGGGAGGTGACGCGGCCGCTCTTCTCATGCTCAGGCCTCTCATTGGCTCCTCTAACACCCTCTCTCTCTACCGACCCCCACACCCCCAGTTGTGGACCAAGGGGTGTGCACCAGTGCTCATCGCGGACGACGTGAAGGCGGCGCATGTGAGGGAGGTCACCCGGCCGCTCTTCTCCTTCCCTTGTATCCTCTCTACACCCTTACCCTCCAACCCCTCTCCCCTCTGCCAGTTGTGGACCAAGGGGTGTGCTCCTGTATTGAACGCGGACGATGTGAAGGCGGCGCATGTGAGGGAGGTCACGCGGCCGCTCTTCTCTCTGCGCCCCGACGTTGCCTTCTCGTGCCTCAAGACCACCTTTGCCTGTGACCTGCGTGAAGTGCTGCCTCAGGTAAGTGCGGGTGTGTGGGTCAGAGGGGACAAGTGGCGTGTGGGCATGGGGTGCGACACGTGAGAGCAGGAGGGGTCTAGAGGATCACGTGAGGGGCTTCGCCTGCTCCTGCCTCAGGACCACCGTCGTCTGTGACCTGCCTGCGTGACGTGCTGCCACAGGTGGGAATGAGTGTGAGAGGGGACAACTGCTGCCTCAGGTAAGTGGCAGTGGTGCGTGCGATGCGTAGAAAGTAAGGAGATTAAGGGATTCTGTTGCTGCTGCAGGTATGGTACTGCAGGTAAGTGCTGCTCCCTCTCAATTTCTCACTCTTCCCCTCTCCATCCCCCATCCCCATCCTCACAGGTAGAGGTACCAGTACACATGCTGTTCCTAGAGGGAGACCCCGCCACCCCCTCGGCTGTAGCGGACTACATGCTGCGCCACATGCCCTGCGCTACAGCCGAGGCCCTCACCCTCTCCATCCCTCCTCCCTATCCTTACAGGTAGAGGTACCAGTGCATATGCTCTTCCTAGAGGGCGACCCCGCCACTCCCCCGGCTGTAGCGGAATACATGCTGCGCCACATGCCCTGCGCTACAGCCGAGGCCCTCCCTGCCAGGTCCGTGCACCAGCAGCCTGATGTTGTGGCGGGCGGCATTCTTCGGCTGCTTCAGGCCGCCCCGGAGAACTCTAGTGGGTCTCAGTTGACAGGTGGTGGGGTGGAGTTCGCTTCTCCACCCTCTGATGCATGGAGTACACCCATGGAAGTGGAAATCATATAATACCTTTTATACTAATATATAGGGAGCATGTGTACTGGCATGATGATGCCCTAGCTGCCTAGGTTTCCGGCCAGGGCAGGTACGAGTATACGTAAGTCTCAATGGAAAGTACAGGTGGAGCCTGGCTGTGGTTTTGCCGATGGTTGGCGCCAGGTGTTAAGAGCTCATTGCTCCTCCCACCCATCTAGCTTAAAAATATATTTATAAAACACTCAACACCATCTCAACCTGTTTCTCTCGCACAAGTGACTTAGAGTAGGGTATTACTATATGCAATATGCTGTCACCCATATCCCGTACAGCGTGTACGCGACATCAGTACCGCCAAACCCACACCACACCTCGCCTCGCGCCATCACTCCACCCCAGCGCACAGCCTCACCTCACCTCGAGAACTGTTCCGTGGTGCCGTGCCGTACATTCGTCTGGACGTGGTTGTTGGGGGACGAACCCAAGCACCTCCAAACCGAACCAAATCCGTACCAAAGGTACATGTGACTTCCCAACCAGGGTGGTCCCAACCACACCTAGAAGTTACCATTTCTTTCAGCACCCACACACCCATGCTTTGACTCGCAGCGTTGATACGTGTGCTTTGTCTTCTCCGTGTGCTTACCTTTGTCACGAGATGCTCAGCGCGAGGAGGAACTAATTTAGTTTTCCAATTCAGCTCTCGTAGCTGCTTCGAGATCAGCATCGCGTTGTCCTGTGATGGTAGCTAGACGTGACTTGTAGGTAGGCGGTGATCAATTGGTACTTCCTGTCACCCGACATTCTCGAGACGGTAACATCTCGAAAGCGAGGCTCCAGCTCGTCAGTGCTATATGTTTGGAGGCTGCAGCATCAGCATTGCCAACTCGTTGATTGTTTGTCCTTATAATTATTTCTCAGCGTCCGCCCGTCGACGCCCCTGGTCGGACGGCTTGTCAGTTTGGGCAATGCGGAACTTAAAACCGGAGTCTCAGTCTCTTCCAAATTGCCTCGTCCAACCGGAGTATTTGACTCCGCGACCCGCGCCTGTCAATTTCGACACTAGCCCGTTTCGCGAACCAATATAAGCACCTGCCTTAACCAACCTTCCTACCTTTAAAACCTATGTACCTCGGGCTTAATTCCCTAAGTTCGCCATGCGGTCGTTAATAGCTAGTAGATTAAAGCCGAACGCAATGTGGCCTTAGTCGAGCTCCCTATCCAATTATTTATTATCTTAATACATTATTACGACATAAGCCATGAAGAAGCGGTCCGGGAAGCAGTCGGCGTCGTCACTAGTGGCGATCCGGTTTGACTTCAAAGTTCATATTATCGAGGTAAGTCACTGACTGCATTCCCGGCCTTTATCGCGGATAGGCTCACAATCTCTCGCTCCTCGCCTCTGACCGCCGACTCGCCATCGTTCCGCCCTCCCTTCCGCGCACACCTTCCCCCCCCCCTCTCCGCCCCTCCCCATCCCCTTCCCCCCACAGTTGCGCCCGTGGCTGCGCATGGGCGCGCCGGCGATCATTCAGTGGCAGCGCGGGGACAAGCGCACGGGCTTTTCCAAGCCGGTGCGCGCGCAGCGCGATGAGGGCGGCGCGGACGAGAACGCGTTTAAAGTGGTCATCGACCAGACATTCCGAGTGAGTGGCTCGCGTCGCACGCATTTAACCTAGGAGGTACTATTAGTCATCTCTCCTCCTCCTCCATCCTCAAATTGTTCTCTGGAGCCCACGCAACCTGCGCAGCCCGCGCATTGATCCCCTCACTCCACCTTCCTCACCCCCCTTCCGCGCGCAACCCCGCAGGTCCCCGCCACGCTGTACCGCGAGCGCGGCGGCCCCGGCGCGCCGTACCAGCGCAAGACCGCGGCGTTTTCGATCCACGAGGCGCAGGCGGACGACTCGGCGCAGCCCAAACCAACCGCGCTGGGGAAGGCGTCGCTCGACCTCTCCGCCTTCGCGGACTGCGCCGGCGCGCTCCCGCACGCGCTCCCCGTGCAGGTCTCTAAGTCTCTAAGCGCGGCGCTAGGCCGCCCCGAGCTGCACCTGACGGTGGAGTGCGTGGGGAAGAAGCTGAGTAAGGAAGCCGCGGCGGAAGAGGCGGGCGCGGGGGGGTACGGCGCGGGGGGCGCGGGCGCGCTGCCGCGGTTCTACCCGACGAAGCTGGAGCCGCTAGAAGACGCGGAGGACACGGCGGGGTCGTCGGGGGACGAGACTTGCTACTCGGACGCCGCTGGGTCCGTCACTGGCGGCGGGGGGAGCCGCGTCGGGCCGCTCTCCGACCACGGGGGGAGCGATTCCGAGCACATGCGCGGAGGGGGGGCGCACGGGGCGCACGGCGCGCATGGAGGGCAGGGGGGGAAGGGGTCAGGGAGGGAGCATAGGCGGAAGGACAGTGGGGCGTCGTCAGGGGGGCATGAGAATCAGAGCAGCGATACGGAGATGGTCAGACGGGGGAGTGGCCCGAGGAGAGGGCATGCGGGAGGGTACGAGGACCAAGGGAGCTCCACGCCAGGCTCGGCAGCAGGCTCGGCAGCAGGCTCGGCAGCAGGCTCGGCAGCAGGTTCGGCAAGTGGTTCGCCAAAGCGAGCGGGAGAGGGGAGTAGGAGTCTGAAGGGCACGCCAGGGAGCGCGAGAGAGGGGAGAGGCGCGGGCAGGAGTGAGAAGGGGCGGGGGAGAGATCGCAGAAGGTACTCAGGGGGCGAAATGGACCTCAATCTCGCGTTCCAGGCGTCAGCGGGGGGAGCGAGGGCGCAGGGCGCGGGGGGCGGGGGATTGCCGCCGGTGGGCGCGGGGGGCGCGGGGGAAGCGGGGCTGGGGGGTCGCATGGCGTCTCTGCCGGTTGGTGGGGGCGCGGGCGGGGGAATGGATGAGGCATGGGCGCAGGATGCGTGGGAGGAGGGGGAGGAGGGGGAAGAGGGGGAGGAGGAGGGGGAGGAGGGGGAGGGGGGGCGAGGGGAGGGTTTGGAGGAGGGGGAGGACGAGGGGGGGCATGATGGGTTTGGGGAGGAGGAAGGGGAAGCGGAGATGGAAGGAGGGTCGTTTGAAGATCTGAATGACGCCTTTGGTAACATGGGTGGTGGTAACATGGGCGGTGGTAACATGGGCGGTGGTAACATGGGCGGTGGTAACATGGGCGGTGGTAACATGGGCGGTGGGGGCAAGGGCAGGGGTGGTGGAGGGGAGGGAGCAGACATGCATGACGTGTATTCGCATGATATCTACGTGCATGACCCGCAGGGCACCCATGACATGCATGGTGATGGGGATGGTGATGGTGATGGTGATGGTGATGGTGATGGTGATGGTGATGGTGATGATGGTGGTTTGGATGATATGTATGGGCAGGACGACATGCATGATATGTACGGGCACCATGGCATGGGGAGGGGCATGGGCATGGGGAGGGGCATGGGCATGGGGAGGGGCATGGGGATGGGGATGGGCATGGGGATGGGGATGGGCATGGGGATGGGGATGGGCATGGGGATGGGCATGGGGATGGGGATGGGCATGGGGATGGGGATGGGCATGGGGATGGGTATGGGAGGGGAGGAGCAGGAGGAGGAGGAGGTGAGGGAGGAGGAATTGGAAGACCTGTCTCTAGCTTATGAGAGGGGAGGGCCGGGGCAACCGCATGGGGGCGGCATGGGGGCGGACGGAGGGATGGGGACAAGGAAAGGCGGGCGGCAGCAGCAGCAGGGAGGCGGGGAGGAGTATTGGGGCGAGGAGCAGAAGGGGGAGCAGGGGGGGATGCAAGGGGGGTATGGGCATGGGCGGGGGTACCCAGGGGGCGAGGGCTATGGGCAGGGGGAGGGGGACTATGGGGAGGGGGGGTATGAGGAGGGGGAATATGGGGAGGACGGGGGATATGGGCACGGACAAGGGCTTGAGCATGGGCATGGGCATGGGCAAGGGCAAGGGAAGAGGAGGCAGGGACGAGGGGGGTATGATGATGCAGAGGGGGAGTATGTGCAAGTGGATGAAAGGGAGGGTGAGGAGGAGGGGGATGATGGGGAATACATGCAAGATGGTGATGGTGGTGATGATGGTGACGGTTATAATGATGGTAATGGTGGCACCGGTGGTGCTGGCATGAACGGGGGCGAGGGGGAGTACGACGAGGCGTTTGGGTTCGAGCAGAGGCAGGGCAGCTACGGCCATGCAGAGAGGTACGGGGACCGGCAGGGGGGGTATGCGGATGGGTACGCAGAGGACGGGTATGGGGAGCATGGCAATGAGCGGGGCGGGGGGGAGGAGGAGCAGGACGAGCAGCAGCAGGCAGAGGAGGAACAAGAGGAGGAGGAGGAAGAGGAGGAGGAATTTGAGACGCTGCCTCCCCCACCACCAAAATCCCCCAGGTTCCGGCAGCGGTCGTTAGACGGTAAGGACCCCGCTGGTGGTGGGGGCATGAGTCCGTTCGGTGACGGGCTGCTATATGGTCTCACCTCGCCCTCCAGCCCGGCAGGCGACCTCTTCCCCGTCAACCTCAAGAAACCCATGCCCTACGTCGGCGGCTCTTTGGGCATCGATGCGGTTACCGCGTCGCCGCCCAGAGCTGGCAGCAGCAGCGGCGCGGGCGGCGGGAGTGGGTCCGAGTCGGGTAGTACTGGGGGGGGTGGTGGGGGCGGGGGACGGGGAGGTGCGGGGGTGCTGGGGCAGTCGAAGAGCATGAAAGTGGTTGGGGAGCGGGCAGGGGAGAGAGAAGAGGAGCGGGGAGGGGGGGACGCGTCGAGTTTGGAGTTTGAGTGGAGGAAGGTGCGGACAGAGAAGAAGCTGGTAGAGGAGGAGAAGCGAGCTCTGCAGACCCTGGGGGACGAGGTGCAGCGGCTGAGAGTGTGGGCTGAGAACGAGCGCGCCCGGCTTAAGAAGGAGCACGCGCAGATTGAGATGGATAAGAAGCGGTGCAGTGAGTTGGAGAGCCAAATGGCGGAGTTTTCGGCGTGGTCGGAGGCGGAAGAGGAGAGGATACGGAGGGAGAGGGAGGAGGCAGAGCAGATGAAAGGGGCGGCAGAGGCAGCGGAGAGAAGGGTGAGGGAGGAGAGGGAGCGGTTTGAGTGGGAGCAGCAGCGCGTGGCTGAGGAGAAAACGCACATCGACGAAGCTGCTGCTTCGGTGGCCGAGGCTCTGGCTCGGGCTGCCGAGGCTGAGGAGCGGGCGAGGAGCGCGGAGCGGAATTTCGGGCGGCTGCCCGGGGATTTGAGGGATGCGGCAATGGCTGACGTGGCAGTGTATGCAGTTCGGCCGGAACACGGGGGATCGGTGAGACAAGTTCACACTCCCGCGAGGCGGATAGCGAGGGCTTACGCGTTCGTGCGGGTTCACGAGGGGGATGAGAGGGTGGGGGGCGTGGCGAGAGTGGCCGTGACTGCACTGACTCTGGTTTCCAAAGCTGCTGCTGATGATGCTGCTAGGCTTCTCTTTTGGTGGTCCAATACTGTGATGCTCAGGGAAGCCATTGCTAGCATTGCTCCCACTGAAGCTAGTTCCGATGAGCCCCACTCTGCCAATTCCTCCTCCTCCTCCTTCCCCCTCTCCGACCGAACCTCTTCTGGTTCGGAACCGGATTCCGAACCTGGTGGGGGTTCCGGGCCTGGGAAAAGGGGTGGGAGAGGAGGGGGGGCCGGGGGAGGAGGGGCAGGGGGGGGAGGGGAAGGGGGGCGGGAGGCGTGGGGCAGTCCGGGGGCGCTGGTGGCGGCGCTGAGGCGCCTGGAGGAGTGGCAGCACGGGCGGTGCGTGCAGCTGGTGTGGCACAAGGTGAGTGCTGGGGGAGTGGGGGGAGCAGGGGGGGCAGCGTATAAGGGGGAACAGGTGAGGGAAATAATTGATATTTGAGTGGCAGCACGGGCGGTGTGTGCAGCAGGTGTGGCGAATGGTGAGCTTAAGAAAAAGAGCCGGGGGAGGGGGGATTCGTGTAGGGTGGGGCAAGGTGAGCAAGGGAAGGAGGAGGGGGTGGAAGTAGGCGGGAGGCGTGATGGCATGGTGAAAACTGGGAGCTGGTGGTCGCCCTTCCCATCCTTCCCTGCTTTTCCTTGTCATCAGTTCCACCCCCCCACCACCCCCCCACCCCCTCCAACCTTCCGATTTTTCCCCCTTCCTCCCCACATCCCCTATTCCCCCTTCCCCACCCCTCTCTACCCCCCCCAGGTATTCCTCCCTGCCCTACGCCGCTCCCCCACCTCCCAGCCGCCCGCCTCCTCCTCCTCGTCCACCCTCTCAGCCGCCTCCTCTCTCTTCTCCTCCCTCGCCTCTGCCGCCTCTACCAGCGCCTCCTCCCTGCCCTGGCCGGGCGGCAGCACCGTGGGCGGCGCACTGGGACTGGGCGGCCAGAAGAAGCCGGCAGCGCCTGTGGCAGGCGGAGTGGGAGGTGAGGAGGGGGCGGCGGGGGGAGGGATGAGTAAGAGGGGCCATGTTTTTTATGAGTTTTTCAGTTGCCTCTGCAAGTTCAGCTTACCAAGGCAAACCCCTTCTCCCCTCCCCTTGCTTCCTTATCCTCTCCTATAATCTCTCCCTTTCTTCCCACTCCCCCGTTCCACCTCACGTCCCCATTCTCCCTTTCCACCCTCTTCTCCTCTCGTCAACCCATCTCCTCCCATCCCACACCCCTCTTCCTACCAGACGCTGAGAGGGCGCCATGGTGGAGCAAGCTGGTGGGTGTGGAGCGGTGGAGAGCGGTGCTGCACGATGCGTCCTTCAGCCTCTGCCCGCAGCGTGCCATGGGGCGATGCTGCGGATGCCTGTATCTGCTGGAGAAGCAGGTGAGCCCTTGTCTCAGAAGCAGGTTACGTTTGACTCAATAACAAAGTCACGTCAGTAGGCCCTTGGTTCAAAGGTACAGAGAGAAATGCTGCCTGTGCCTGCTGGAGACACAGGTACATCTTTACCCTTTTTTCTGAAGAAAAAAAAAAAAAAAAAAAATGCTCGGCCGTTTTTTTGTCAAGTCGTTTTTTTTTCCTTCTTCTTCTTTTTTCGCTTTTTCTGCCGACCATTCCCCTTCCCACCCCCATGCCATCCCCCATCCCATTCCCTCCCACCCCCTCAGGTCCTGGAGCATTGTCTCCTGCGTCTCGACTCAGCAATCTTCAACGCACTCCTGCGCTCCAACCCTGACGCGCATCCCGCCGACCCTCTTGCCGACCCTGTCACCGAGCCTGCCGCCCTGCCGTTCACAGCCACGGGCAAGCTCACCTACTCGCACGGCATGCACCTCAAATACGCTGTCAGTCCCATCCTCTCCCATCCCTTGCCTCCTCTCCCCTCCTTTCACCTCGCCTTCTCCCCCGTTGAGCAATTTTGATTTACACTGACTGAACGTGACTCATGATGACTGACTGACTCTCATCTGATACTGATTGACTCAAGAGGTTGATCTCAAACGTTGTAGGACACGTGGAACACCCTCAAAGAGGTTGATACCCTGCCCTCCCCTCCCCTCGTCCCTCCTTTCCCCTCTCCCCCCTTACCCTCTCCCTCCCCCCTCCCATCGCCCCCACCTTTCCCCCACCACTCGGCAGACGTCTGCATGGGCCACCATGTTTCACGACCTCGACTCCCAACCCTCACCCCCTCCCCGCTCCCCTTCTTCTCCCCACAACCCTCCCTCTCACCTCCTACCAGACATCAGCATGGGCGACCATGTTTCACGACCTGGACGCTCACATGCATGCACAGATCGACTACCTCCTCGCATCCTCCCACCCGCCTCTTTTCCCCCCTTGTCCCCCTCACCCTTTTACAGACATCAGCATGGGCGACCATGTTTCACGACCTGGACGCTCACATGCATGCACAGATCGACTACCTCCTCGCATCCTCCCACCCGCCTCTTTTCCCCCCTTGTCCCCCTCACCCTTTTACAGACATCAGCATGGGCGACCATGTTTCACGACCTTGACGCTCACATGCACGCACAGATCGACTACCTCCTAGCATCCTCCCACCCGCCCAACCCCTCCGCACCGCTCCCCACCCCTCCGCCCTTCTCCTCATCCCTCCTCGCCACCACCACTGCCTTCTGGGCTGGAGCCCTAGACCCCTCCGACCCCTCCCCTTCCTCCTCCTCCCCCTCCTTCTTCTCCTCCTCTTCCTCCTCCTCCTCCGCCTCTTCTGCCGCTCACCCCGCCTCCCCTCGCTTCCCTCCCAGTGCTGCTGCGGCAGCAGGGGCGGCAGTGGCAGTGACGGGGGGTCCGGGAGAGTGCTTTCCAAAGCTGAGGGCGATGGCACAGGTGCTGCTGCTGCCTAAGGACCTGTTGGCTGACCAGGAGGCGAGGAAAGAGGTGAGGAATGAGGTTGGGTTTGGGTGGGGTAGAGGGTGGGAAAGAAGGGGCGGGGTGGTTTACGGCGCAGGTGCTGCTGCTGCCTAAGGACCTGTTGGCCAACCAGGAGGCAAGGAAAGAGGTGAGAGGAATGTGTTGTATGGAAGCACATGCACCACATGCACCACATGCGCCACATGCACCACATGCACCACTCACATAACATGCACCACATGCACCACATGCACCACATGCACCACTCACATAACATGCACCACATGCACCACATGCACCACTCGCATCACATGCATCACACTTAGCAATAATTAATCTACCATGCGAGTCTGTGTGCGTGTGTGTGTGCGCACGTGCATGTGCATATCTATGTGCATATGTGGGTGTGCATGAATGTGAATGCATGTGTGCATGTGTGTGTGCACACATGAGTGCAGGTGTGTGGCGATCTGACGCTGGCCTTGCTGCGGCGCATTCTCCTCATCTTTGCTCCCGATGCCAATGCACCCGACCCTGTATCCTCCACTCTGCTGCAGCAGCTCAACAGCGAGGTGAGTCAGGATGACAGCGAGGTGAGTCAGGATGACAGCGAGGTGAGTCAGGATGACAGCGAGGTGAGTCAGGATGACAGCGAGGTGAGTCAGGATGACAGCGAGGTGAGTCAGGATGACAGCAGGTGAGTCAGGATGACAGCAGGTGAGTCAGGGCTGATTTGGATTGAGAGGCGAGGGTCATTCGTCTTCATCATGCCATGCCTCTCCATCTCGCCATGTCCCCCCTTCAGAACCCCACCTCATTCCGCCTCACCTTGCAACATCATTCGTCCCATGTCCTCCTTGCCCCGCCCTGGCCCCTTCATCAGGTGCATAGCGAGTCGCGCCGCGGCAAGGCCAACCCCGCCACCAACCTCGCTCCGCTCCCCGCCACGCCCTACCGCCCGCCCCCCTCGCCATCCGTCCGCCTGCTCCTGGGCTCTGTGCGCCTGCTGCACCTACCACATCCTGGGTCCTCTGGGCTCGCCTTGGACCGCGGATATGAGAGCGACGAGGAGCTCCGGCTCGTAGAGTCCCCCGCTGACCTGCTCTCCCACATGCTGCTTGAACTCGAGAGGGGCGGCACGGCGAGTGGAGGGGGTGTTAGTGGCAGTGGCCGGGGTGGTGGTGCTGCTGGTGGTGGGGGGGGTGGGAAGGGTGGGGTGGGGAAGGGTGGCGCGGGAGGGAAGGCACGGGTGGTGGGGCACAGGGACGGGTATAAGAGCTCGGGGTACCAGTTGCTGGCTGACATGTGGAGCAGACAGGCTGCTGGCAGTGGCAGTGCTGCCTCCTCCTCACATTCCTCTGGTGCTGACACAGGTGCATGGTAGCATTGCTGCAAGGCACGGGTGGTGGGGCACAGGGACGGGTACAAGAGCTCGGGGTACCAGTTGCTGGCGAATATGTGGAGCAGACAGGGTGCTGGCAGTGGCAGCGCTGCCTCCTCCTCACATTCCTCTGGTGCTGACACAGGTGCATGGTAGCAGCCGAGATGCAGGAGATGTGTGGCACAGGCACATGGTAACATGGGTGCATGTGGCGGGTGGTGGGGCAGAGAGACAAGAATGCACAGAGTACAAGAGCTAGAGAGGGGGAGCAAGCTGTTGGCTGACAGGTGGAGCAGACAGGCTGATGTTGGCTGACAGGTGGAGCAGACAGGCTGATGTTGGCTGACAGGTGGAGCAGACAGGCTGATGGCAGTGGCAGTGCTGCCTCCTTGCAATCGTTTGCCGACACATGTGCATGGTAGCTGAAATGAGGTGCCATGTTGTTATGGTGGGAGCGTAGGAATCTGAAGTTATTTTTGTCACACGCTGGCCTTCAAGTGCTTTGTTAAGCTGATCAAGCATCCAGAGCTGTTGCAGGGAGGGTGGATGGGGATAGGAGGCAGTTGTGTAATGACCAACTGTGGCAATTGGGTGAAGGCTTATGGCATGTTGTACCAATATCAAGTGCAACGAGGGAGCATTAGGGAAGATTAGGGAAGATCAGGGAGAGCTGGCGGGCTGGCATCCTAACATCTCCAACAAGTCTATATGCTCTCGCCTCGCGTCGTTTCGCGTCGTTTTACTGGTAGTGCATTTATTTTTGTAAGCCTTCAATACTCATCGGTACATGCGTTAGTATAGAATGCCCGGTAGTGAAAGTTATGTTGGATAAAAACGTATATCGTTTCTTTGTTTTTTTATGCCTACATAAGCCTGAAAAATGCATACACTTTGTAGAGATTGTGTGATGGTTGATGGAAAACTTGCCGCGAAGATCCAAAATCTTACGGCGGAACCCTTTCCTGGACACCTGCTGCAGATTCTCCCGCGCGGAATATTCAAAAACTGCGCATCGTCGGGATACGTAGACCCCAGCCCAGCGCCGTTTAGCGGCTGCTTTGGATTCCATCCCGGTGGCGAAAGCTCCAGTCCCCAAGCTGGGACTGCAGCTCCAGTCCCCAAGCTGGGACTGCAGCTCCAGTCCCCAAGCTGGGACTGCAGCTCCAGTCCCCAAGCTGGGACTGCAGCTCCAGAACCCAAGCTGGGACTGCAGCTCCAGTCCCCCAGCTGGGACTGCAGCTCCAGTCCCCCAGCTGGGACTGCAGCTCCAGTCCCCGAGCTGGGACTGCAGCTCCAGTCCCCAAGCTGGGACTGCAGCTCCAGTCCCCCAGCTGGGACTGCAGCTCCAGTCTCCAAGCTGGGACAGCAGCTCCAGTCCCCGAGCTAGGACTGCAGCTCCAGTCCCCCAGCTGGGATGGGACTGCAGCTCCAGTCCCCGAGCTGGGACTGCAGCTCCAGTCTTCGAGCTGGGACTGCAGCTCCAGTCCCCGAGCTGGGACTGCAGCTCCAGTCCCCGAGCTGGGACTGCAGCTCCAGTCCCCCAGCTGGGACTGCAGCTCCAGTCCCCCAGCTGGGACTGCAGCTGCAGCCCCCGAACTGGGACTGCAGCTGCAGTCCCCAAGCTGGGACTGCAGCTGCAGTCCCCGAGCTGGGACTGCAGCTCTAGTCCCCAAGCTGGGACTGCAGCTCCAGTCCCCGAGCTGAGACTGCAGCTCCAGTCCCCGAGTTGGGACTGCAGCTCCAGTCCAGTCTCTTCATTCGCGAGCGCCGATGACCAATGATGCTCGCAACCCTCCCACGCCCTTGCTGGCTTGGTAATAGGCCCAGACAAGCGCAGCCACGTGACCCGGCGGAAGAAAAACGCTCGGAACGAGCGCTTCCAGCCCCAAAACGCGGAAGAATCCGCACATGTGCAGCAAGTGCAGCGGGCGCTCTTCATTCGCGAGCGCCGATGACTGAGGATGCTCACAACCCTCCCACGCCCTTGCTGGCTTGGCAATAGGCCCAGAAAAGCGCAGCCACGTGACCCGGCGGTAGAAAAACGCTCGGAACGAGCGATTCCAGCCCCAAAACGCGGAAGGATTCGCACATGTGCAGGAAGTGCAGCGGGCGCTCTTCATTCGCGAGCGCCGATGACCGAGGATGCTCGCAACCCTCCCACGCCCTTGCTGGCTTGGCAATAGGCCCAGAAAAGCGCAGCCACGTGACCCGGCGGAAGAAAAGCGCTCGGAACGAGCGCTTCCAGCCCCAAAACGCGGAAGGATCCGCACATGTGCAGGAAGTGCAGCGGGCGCTCTTCATTCGCGAGCGCCGATGACCGAGGATGCTCGCAACCCTCCCACGCCCTTGCTAGCTTGGTAATAGGCCCAGCCAAGCGCAGCCACGTGACCCGGCAGAAGAAAAACGCTCGGAACGAGCGCTTCCAGCCCCAAAACGCGGAAGGATCCGCACACGTGCAGGAAGTGCAGCGGGCGCTCTTCATTCGCGAGCGCCGATGACCGACGATGCTCGCAACCCTCCCACGCCCTTGCTGGCTTGGTAATAGGCCCAGCCAAGCGCAGCCACGTGACCCGGCGGAAGAAAAACACTCGGAACGAGCGCTTCCAGCCCCAAAACGCGGAAGGATCCGCACATGTGCAGGAAGTGCAGCGGGCGCTCTTCATTCGCGAGCGCCGATGACCGACGATGCTCGCAACCCTCCCACGCCCTTGCTGGCTTGGTAATAGGCCCAGCCAAGCGCAGCCACGTGACCCGGTGGAAGAAAAACGCTCGGAACGAGCGCTTCCAGCCCCAAAACGTGGAAGGATCCGCACATGTGCAGGAAGTGCAGCGGGGGCTCGCCAATGGCAGCCACGTGACCCGGCGGAATAAAAACGCTAGGAACGAGCGCTTCTATCCCCAAAACGCGGAAGGATCCGCACATGTGCAGGATGTGCAGCGCGCACTCTTCATTCGCGAGCGCCGATGACCGAGGATGCTCGCAACCCTCCCACGCCCTTGCTGGCTTGGTAATAGGCCCAGCCAAGCGCAGCCACGTGACCCGGCGGAAGAAAAACGCTCGGAACGAGCGCTTCCAGCCCCAAAACGCGGAAGGATCCGCACATGTGCAGGAAGTGCAGCGGGCGCTCTTCATTCGCGAGCGCCGATGACTGAGGATGCTCACAACCCTCCCACGCCCTTGCTGGCTTGGCAATAGGCCCAGAAAAGCGCAGCCACGTGACCCGGCGGAAGAAAAGCGCTCGGAACGAGCGCTTCCAGCCCCAAAACGCGGAAGGATCCGCACACGTGCAGGAAGTGCAGCGGGCGCTCTTCATTCGCGAGCGCCGATGACCGAGGATGCTCGCAACCCTCCCACGCCCTTGCTAGCTTGGTAATAGGCCCAGCCAAGCGCAGCCACGTGACCCGGCAGAAGAAAAACGCTCGGAACGAGCGCTTCCAGCCCCAAAACGCGGAAGGATCCGCACACGTGCAGGAAGTGCAGCGGGCGCTCTTCATTCGCGAGCGCCGATGACCGACGATGCTCGCAACCCTCCCACGCCCTTGCTGGCTTGGTAATAGGCCCAGCCAAGCGCAGCCACGTGACCCGGCGGAAGAAAAACACTCGGAACGAGCGCTTCCAGCCCCAAAACGCGGAAGGATCCGCACAGGTGCAGGAAGTGCAGCGGGCGCTCTTCATTCGCGAGCGCCGATGACTGACGATGCTCGCAACCCTCCCACGCCCTTGCTGGCTTGGTAATAGGCCCAGCCAAGCGCAGCCACGTGACCCGGCGGAAGAAAAACGCTCGGAACGAGCGCTTCCAGCCCCAAAACGTGGAAGGATCCGCACATGTGCAGGAAGTGCAGCGGGGGCTCTTCATTCGCGAGCGCCGATGACCGACGATGCTCGCAACCCTCCCACGCCCTTGCTGGCTTGGTAATAGGCCCAGCCAAGCGCAGCCACGTGACCCGGTAGAAGAAAAACGCTCGGAACGAGCGCTTCCAGCCCCAAAACGTGGAAGGATCCGCACATGTGCAGGAAGTGCAGCGGGGGCTCGCCAATGGCAGCCACGTGACCCGGCGGAATAAAAACGCTAGGAACGAGCGCTTCTATCCCCAAAACGCGGAAGGATCCGCACATGTGCAGGATGTGCAGCGCGCGCTCTTCATTCGCGAGCGCCGATGACCGAGGATGCTCGCAACCCTCCCACGCCCTTGCTGGCTTGGTAATAGGCCCAGCCAAGCGCAGCCACGTGACCCGGCGGTAGAAAAACGCTCGGAACGAGCGCTTCCAGCCCCAAAACGCGGAAGGATTCGCACATGTGCAGGAAGTGCAGCGGGCGCTCTTCATTCGCGAGCGCCGATGTCCGACGATGCTCGCAACCCTCCCACGCCCTTGCTGGCTTGGCAATAGGCCCAGAAAAGCGCAGCCACGTGACCCGGCGGAAGAAAAGCGCTCGGAATGAGCGCTTCCAGCCCCAAAACGCGGAAGGATCCGCACATGTGCAGGAAGTGCAGCGGGCGCTCTTCATTCGCGAGCGCCGATGACCGAGGATGCTCGCAACCCTCCCACGCCCTTGCTGGCTTGGTAATAGGCCCAGCCAAGCGCAGCCACGTGACCCGGCGGAAGAAAAACGCTCGGAACGAGCGCTTCCAGCCCCAAAACGCGGAAGGATCCGCACACGTGCAGGAAGTGCAGCGGGCGCTCTTCATTCGCGAGCGCCGATGACCGAGGATGCTCGCAACCCTCCCACGCCCTTGCTGGCTTGGTAATAGGCCCAGCCAAGCGCAGCCACGTGACCCGGCGGAAGAAAAACGCTCGGAACGAGCGCTTCCAGCCCCAAAACGCGGAAGGATCCGCACACGTGCAGGAAGTGCAGCGGGCGCTCTTCATTCGCGAGCGCCGATGACCGACGATGCTCGCATCCCTCCCACGCCCTTGCTGGCTTGGTAATAGGCCCAGCCAAGCGCAGCCACGTGACCCGGCGGAAGAAAAACACTCGGAACGAGCGCTTCCAGCCCCAAAA